TGCAAAATGCGGCCATCACAGCCGTTCTTCATTATCTACATCCAAAATAAACCATGATGAGAAAATAACTGCATGTCATCCCTTTGGTTTTACACATGATATGAGTGAAGTAGAATTAAACTGGTACAAGAATGTATAAAGCATTATGAACCTGATCCGACTAGATGGATGATGAATTGGGCCTAGAAACCTGCGAGTTTGTGGAAGGTACGGAGCCAATGTCAGGGGTGTGAGGGCCGCTCCATTCTTGTTCGAACTGGGGGAGTTTGCAAACTTGACTGTGATTGGCTCCGTGGCTCCGTCTGGGATAGTTCCGTTCAGCTTCTGTATGGCTCGTTCTGCCTCCACTCGTTGATCAAATCTAATGAAGCCAACTCCTTTGGAAAGACCTGTATGAAGAAGTTTTAACATCTACAATTTTTTTTCTTCAGTGTATAGCTATTATGATTAAAGTATGATAGTTACCAGAAGAATTTAACTTGGAAGGAATATATTGTTGTCATGATAATGTCAAAATTTTTATTGGTTTTGCTATGATATTATCAGTAAATGGAATCAAATGAAATATTTATAAAGGTTGACATTCAAAGAGAGACGCAGTTTAAAAGATAATATATTCACTTGAATGGAAGCAGATGAAAACATGCATTTAATCAAATTATTGGACCATCAAAGCAATACTTAAAATGTTCATTATTTGGCATTTGCCACCAACAGATTTCAGCAATGAGGAAAATGTAAAGGGGAAATTCATAACTGCATCGAGCGCCTTCATACGACTGTATCATCTGAATAACTATTGACACAAGATAGAGTCTGCCAAAATCAAGAAATATAGGAGTAGAACCCTTTTTAATGGTGGCAGATACCAAACAAAAAAAGTAATTTTGTTTTTGGCCCAACGTAAGAGTAATCAACTAAACTGATCACTTGTTGAACAACAAGAAGATACCTGGGACAAATGCCAATAGGAATATCAGTAAAAAACTTCCAAATATTTCTCAAAAAACGTATACAGGAAAAAACTCAACATCTAACCAAGAAATAAAGAACTTAATTGAAATAAACTTGAAAGAAAATCAAACAGGTCACAAAATTGTCAGCCCTGCATTTACGTAGTATCATAAAGATTCACTAAAATGAAGACAAGCCAACACAAAACAACACTGCAAGGAAACAGAAACTGAACGCATCTCTAACCTGTGTTATTATCATACAAAATTCTGGAAGTTATAATTTTCCCACACTGTGAGAAGAATCCCTCCAATTCTTGTTGGGTCATAGACTTGGGTAAGCCACATATATAAAGGTTGGCCCCTTTAATACCCTCACTGCTTGGACGAGCAAGTGAAACCTGGCAGGATAAAGGAGATTATGTGTTAGAGCAATCCCTATCTAACATGACCTAACAAGGCTGCTTAAGGCAGCTCGACCTTAAATGAACTCTTCTGTGAGGGGAGGGGAAAAAGCCTGCCCTGTCAGGAACACTAACTCTGGAGGGGGACCACCCTGGTAGCTTTGGGTCTCCACTGCAGTCTTTTTTCAAGTCTTAGTACCTGTATTTTGGTCATAAAGAATTCTGGATGTTATGATCTGTCCACAATCATTGAACATTTTCTCAAGGTCCAGTTGGGTTAAACTCTTGGGTAACCCTGATATATACAGATTGGCCCCTTTAATACTTTCACAACTTGGTCTTGCTAAAGACACCTGAAAATAAGGAAATGAAATTTGACACACACACACAAAATAAAATGAATAGAAAAAAAATTAACTAGTATTAAGTGTTAAATCAGAAAATTAAAAGTGACAAACAATAAAATAACAATTGAATGAAATGTTATAAACAAAGAGGACTTTGAAAATCCAATAAAATTAATAAACTTGACACAGCTCCTTAATTGAGAATTTAAAAAAAACATACACTACAGTCTTGTGGAAATTTCTCAAAAATGTAAGTGTGTAAATGATTCAAGAACCATTTTTTCTAATAAGCCAAGAAAACCATTTTCATTGCAACAGAAATTATATTATATGGACATTTTTTTTTTTTGGCAAAAAAACTGCCTTCTTGAATCCAAATTTTAACCTCAAATTATGTAAAATGTGGAACAAATTTTTGACCTGGAATCCTCTGCAAGATGCTTTACACATTTTGAACAGCAGTTTGTATGTGATCATTGTTTTGTCATACATCAATAAAAACTCAAGTCTGAGGATTAAATTAAATTTGTTTTTTTTTTTAAATTACCATCTGAAAATGGAGGGGGAAACATTTGATTAAGACTTTATGTGATGCAAGATGTTTTACACATTTTGTACAGCAGTTTGTATGTGATCACTGTTTTGTCACACATCAATAAAACCTCAAGTCTGAGGATTAATTTTTTTTTCTCAAATTACCATCTGAAATCTGAAAATGGAGGGGGGGGGATCCTTTTGAACAAGACTTTATGTGATGCTGATGGTATTTATATTTTTCGTACTTTTTTCATCAACTTCTATGATAAAGTCTAGCAATTTATCCTATTAAAACTTAAAGGACATACAAAACAAAATGTATTTATCATTTTTAGAAACTCTGTTTTAATATATGCAACAGATGTCGGCAGTTTTCCTCATATTGATGAACTGTTGCTAAATGTAACTATACAAATAGAAAATCATGATGGTATTGGTTTGATGAATGATACAGTTTACTGATCAGAGAAGCAGGTACATCCTAATTAAGGAAGTAAACTAACAGCATATATCTGATATTTTTTTATGTATATTTGTTTTACTCTCCAAATACATATGAGTCTAGCATAGGATTTTGACTGGGAAGGTGTCTCACCGGTCAATTTGACTGGATACTCAGCTTTCAATGGAAACATATTCCTATGTCAGATCAATAAACTAATCTATTAAAACTTGTTCTAATCTGAAAACCAATTGTTATATAGAAATTTGCTACTGAAAAGTTTCAAGTTTTTGTCGTACTAGTCAAAGTTTTCCATGGGTGATTAAGTTTACAAAATAAACAACATTCAGACAAAGATGGTGCAAGTTTGATAGTATAAATTGAAGAATATATTACTTTTATTGATAGCCCTTGAAAATAAAGATTTAAAAAAAAATCATAATTCATGTTTAAAAAGGAATAATAAACAGAGAATTGCAATTCTATGTTGTCAGGGTTGAACTTTTTATCTTTAGAGCAACTACTACATATTCCACTTAGTTCAATGGTTAAGAACATTTTTATCAATGCAACACCTGTTTAAATACATTAACTGATGCAATGTATGTTGGAAAATATATCATAAAATTGACTGCACCAAAAGATGCAGAGATTTATCTGCAAGATTTTACAAACATCAGAAGAAAAAAAAATTATGCACTAATTACAAAATTATTAATTTAAGATTCTGCCAAAAAATAAAATGCACATGTATAGGGGCACTTGTCTTTGTTTGGCTACTGATTCTAGTAGTCTGTATAGACAATATTGAGTGGCATGAGAAACAGAATTGTATATGTATCTTTTTCCATGTAAAGAGAGGGCCTTAAAACCCAGATTTTTAATTCCAAAAACTTCATAGTCCCTCAAATCCATTTGTTGACTTCAAGAATGTGTTATAAATCTATTTGTTTCCTTGGCCATATTAACTCTAAAGCCTAAAAGTTCTGATATTAACTTTTTCTTTCATTAAAATATTTTATATCATTTATTCTTTGTGCCTATAAACTTGTGTTAAAGCAATCTTTGAATAATTTCAAGTCTATATGTGCGTACAGATTGCAGGAATTTTATATTCAATAAAGTTGGGAGTTTTCAATATCATACAATTATTATCCCGGTAATGTCAGGAATATTAATTAAATATTAAAACTGTCAAATATAATACATTTACCTTTTTAACTACCAGAATACAGAATACAAACTATATCAGTATGCTCTGGTATTAAACTTTTATAAGCACAAGAGATATCAAAATCTGCACTGTTAACCAACTTTTCTTTTTTGTGCAGCAACCTTCCCAAGCCCCAAAACATTTGCTAATAGTTGTTGTCATGAAGAGGGTATTTTATTTATGCATAAAGGAAGATATCTTGGAACACAAATATTACAAGAAAATTTATAATGTAAAACTTAAGGTTGGAAAAACATGGGGAATATATAGGGTACATGTAGCTGTTTAATAAGAAAAGTTGATTTACGGTTATGCAACAATTGAAAATCAAAATCTGAAAATTTATTAACTGTTAATTTTGTTTCAAATCATAGCAGGACAAATTAGGTTAGAAAGCCAAAATTAAGTCGAATTGGATTAAACTGTGAAAAAGAACTTCTAATTGCATGTTCGTCAGAGGATGAAATACACTTTGGGACGTTTCAATTGACAAAAATGCCGCTTTGATATAAAAATTTGTTGTAAGGTCCACAGAGATTTTGTTCTTAAACCTCATGCCGTAGTCTGTTACAACTGATCTCTAACCCTTTACTTTGAAATAAAGGGAAAACACTGTAATAAAAAATTGCTTCGACATATCCAAGGTATTCAACATTTCGAAGTTCAAGATAATGAAGATCAACTGTAAATCAAGGCATTAATATGGGTTCCATTACCAAGTTATGTAAAAATTCCTAGCTATGTTACACAATCTAAATACCACAAGTGCATTTCCTTGAAGTTAATATATAGTGTTGAAGCTGCAAATTAAGGATTTCACAAAATAAACAAAGCTCCCATATTTTCTATGGTATCCCTAGCATTACCATTAATGAGCTTCATAACATAAGGAGGAAATTCTTAAAATCAATTAACAAAAGTGATAAATATTGAAACCATTACCCTGGTACATTGCTGAGATATATGTGAAGTAAATGAAGAAAACCAGTATGTTTCTAACCTTAATCAGTTTGTTTTGCAATCGTAATCCATTGAGTGTGTTAATGGCCTTTTCAGCATCTGCTGGATTCTTGTAGTTAACAAATCCATAACCCAAACTCTGTCCTGAAATTTAATCAAGGATTTATATAATACTTGTCATTTTCCAATCTTGATATACACTCACTTATAAAGTTATTATCATTTAAAGCCTTTTTAATCTAATACATTAAAAGTTTAAAACACAGGTTGTTTATCCTTGAACATATTTTAAAATTTCTACTAGTATTCAATTCCCTCAGTATACTTTCTTATAATTGGAAAGTCACGAAACATTTCCCATCAGTGATTTTTTTTTTTAAATTTCTCTTTCATGATTAAATAATATTAATATAATGACCTCAAATCAAAAAGAAAACATCTCTAAAATTTTAGAAGTCATTTATTTAATAAACCTAAGGCTATCTAAATTTAATTCCCTGGTTCTCAGGCCAATTTTCTCCAAAACAGATGCGGGAGGGTGGCATTTTATTTTTCATTTTATTGGCAGTAAAGTAGATTCTTTTCTTTCATAAAGATAATTTTTTTAATCACAGATATACTTTCCAATTCTGCTTTATCCATTGCTTAACAGCGTATAAACATCGTAGGTAATGTCCTCAAATTTTCAAACAAAGTAGAAAATCTCACTGAAAATGACTACTATAAATTTACAAAAAAAATGAGGTCGGAGTCAACACCAACTTTTTATTTTATCAAAAATACAATAAAATCGGCAATGCGGCTACCTCAAAACGGATGCGCGCGGGCCTGAGAACCAAGATTTCAATTTTATATGGCCTAAGTGCCTCTAAAACTACTGTTTTCAAGTTTGCCTATTGTACATTTTGAAACATGCCTAGTGCATTTGAAAATTAAGCCCCCTTTTTTTAGAGTTGGTTAATAAAGACAATCATACTTATTATAATCAAATTATAATCTAATGCTATCTACCCAATATTTTAATCACTGAAATACAATACCTATCGTTCTAAAGATTCCCTTAAAAACTCCCACACCTTTCTCTCATTACAAAATGTCAATTTAGTATCAAGATAGATAGATGAAATAAAAGTACAAAGTTTTTGTCTTAGAGCCAGAAATACTATATATTAAATTTGTATCGTGGGTAGAATATTGAATTAAAAACTAATTGACAGGGTGGGGAGAGAAATGTCGACCATACTTTCAGAGATAGGTCTTCATTACTTGTTCAATAATCTGACCTATAATTCAATTTCTTTCAATATGTCAAAAGTACTGTAAGCTTTTTTTGGGGGGGGATGGGGATAACTGGGTTTGGGATATAAATTACTTGATTGATGGGATCCTTTTCCATTTTGGATTTTTATTTTTTTGCTTTAGAGAACATATGCATGTAAAATCTTAAATGAAACAAAAAAACACCCAAATTAGCCCAGCCTGACACAAGGAATTTTTTTAAGGCTCAATACTAATACTATGAAGCCTTTTAATGGACACATCATATCTATCTCATAATATTAATATATCATACTCTAAATGTACAATACATTAAAGGTACCATATGACCACCACCACAACCACTGCAAGTTATCAGAATACATGTGGCTTACATTTTAATTTAACAAATCATAATAACGAAAGCTTTGTGGGGTTCTATAAGTGCAGTAAAACAATTGAAGGCAGAAAGTGTATTGCAAGAAAGAGAGCAGCAGAATTTAAACACACAAGAATAAAGTAAAGCCAAGGGAAAGGAAAAAACAATCACACTGTCTACAAATAACTCCAGTTGCTCATGCAGAATGGATGATCAAGAGAACTGTCCACAATAACTTTTTTTTCCAACCAAAAGTTATTTATAATACAAACACACAACAACATTAATAAAGAGATGTTTTGGTGTGAATGAACTATAATAGTTCTAGAACATGTCATATATATATATACCCATACACAGAATTTTAAAACATTAACGAGAACAGAAACTGAAAATAAAATTAATTAAAAAAAAAAAAAACAATTGACAAGAAAAATTCAGGAAAAATTCTACAAAACCAAAAAATTTAAAAAACAGAAACAATAAAAATGATAAAGCTTTGAAAAAATTCAAATGAAAAGATCAAAAAAAGTATAGTAAAAAAAAATTAAAAATGAAGTCACGAACATAAAATTTGAATCAAATGACCACTTTTGCGTGTTGGAAAATTTTTGAAGCAATTTTCATGTAAATATATCTTTGCAGAAAAATTTTGCCATAAATATTTTTCCTTCAGTTTTCCAGAAACATTCTATTCAGCATGGGAGCATCTAGAGCTGAGAAATAAAAATTGCACACAAATCCTTACTCGCTGTGGTCAAGTGGCTTGGCACTTCGTACGGTGAGAACCTACCAGTAGGTTTGTCTCGGATCAGTTTACAACTCTCAACTTCACCTATGCTGGAGAAGAGAGCACGGATTTCTTCTTGGGTCATCGTTTGGGGTAGGTAATTGACGATGAGGTTGGTGTTGCTGGGTCGGTCATCGTTCTGTGACCCTGTAGAGGAGGGGGAAGTGGTGCCCCCATTCTGATGCAGACTTGGGATTGGGTGATGGTCAAGAGACTGCAGATCTGGCAGCGGTTGTGATATCTGAAATTGAATGGAATTACTATTATTGCTTAAATCAGTGCATGTATTATGGAAAATTGTCCATTAAATTTTCCTCTAGATTTTGTCTAATTAGAAGCCTTTGATTATTCTACAAAAATGATTGTAAAATAAAAGGAGAGAGAAAGAGAGAAAAAAATCTGAAAAGAAAATATTTCAATAAATAAAAAAACCCCTTAAAACATATGATTTTATACATCTTTTATATGGTTTCAAAGTTTTAAGAAAATTACAATACAGGTGGCTTATTGGTTGAATATTTGACCAACTGGGATGTTTAAATGTGCAGGATGCAAAACTTTTAAATTGTATTTATTAAACTATCAAATATATTGCATTCTAGCTGTTTCAGTCTGATGCTTATCTTTCATTGACAACAGAAGGTGCAACTTTAAATATACAACATTAAATACCTAAATGTTAAATGGGACCATCAACTCAATATGTCACCCACTTCTTTCCTCACAAAGTTAAAAAAATATTCTCGATTGATAGCAACAGCTGTCGTTTACCCTAACATAAAAGGTATTATGTATGAAAATTTATCATCTGCTCTATTTTGAGGTTTCATGGTTATTTAACTGTCTTAAATTCTCCTTTTAAACTTCCATAGTTAAAAATTTATTGTAGTAAGGAATTCTTGCAAGTAAAATTAGCCCTTACCTGATGGTCAAACAAATCTCATATAAAAAACTATTGGTTGGTTTCAAAAGTAAAATTCCATAGACCGACACAAACTTTTGAAACCATATTAAATTTTAATTTTTTCCTAATAAATCACTTGAATCTCATTAATCTCACATTCTCTTAAATATCATTCTTTTTTGAATCTCCCTGTCATTTCATTGACCTTGAAAAAATAATGAATCTTAAGAAAACAACTTTGAAAAATAGTGAAACTAAAAAAAAATCATAAATTTATGACATATTAAATATTTAACATATTCATTTACACAAATTTTGGATGAAGAGACTTTGAAAAGAAAATCCATATTTTTGGGGGAGAATAGATATCTTCTTTGTAATGCAATTTTACAAATTCATAAAGACATCAAATTAAAGTATTGAATCAATAAACAAGTTATTTTTTTTTCTTTTTTAAAACTTTTTTGAAAGATTGAGGATAGTATCATTGTGTCAATTTTCAAATAAAATTTTAAAGCTCTGCAGGCTGGGAACAAAAACATGAATCTAATTTGCCTTACAACACCCACTCCCCAGCACAACAGCTGTTCCATTCAACTATGCAAGATGCTTTTCTTTCAGCGCAGAATATAATGAACTGATAGACATATTATCTGATATCCATATCTTGTACTAAAACCCCACAAACATTTTACAGTCTGTGTTGTGGGTGCTGAACTAGCAAATCTTATCAACACTGGTAAAATATATATACAATAAATGTTTCGTTTAACTAAAATTTCTTTAACTTCAAAGACAGGATTTTTTAAAACTTGGATTATTCTTTTTAAGAATCATTCTAAATTATTATTGTGTGTAAAATTATTTTATTATTTATTTCACTTGTCTTATAACACATACAACACTTTTAAAAATTAAAACCTGTAAAATTGTAATCAGGTATGAAAATTATTTTAATACAAACAAAGAATAAAAGAATAATATATCAAAGTGTAAAATTAAAATAATTAAATGATATTTTTCAAAACTTACTAGTTTTTGTTGCTGGGGCAAAGTCATCAAGTTTGGAAATGAAATCATTCTGTTTGAATTTTCCTGCTCTAACTTTAGTTGAAACTGAAAACAAATCAAACAGATAAAAATAAAATCACTTGAAAAATAAAATTAACCAGAATTTATAACCCAATAAAATTGTTCTGTATTGTAAAAAATAAAAACAGGAAAAAGTAAGTAAAAAATATTGGCAACCTTTTCCACAAACTGTTTTCCAGCATTCTTTGTGACAACCGACACTAGTGAATTTGTTTCGGAAGCACAAAGAATTTATATTGAAATGAGTCTAAACAGTAAAGATCGATAGTGTCCCAGAGGAAATTCTTTGTCAACACCTCCAGATGGTCCCGTTAGCCAATCAGATCGCTAGACGAGGCTAACGGCACGAGCGACATGTCACAGTGACGATGTTACTACAGACAGTAGCTTACAGGAAAGGTGATATTTTAATTCAAACACAGAGTACTTAAATATACATGAATATGTTATCAATGAACTAATACTTCACCATACTGCTCTGATAATTTTTGGGACATTTGAATAGATCTAGACCTATCTTAAATCTTGAATATTTTGGGCACGTGCCGGTTTTCACTGTCGTGTGTTTGGCATCACCCAAGTGTGCACATGTATCGACAATGATCAGGTAGCTAACCCAGTTAAATATCCATTTCTTTCCCATAAAATATAAACTGCACTTTTTAAAGAATTTTATCTGACCTTCAAATACTCAGCGGTATCGATATCGTGAAATTCCAGACACATTCCAAAATGAACCTCCGAAAGAGCATCCATGATCATCAAAAACGTCTACCTCATCCATCCATTTTCACTAAGCCGTAAGATTGAGAAACCTGTTCATAATTTCTTTTTTATATATGAATACACTTATTTAATCTTGATATTGCATTAATCTTACCTTAAACGATTTTCTTGTTAATCAAACAATATCCACAAGAACCACTAAAACACAGCTCGCGCAAAATCCATCAAGATCAATGTTGATGATGTTGAACAGTCTCTTCGTAAATATGGCGAAGCCTGATGAAAAACGTTTATTCCTGCACGTTTGAATTTTCCTGGCGATTAGAATGGAACTTATTACAAAATAATGTTTAAATGAAATAAATATAGTAAAGGAATTTGGGAACGCTGCTTCCACACAAACTGAATCCTACTTATTGATGAGAAAGAAAATAAACGTAGGAATATATAGTTAATTAAGTGATACGTCACAAAATAATTATCATATATTTCATGTAATGTTATATGCAGAATGAATATTTTAGTGAATTAATCTACTTGTTTTTAATTGAGAAGGCATGAGTCGAAATATGGTCACATTAAACAGTTGTTTTACAAAATAAATAAAAACTATTTTTTTGGTCGGATTCTTTTTATGCAAATCAGGTGAATTAAGTCCGATGCATGCTTTGAAATAAATAAATTGCACGTTTTATGTTGTATTTTATTAGTTAATACGTTGCATTTTGACTGGAAGTTTATTTTTAAAAGTTACTTTTTATCTGTCACAAAGAATAATTCATTTCCCTACGAATACATGCGAGTTATATACAAAAGCTGTATAAAATATTCTGCCTTTCACCTTTGACCTATGAATAAATTTTCTGTAGGATCTTGGGAACATGGCGGACAAGAAAGGCGACTCTGGTTTGTTTACAGTTGCTTAGTTGCATGATACTGCTGAATCTTTTCATTTTAGATGCTAAGTTGTACAGTTGTCTTACTGGAATTTGTATAATAAATTACTCCATGTAAATTTTTGCGAATTGGGTCATGGCACATGCAGCATTTATACCCAATATTTATGTGTCCTTGCTCCATGCATGCTCTGCATGATGCAGATATTGCCCGATTGCAACAGTGCGGTCAGGGTAATTCTGAAGCTGAAATTTCTTATGTGACTGTGGCAATATAGTAAATCTGTATTACTTAAACATATTTTAACCCCCACCCATAAAAAAACCCCACAAATCAAAAATGTTCAGGATCTGACTTTCTATGTATCTTAGTTGAGTAGTTCATACATCAGTGTAAAATTTAAATCACTAGATTTTAAGTTGATCTAAAATGGGCCCAGCAAGATATGCATTTGTATAGTGGGTATAGGGTTGAAAATCAGCTGTTATCCTAAATTGATGGCATCTCCTCATGAGCTGGCTGGTAGCTCAGTCGCACAGTTAGCGGGAGGTCCCAAGTTGAAGTCCCAATCTGGCAGACATTTTTCCCCACCTGTTACATTTGGTGCCCAAAAATAAAACCCATGGGTGGTTTAGAAGAGTCTTGGTAAGGTTTTCAACTTTTCAGGATGTTAAACCTCAAGAAAAACGGGCAAAGTGTAACATGGATTGGGCTGGTAGCAGTACAGTCCCACAGTTATCGGGAGGTCCTGGTTTCGAGTCCCAGTCTGGCCGACATTTTTTCCAGCTGTTACATTTTTATGACTAGAAATCAAACTTAATATTTGATTATGATATAAGAGATCAAAAATCCTTTAGAAAAAACAGCATCCAAATATTACATTGTTGATAACTTTGAAACCTGATTAATTTTTGTAAGGGGAAAAAAAAATAAAGATTGAAAGATTTAGTTTTACTTTAGTTTAGTCCTCTTCATTCTGGTCAGCATAATTTAGGCCAGAGACTAGTACTACATGTGTACCATGTTGGCCTATTGAATGATTGAAATACTCATAAAATATGAATTTGTTGAAAGTATGTGACTAAAAACAGAATCTAAAGAGTAAACAGAAGTTTAATTATCATCTGTAAAAGAAATTCAATCCATTGTTTTTCTCAAATGGTGTCCTTAGAAATGTAATTTTTAGGGGGGCTCCAAAAAGTTCATAAGATCTAAGTGTATATTTTTAAGACAAGTTGCATTTAGAAGTAAATAATTTTACAATAAATGTATTTAGCCTATATAGTGAGAAGTATTTTTAATCAGATGTTGAAACTTAACTTACTCTGCAAGACTACATGCAACTTCTCTTTTTGCTTGCTGATTTCAAGTGAAATATGTTCCATTCCCAAATAAATACAACCTTAAATGGAGCAGAAATGAACTATAAATTATTAATCAAATATTTTTATTTACAGAGTTTGAACTCTTTGTCTATCAAAATGTCTTATCCTTTCATCCCATTGTGGTACATATACTCTCATCTCTGTCCTTTGTGCTGGAGGGAAATCCCTTCCTTTCTTAGAAATGGGAAACCAATGTTAATTAAAAAAATTTTATCATAAATTACAGGCAGTGAGACAGACAGTACAGATGAACCCGTTGTTGGGAATGTCAACAAATTTGCCGTAGTTCCACCAGGTTACACAGGCAGACCCAAGAAAGGACATCTGATTTTTGACGCCTGTTTTGAATGTGGTTAGTGAAAAAGGAGTTTGTTCCCACCTAATTCTTTTCTGTCATCAGTTCAGAAATTGTGATATCTTTTTATATTATTTTGTCTTTTGGAAAATATGCTAAGGCTCCATGAATACAAAATACACATTGACTAGTCAACTATCTATGGAAATCAAGCATCTGTACTATGATTTGAGCAAAGTCAATATATTTTATGGAAATTTTACTTGAGAATCATTCTTTCCTTTCCTTTTTCTTTTTTCTTATTTTGGTTAAGAATAATGTAATTCCAGTTACACATGCCTATTATTTGAAGGTATTCTGCATACCATTGACCAGAATTGTTTTTGGCTTTATGCTAATTTATGTGCTAGCAGCGCTACCATATTTTTTATCTTAAAAAATAAAATATCAGGAACAGAATCTTTTTCCATTGAACAGATGATTTGATTTTTTTTTTTTTACAGGGAATCTGGGAAGAGTGGACTATATAACAGAATATGAATACGATCTTTTCATCAGACCGGACACTTGCAATCCACGCTTCAGAGTGTGGTTCAATTTTACAGTGGAGAATGTCAAACAGGACCAGGTTAGCTATGTATTCCTCATCTTCTTCTAATGTTCTCAACTTTTTAGCTCACCTGTGCTAAAGGACCATGGTGGCTCAGGTGAGCAATATGGCTTAGGGGTCTTTGGTTGCCTCTGATCATATTGTTGCCAGTTCAGTCAGTTTGATGCAGCCACAGTACAGACATATATTATTACCTGAACAATGTTATGTGCAAAGAGACTGGACATTCATAATATATATTTTTATGACAATTTATGTAGAGCTATTATATATAATTATGTACTCTGATGTTCCTGATAAGTATTCATCTTGTTATCTCTAAACAATGACAGAAAAAAGTTAAAAATAAAATCCAGTCTCTGACAGATGAGGTGGTGTTTCAGTTTGATTAAGCATTTTTAGAATTTTTAAGTTACCTGCATACAATAATTATGATTCTAGGTACACAATACCCATTTTAATATTGAGTGGAATGACTTAAAGTGTCACTTGTCTCTGCAGTAACATATCTCCATTTATTAATCAGCTGCATTTGATGAAATGCCTTGTCAGTTGCATTGCAGGTAGTTGTTTTAAAAACTGCTCTTTGTGAATCACAAAGAGTATGGCTTTATTTGCAAAAAGATCGGGCTTTTTTTCAGAACTTGATTCCTTTTCATTCTTTTTCAGAGAGTTATTTTCAATATTGTCAACTTCAGTAAAACTAAATCCTTATACAGAGAGGGCATGTCACCCTTGCTGAAATCCACAAGCAGGCAGAAATGGTTAGTAGTAAATAGCATACAATTTATTTTTCCTTTTCAGCCCATTGAAATAAAAGTTTGTTTTTGATTTTTGTCCATAGAATATAATAGGGCTTTTGTGGGTCTATAGTAAAAGACAGATTAAAATAATCCTGATTGAAAACTAGTCATTTTCCCCCAAATTAGAAAACAACATTCCAGATTGACAAGCAGATTGATTAAGTTGATTTAGCATAGATTACATATGTAGTTATTTTTATATATAATTATGTATATGGGATAGTTAATAAAGATATTCATATGAGGAGCAAGTTAGCATGCATTAAAAAGTATTTTCAGTGAAATCAGCTTTTAAATTTTCAGTACTCTCCCATTTTGCCACATTTCCATTTAAAATGGGTAGAGAAAAAATTTCAATTGTTGTTGTTACACAAGTTGACCGAATAGTTTCTATTTATTGACTGAATTTTTAGCTCACCTGAGCCGAAGGCTCAAGTGAGCTTTTCTGATCACATTTTGTCCGGCGTCCGGCTGTCTGTCTAGCTGTCTGTCCGTCTGTCTGTCCGTAAACTTTTCACATTTTCGACTTCTTCTCAAGAACCGCTGGGCCAATTTCAACCAAACTTGCCACAAAGCATCCTTGGGTGAAGGGGATTCAAGTTTGTTCAAATGAAGGGCCACGCCCTCATTCAAGGGGAGATAATTGAGAATTAGTGAAAATTTGGTGGTATGTTTTAAAAATCTTCTTCTCAAGAACCACTGTGCCAGGAAAGATGAAACTTATGGGGAAACATCCTCAGGTAGTGTAGATTCAAGTTTGTTCAAATCATGTCTCCCGGGGGTAGGGAGGGGCCACAATGGCCGACCAAAGTTTTACATAGAAATATATAGGAAAATTCTTTAAAAATCTTCTTCTCAAGAATGACAAAGCCATAATTCATCATATTTATATGGAAGCATGCTCAGGTAGTGTAGATTCAAGTTTGTTCAAATCATGACCCCGGGGGTAGGGCGGGCAAAAATGGCCGACCAAAGTTTTACATAGAAATATATAGGAAAATTCTTTAAACATCTTCTTCTCAAGAATGACAAAGCCATAATTCATCATATTTATATGGAAGCATGCTCAAGTAGTGTAGATTCAAATTTGTTCAAATCATGACCCCCCGGGGTAGGGCGGGGCCAAAATGGCCGACCAAAGTTTTTAAAGATATATATAGGAAAATTCTTTAAAAATCATTTTCTTGAAAATAGCAAATCCATGATTGGTCATGGGACTACTTTTGGATTTAAACTTTACAATAAAAAGCCATTTTCTACTTTTTCCTACCCTTAGTGCTCAGGTGAGCAATGTGGCCCATGGGCCTCTTGTAATATGACGTTACTTGGAATAGGACAAGGATACCTGCGAAGCATGTATATTACTACAGATGTCCAGACCACAGAAAGAATTATGTCATGTCATTTTCATTCTGCTTCGACCGCGAGGACGATGTTTACCAGTTTGCCTACTGCTACCCTTACTCTTACACCCGATTACAGAATTATCTGGATAACCTTGAAAAGAAAGGGATGGATTTCTTCCAGCGAGAGCTGCTGTGTTTAACTGTGGTAAGATCATCTGCTGCAAAATTATATTTCAAGATTGAAGTGGAAACAGAATATTTAGCCTTTAGAGGACAATAGTAAGATTTTGTAATCGTTTCTTTGAACAGCAACAAAGACGACTTGATTTGATAACAATCACGCATCCAGACAACTTGGAACCTGAGGAAACTAACCGTATTGTGTTTATATCAGCTCGTGTTCACCCTGGGGAAACCCCCGCCTCCTACTGCTGTCAAGGTCAGGATATCGTGTCAACAGCTCCTATCTTTCTTATTTCGGAAATAGATTTTTATAGAAAAAAAAAAATTTTCCTGGATCTTATATAACTCAGTAAAAAAAAGAAATTTCACGTCTTATTGTTGTGCACTGTTTTCTTGATTCAAGTTTTGTTGGAAATTACAGTTACCGTTTTCATACAATTGAAAAATCATATTTTAATATGAATCAAACTGGAAGGTCACCAAGATTTTAATTTTTTTGCAGGATTCATAGATTTTCTAATCAGCAATCATCCAATAGCCAAAATCCTTCGAGAACACATAGTATTCAAAATAGTCCCAATGCTAAATCCAGATGGTGTATACTTAGGAAATTACAGGTATGTTTTATGCGTGTCATACTAAGGTGTTTTATAAACGAAAACTTGATGTCCATTTTAAATACAAAAGGAGACATTAAACCTAGTACTTTTTGTAATAACTATGGTCAGGAATGATATTTTTATGGCACCCTTCAAAGAAGGGAGGGCATATTGCTTTGCTGTCAACTCTGTCGGGCAGTAGGTTAGTCCACCATCAGTTTCTGTTCTTTATCTTTGCAGAGGTTACACATATTGAAATGAAAATTGGTATACAGATGTATCATAAGAATATCTAGGTCAAGTTTTGTTTTGGGTACAATCGAGCCATTTTGGACAGAGTTCTGCCAGTTGGACTTACAGAAAAATTCCAATTATTTGCAGTTTCTGTTCTTTTTCTTTGCAGAGGTTGCACATATTGAAATGAAAATTGGTATACAGATGTATCATAAGAATATCTAGACCAAGTTTTGTTTTGGATACAATCGAACCATTTTGGACAGAGTTATGACGGTTGTCCTTAAAAAAAAAATTCCAATTATTTGCAGTTTCTGTTCTTTTTCTTTGCATAGGTTGCTCATATTGAAATGAAATTTGGTATACTGATTTATAAGAATGTCTAGGTCGACTTATGTTTTGGGTACCATTGAGCCATTTTTGACAGAGATATGTCCTTTGGACTTAGAGAAAAAATCCAATTATTTGAGGGAGGGGGCATAAGTGTTTGACAAACATCTCTTGTTTAAAGCAAAGATATTAAGGTTTTAAAAAACTTTCAGAAAATGTTGAGGATTTTTAACTTACTTTGACATATTGTTGGTATTTGACTTACCAATGTTTAAGTTATGGAAGTTCAAATGTAATTAATTTTGCCCTATTTCAGATGTTCATTAATGGGTTTTGATTTGAATCGTCATTGGAGTGAACCTTCACCGTGGGCACATCCTACTTTATACGCTACCAAAAATCTCCTGATGGAACTAGATCGCAGTGTAAGACTAGTTTATCTCTCTTAAAATTTTTTTTCAATATTATATATGAGCATGATAAGTGTAAAGCGATGGAAAGTTATATTCTGCACTGCATATACAGCTTTTTATACATGTATATACTAAAGACTTTGTCTCTTCTTGTCATGTATAAAATATAATGCATGCTAAAATTAATTTTGATATTTTTATAATTTGTTTTCAGAAACATTCAATAGACTTTTTCGTAGACTTGCATGCACACTCGACATTAATGAATGGTTTTATGTACGGCAACACCTACGATGATTTAGAGAGGGTAGAGAGACACTCTGTGTTTCCACGACTTCTGTGTACCAATGCTGAGGATTTCTCACTGGCAAACACCAATTTTAACAGAGACGCTGTCAAAGCAGGAACTGGGAGGAGGTAAGAAATTTACCCCATGACAGGGTTTGATTTTTCTTCTCCATCTTTGGAGTGGTTAGTTGTGCAACCAAACAGAGAAAGTCTGCTAATCAGGATAAATTTAGGTTTATACCTTAAGGAATAGCTAGGATTAGCAGGATGGATCATATATTGAGTAAGCCATTTTTTATTGTCTGCATATACATAACATATTGAAATCAAATTGATATGACTCGCTGAACAATAAGGTGATCATAAGATGTTGTCATGATGGACAACAAAATTTCAACATAAAGATACAGAGAATGTGATGATAAGAATTCTGAGTATTTGTCCTGTATTTGGTTTCTCTCTGCTTGAAAAAGGAGGGTGAGGGGGTATTAAGTGATGAGGATATTGTTCATCTGTTACATCTGTACATTGGGAAAGGGGGATAGACATTTCGCCGCAAATTCTCCTATAACACTCCGTAAAATTGAGACTTTCACAGAATCTTTATTACCTCATGCAATTGTGCACCTATTTTTAATTCTATATACTGGTCAGAGACTAAAGATTTCATCGATAGTAAGATGTCCATTGTCCAACTGTCTATCTGTCTGTAAACACTTTTTCAGAATGCTACTCCTCCTTTAGTTCTGATTTTAATATAACTTGTCACAGAAGTAGAATACACTAAGATACATAGTTTTTGGATTCCAATTTATTATATACCTTTTGTTAATTTCAGTGCACAAAAGTAGACTACATTTAGATACATTTTTCTTTTGATCAGTTTTTGTTTTCTTGAATGGTGTTTCCATGGTTACTAAAATAAAAATTTCTGTAATTTTTTTTTTAAAAAGGCTACTCCTTCTACAGATTAGTCTGATTGCAAATATTGCCACAAAAAGAGACTAAATCAAGGATCGTGAATTTATCTATTGCTGTTGCAAAATTTCATGTCCAACTGTTACTTTTCTCTTCATTTGCTATAAGTACAACCCAGTAGAGCTACAGTCTCAACAGAGACTTCTGGTACACTTTAATGGACAGATATTAGGGGTTTCCCATTGCAAAGCATGGACTTTGCCATTATACGCATATGAGGGCAGGGATATCAAATTGTGATCTTAATATCCTTCAAATATCTTTTTAGATTTGATGGAGGTTGTGAACATAGATTACCATTTATGTCAAGTCATACGTTTGGACAAAGTGCTAATATTTTTCTGATACAGACACACAATCTTTATTCCATATGTACAAGTGCGTTAAAAAGTCCCAAAAAAAAATTTTATAAATAAGCTTTGTTTTATAGATACAATATATACAGTTTTGTTTATACAATTGATCTCTAAAGATTTTTTTATATTGCTACATTTTGCTAGTTATTTTGAAAAAGGTCGTTTCACGGTAACACAAATATAAGGCTAAATTTAACATTGGCAACATTATAACGTTATTGACTGGGTATAAACATATGATTTGTTGGACCTGAAGGTGAAAATGTTGCCCGAGGCCGCAGGCCAAGGGCAAGATTTTCACCTTCAGGTCCAACAAATCATATGTTGCCCGAATCCCAGTCTATAACTGTTTTGTTATATCCTTCACTGCTCACTTAAGAGTGATCATTTAATCAATACACCCTATATTATCAATTATTTTGTATGGAAAATTATGGCTTCTTCAGTAAATATAACACATCAAGCTGAGAAAGAAAAAAATCCATTATATATCTATTGTATCACAAAAATTATTTATCACAAAATATACTCTTTCCTTCTTCCTTACCTAGCTGTTAGCCTAGCAACAACTCTTGTAGCGCTTAACTTCGGCTATTTTCGCGTCGCCGATATTTCACGATGATTAATTAATTGTGACGTAACAGACGAGTGACGTTGCGGTCTAACAATTCTTATGTAAGACCGGTCAATAGTGAAATTGTTAGACCGACGTAATAAGCAGTTCTTTTGTTGGACTTTTTAGAAGTAATAAATATATAGAATGATATTTATAAGGGTATAACAAAGTAATATATTGACTGTGTGACCGTTGTAGTGATATATAGTAGCCATGCTAACTAAATTAGATATATAACATTCAAAATGCTGTGACTGTTTGTTTATCAAATATTCAGTTCATGAAAGGGTTTGTTGTTTTTTGATTTTTTTATAAAACACATAGGGGCCTATTATACTATATTTATCACATAAACGTTACGTTTCAAAACTACACGTGGGGGTGGTTATGTACGTGATTATCAATTTCATTATTTGATACAAATACCCCAAACTTGCTTTCTCTCAAGTTTGTGAATGGTGTTTCCATGGTTTTATCTTCAGAGAGAGTAAAAATATTCCTTTTAAAAGGGGGAGTCCAATTTTATTTTTTTTACAATTTGTAAAAAAAAACCAGGCTACCCTCCCCATGTAATGTACATGTATATTTTTAAAGTAAAATAAATTCTAGATAGGCCTTCATGCAAATTTTTTTGGTTATGTGTGCCTACAAATAAAAAAATGAGATATCCTTGTAGCAAAGAGAGAATTATAACTGAAAATTAATGTTAGTAATATGCCTCTGCTGGTGGACTTTTAGAGGGTATCCATAAGCCCAGTTTCGTCTAGTACTCCAGTGCTAGCATGAAACGGATATATAAATTTTAATGTGATAAATTTTAGAAATAAAGGACGTATCTCCCTCAGGCATAGCTCTGGTCCTTGTTCGGATTTTGGCTGTTACTTTTCTCTTCTTTATCTTTTTTATTTGTTTTGGCTGAGCATCACTGAAGAGACATTATTTTTCGAAATGCGCATCTGGTGCATCAAAGTTCATACCGTTCATTTCTTATGATAAATATAGAGTTTTACATATTTCTGTCTCACTCCAGTAAAAATGTCTTAAGTTGATAGAGCAATTCGCTATAGATATTAGGGACTCTAGGTCTGATCAGAACAGTGTGATATTGGGTTAATATCAAACAATTGTTTTGTATTATTAGTCTCCCTTTGCTGAAAGCATGGACTTTGCCATTATATGCACTGTGCCTTGATACTTACAGAACAAGTATATTCATTACGTTTGACATACTTTTGACTGAATTATATTACTGTTAGACTATTTTGCTAGTTTTGGGGAAAAAAGTTATTAATTTTATCATATAGACTCTCTTACCATGATTGCCTATCTTTTTATTTGATGATATTTGAAAATGTAAATGTAGTATATCTCTGTTTACCGCTGAATATATCAAGTTTAAAAATTTTGTCCGCAGGATGGATCTAGGCAGCAATTCTTCTCAGTTTTGTACAAAAACTGTGACAGCACCTGAAATTCAGCGCAGCATTATACCATAAAGTTTGTCCCTCAAAATTTGTGCAATGACTTTCAAAGAAATAGATCTAATATTTTTCTGATACTGACACACAATCTTTATTCCAGGTGTATCAGAATTTTTTTTCTCTGTGATCATTTTCAATGAGTGGCTAAGGAAATGAAACAGATTGCCATGGAGATCGAAATTGCAGATGTCTGAATACATCTCCTAAAAAAAGTTCCTTCAACTCTCTATCAGTTGGACTGGAAAGTCTCTAATGCTAAATTTGTTTTATTTTTTTCTGGTTTTATTCTACTTTGGAGAAAAATTCCATTAGTTCTACAGATGGTTCCATATTCCTTTAAATGGAGCAAATCATGTCTTTGAATTTTAGGAACCCCCGACGAGAAACTCGGGAGGTAATCTGAGTACACAGATCTTGTCAATATTTCATATATTCATGCCGTTGTTCGGCCACGGATAATTCCCATGATGTGATGGTATTCAGGAACCAGAAATCAATATCCTTTTATGTGTTTTGACCATAAAGTGTAATTAGCTAAAAAGCGATGCGATACCCTTCAGTTTTCCTAAGTATCAGTTACTGCATCCATAAAATTTGAAGCCAAATCTTCGTTTTTTTTATGAAATTACCTTAACATCAGGGTGATAGTGGAAGGTTAATATTGTATGCATTAAGAAGGTTAAGAGTCATTGAGCAGAATGTAAACAATAAAAATGAGGTCTGGGACTTGATTTCATTTATCCTTGGTAGAAAAATAAAATCACATTTGGTCAATTTTGCTAAAAGAATAATAGAAAAAAAGGTGCAAGCGGAAAGTTGATATACTATGCCGTTTTTGACAGAACAATAAATAAATAATGAGAAAAAGCCCACGGAAAGCATTACATTGACGTCACTGGTGAAGGAAACAGAGACAGAAATTGGTTGTATATAGTGATGCAATTTCTACAACAACTTTAGCTAGCTAATTGACTTTTATGTTTTTCCCGTAATCATTAATTGATGCCAGAACATCAGATACTGAGAGTCCTTTGATTTTATGAGACAAGAGTAATGATTTGGTCTTTTTTATCCTGTAAGTGTTCTCCCTTAGATTTAATAATTTATGATATGGTCTGGCATGATAGTCGAATGTGTTTGTCTCTATTGTGTTTTATCCTAAAGGCATTGTATAATGATGGATCATATTGAACAGTTTCTTAGAATGGTATACATTCATCACAGTAAATCGTATTTGAGCGATGGGGACTCGGATAAGATGTAAACCTTTTTACACAAAATCAGATGCTTTAAGTATTGTTATTGAACATTCTGTCAGCCTACACAGGTTAAACCATGGTCATAGCTATCAAACAGAATTTAATATAGAAATATCAAATTTGGGCAAAGGTCAAGGTCTGACTCAGTACTTTGTGTATTGGTGTATGGCTAAGAACTTAGTAAAAGGTAAAAGGTTAACAGATTGGCTCTCCAAGGGCATAATGTTTGACAATCCCTTGATCTTTTTCATCAACACTAAGAAGAGAAAGCAAATTACTGCTTTACTGTTTTGTTAAATCACTTCAATCCCTGTTTCATATAATTTACAGTTAAATCTTATTATCTTGAACTCAACAAGTCTGAGAAAAAGAATTTGAGGTATCCAAATATTAAAGATATATATCAAGGTTTAATTCTTAAAGAATAAGGGCTTGGACTTCCAAATCAATTTGACATATCCATTACAGTACTGAGATATCAGTGCTTGAGATACCAAAATTCAACTGTATTTTCTTTATATTGCTTAGCACGTTGCAAGAATCAAATGTATTAAGTCTAGAAGTATAGAACAAGAGTGTCAGTCTTACAGTGTGAGTGGGTTAGTTTGTATCCTGTAGAATTACTACCTAGCCAGGACACACAGAAATCTGTGTTCCATAAACGGAATAATCAATGGTAAAGCAAGCAAAGGTCAGCAACATATGGGCATAAAATGACAGTGTTTGAATACAAATAAGGTCTCTATTTGTAGAAATTATAATTCCTCAATTACAGGTGTCTTTACAACCATTGTTTGGTGTCAATTATAGTTATACTTTTCGCTGAGCTTTTGTCAATTTTTGTTGCTTTTTGCTGTGCTTCATGTCAAGAACAAACAGGGCTAACTAAGCAGTGGTTTAATATCGAATATTGATTAGCCAATAAACCCACACTGTAACACAGGATGGACAATATCACATAATAGGACAGAAATTCCTGCAGTTTCCGCTTTAAATTGCTGTTATTAAACTGTTTAAATGTGATTTTTCATAGATTTGATCAATATGCTTTTGTCAGACACTGTGGCTAAACCAATATTTGAAATGGCAACATCGATTTACAAGTTTGCATACATGCTAAAAGCAATTTTTTATTGGAAAATGTTCATGCAACTTGATTAGTTTAAACGTCCATTTTTTTTTTTTTTTGGTTAGGAGAGATTATTATACAAATACAGGGGAGTGTTGAAGTGTAGACCATCCTTTTATTACTGAAAAAGAGGAAAAGAAAATTGAGCAAAACAAATAAATTGTGTCTGCACTGTCTGACCGTATTTAAAATATTGAAATGCATAATTTAAAGTTAATGTGAATGTTGACCCATTAGGAAGTTTACATTGGTGATTAGGTTCTATATGTCTAATGTATTAATGAATTTTTTTTGCTGAATTGCATAAATCTTTGACATCTCAGGTTACATATGAATCCTTGCTAATTAGAGGTACCTGTACTCCTTTTTAGGGAAGGGGGGGGGGCTTAATGTGTCCAGAAAAAGTGTTAGGTTTTAGTATACATGTACTTGATGATAGTGTTCCTGTATTTATCTAGGGAAATTAGGGTAGAAATCCATCCATTTTTTTCAAACCAGTGAGTTACAGATGTTCTGCTATTTCTTTATGAGCTACACCTAGAAACAGCATCCTAGAGTTATTAAATTCACATGCCAAAAGATGCAGGTTACAACGAAATTATGTCAAAACTTCCTCATGTACAAGCATATCCCTTGCTAATTGCCTACAATCATCTACATTCATGAATGAAATGTGATGTCATAGTAAGGATGTGACGTCAGTATGACGTTAGTTTCCCGTGGTCTACTGTGCATCTTCATCCCAGGTCATCAAGTACTTTCATGCAGATGTTTGTTTCTCATGTAATCTGTTGAGGATGTAAATAATTTGACACTGTCAATCATGATTGAGTTTTTATTTCCTAAAAAATGTGCATTCTTCACTTGCTTTAAAAGTAAATACTTCAGTATTTGAGCTTTTTGATTTTTTTTTTCATGACCTGTTTTACTGAATTAAAGCTTTGTCATTATTTACATTTTTCTTCCTGTCTGTCTGTGTTATTTATTGTAATTTCTAGTTTTGATTGAATTCAGAACATTTTTGTGCTGTCTGCAAAGCTAAGTGAAACTTAAAGACCACTTTACCCTGGTCTGTGTGTCTGTTTAGCTGTCTGTATCAAACTATCTGTCCATCTGTCCCACAGTCATAACCTGTATCTTGATAACTATAGGTGGAATGAATTTGGTATTTTGTAGATATGCTTGGACTTTAACTTCATTTGTAAAATACATGTACCATGATTACTGACCTTGAGATGGACTTGACCTTACTTTTCAAAATAGTTCATTGTGCCAATATATAGCATAGTATTATTTCACCTTAGCATAGTTAGTTTAAAATAAAACATCATAAAATTGATCATTGTTACACTTGACCTCTAACCTATTTTGTGAGAATAACCAGGTCAAGGTCATCAATGTCATTCAAAAAAAGAGGTCTTGTCAGTGTATAAATCTCTACTTTGCTCTTATTTTTACAGAGGAATATTGTATATGCTCTTACTTGGCACAGAATTGTGTTACAATTAAAGATGTCTGATGACCCTAACTCAAGGTCATATAGACAAGACCAATGTCACAAGTATTGAGAGTATTTGTCCCTATCCCTTACAAAGGGCTTTTTGGGCAATTAGATAGCTTTAAGCAAACAACCAAAGTTTATAGATATGATGAAAACTATTTGGTTTCAGTTTTTAGACAAGTAGACATTGTGGTGTCCTGTCCAATCAAGGGCAGCTTCTTTTTTTTTTTTTTAAAAACTAATAAGTGCTCATTTAGTACCTCTCCTCTTGCTTATAAACTATTATTAAACTGCTCTACTAAGAACCTTAAAGCATTGAATTCATATTTTGGGATGTCTTCGGTCATATAACACACTTGGCCGTGCCGACAAATTGATAATTTACATTCTCTAATTATACTTCTTCATAATTGTTTATTTCTATAATTTTTAATGTGAATTTAGCGCCCTTCAAACTGGTGTGCTTTATAGATGTAAGAACCGTATGTGACGTTGCAAAGTTAAATAATGCAAACGAACATTGCGAAGAAAAAAAGTGACAAATTAATTTTAAACACACATTTGTTGTATTTTTACGTTAATTAAACAGGGTTAATTTCTAGCTCTACTGGTCAGAGACCAGAAGAGCTTATGCGAAAGTAATGCATCCGTCGTCCGTCCGTCTGTCTGTCTGTAAACAATTTTTCAAAATGCTATCCTCCTACAGTTTTGTTCCGTTTTCAATATAACTTGGCACACATAAGTACAATATACTAAGATACATAATTTTGTGCATCAGTTTTTGATTGCGATGAACAGTACTGCCATGGTTACTAAAAATAGAAATTTCTTTGAAATGCTTTCAAAATGCTACTCCTTCTACAGGTTTGGTCTGATTTCAATATAACTTGGCACACAAGTAGAATATACTAAGGTACATAATTCTGTGCATTGATTTTTGATTGCAATGAACAGTGTTGCCATGGTTACTAAAAATAGAAATTTCTGTGAAATGCTTTCAAACTGCTACTCCACCTACAGTTATCAGTTTTAGTCTGATTTCAATATAACTTGGCACACAAGTAGACTACACTAAGATACATAATTCTGTGGATCAGTTTTTGATTTCGATGAACGGTGTTGTTATGGTTACTAAAAATAGAAATTACTGAGAAATTTGAGATGCTTTCAAACTGCTACTTCTCCTACAGTTTTGGTCTGCTTTCAATATAACTTGGTACACAAGTAGACTATGCTAAGATACATAATGCTTTGCATTGGTTTTTGATTTTGATGAACGGTGTTGCCGTGGTAACTAAAATATAAATTTCCTTATATTAATTTAAAAATGCTATTAGAAATACAGTTTTAGTTTGATTATGATATAATGTGGTATGCGGATAGAATACACTAAGATACATTATAGTTTTTATTGTTTTCATTTTGATGAATGATGTTGCCATGGTAACGAAAATTGAAAATTCTTTAAAATTTTATTAAAAGCTACTCCTACAGTTGTAGTCTTATTGCAATATTGCCACAAAAAGTGACTCAATCAAGGATCATTATTCCATATATTGCTGTTTTAATGTTTCAAGTCCCAACAGCTACTTTTCTCTTCCTTTGTTATAAGTATAAACCAGTAGAGCTACAGTCTCGACAGAGACTTCTGGTTATTTATTAAATTGTGTCAAAACAATGTACATTTTGGTGTTCTAGAGTATTGAAAATGCATATAGTCCCTACTGTGTATATGCGTGGTGACAAGGTTTCGTGTGTGTTATAGAGATTTGAATGTCGTGGATTTGTTATGGATTTTATAAAGAAAATTACACTGAATGTAAATATTTCCTAATGACAGACAGGCATCTGTTCATGTATATTCTTTTGCAAGAAGTATAGTTTTAGGCACTGAGCATAAAATATATCAAACTTGGTAAAAAAAAAAAAAAAGTTTCTGCTAGTGCTAGTACTAGAACTTGATAGGGACCATTGGTGTACTGAGCCAGCTCTTTAGTAAACTGAACTATTGAGAGCTTGATATATTAACTGGTAGTGATGCATCTGTAAACCAATTAATACATTATTTTGGTCCTAACTTCAGAATGTTAAAGTACATGTATCTACATTACCCATGAAGTACCCAATAAACATGTACAATATTCAACACCTGTACCACAATGATATAAATACTAAATGAGATGATTAAATTTTAAGTAGTTAGCATGTTTATAATTAAATTCTTATTTCATTCTATTTCAGAACACTGGGTGGATGTTTGGATGAGAATTCTCATTGCTATACATTAGAAGTGTCTTTCTTCAGCTATCAGACCAATGCATCAAGCCAGGCCCTGCCATACACTGAGGAGGGATGTATCCTTAAAAAGCCATAGTCAAAGAAAGATAACTCTGTTATACATTGGGAAAAGTCCTTATAGAAAAAAAAATTATTCAGTGATTTGATAGCACATTTTATAGGCAATACCTGTGTAAACAAAAGCATGGATCTAGAACAGATGTGAACGTTTAAGCTCATCTGAGCCAAGGTCTAAAGGGAGCTTTCTCTCATCAAAGGGTGTTCCTGGCACCTGTCTGTGAACATTTCAAATGGAGATCTATAAATTTTGACCTATACTTGGCACTAGACACTCAGACAGGAACAGTGAGGGATCATTTTCGTGCCAGCATCTACTGCTACACAGGATAACAGTTTATATGGTCTCATCTGTAGGACTGGGGCCCGTTTTACAAAAGGACTTACGACTTAAGACCAAATTTAATTCTTCATATTACTTTTTAATAAACATTATATAGAAAATTATTTTAAACTTTTTAAAAGAAATGTGGTAAGATATTTTTACACAAATAATTTTGAAGAGAATTATTAAGTTTGCAAGATTTTACAATCATCTGAAGTTTTTGGTCTTAGTCGTAAGTTCTTTTGTAAAATGCCTGCCCCTGGTCTCCACATTCCTCAGTGGGATTCAGATCCTTTATGTATGGCTCAACTCCTTACTCTGTGCCTCTAGAGCAGATGCTCTACCACTTTGCCAAGCAGGCAAAGCATCTGTTCTGAAGTTGCAGAGTAAGGAGTTAGTCTGTGGGATGTGGAGACCAGTCCTTTGAAATAAGGAGTAGGTGCTGGCACGAAAGAGATCCCTCACTGCTCAATGGCTCTGAGTGATGAGTATAGGTCAAAATATGTAGTTCTTTACTGGTAAGTGGTGGCGCCATGTCTCCATATGAATGAAAAATTCATGAGAGGGACATTTACAAACAAACATGCATTACTACTGGTATATAGCCCAGCAGATTTCCCATTATTATCTGTGCAAAACTTTGATTTCCTATTGAAGCCCCACCCTTCTATGATTTACGCATGTAAACTGTAACAAGGTGGGCCATGGACCTCCTTTTTTACCCCCTTGAGAGGAACAATGAAGTTTGTGGTAATGAAGTTTGTAATCCCTCTTCCAAATCATACTTTTCTCCTTTTTGCTCAAAAGTTAATAATTAGTAGCCTTGATGTTTCCTTTCGATTCCTTAAACAACATTCAGATATGAAACTTGGCAGGAATTTAGCCAGAACTTTTCTAGACTACTACAAGTTAGTTAATGTAATCAGTGCTAAACCCAGCAGTAGTATTGTACCGAAGCCAGGGCGATTCAGCATCCGAGACCGACAGGCAGAAAGGTCAAACACAGACCCTCCAGAAAAATTTCAGATGTATTATTTGATATTAAAGAAAATCTTCGATATTAATAAAGAAAATCTTTCAATGGCATTGAAAGCAATCAAGGAATCAATGAAGGAGGAGGATATTGGTAAGTGGCAGCTTACCGGTATTTGCTGAAACTAAATAAAACCAGTTTGCATTCAAATGATTGAAATATTAGCAGAAAAATTTCAGATGTATTATTTGATATTAAAGAAAATCTTCGATATTAATAAAGAAAATCTTTCAATGGCATTGAAAGCAATCAAGGAATCTGATTGTAATTTGTAGTAAAACCAGATGTGATGACTATTTTTGAGGTATAAATTCAATATCTATAAAATGATTTGGGAATCTGTTGGAAGGGAAAAATTCACTTCTGAAATCTGAACATCAAGATTTGGGTTTTAAATTTTAGTTTGGAATGTGGATTTATGAATTTTTCTTTGGTACATGGAATTATGGGCTCTGATGGTGAAATATATTTAGTATTTACATGTATTTAGATAAATATTATACATAATTTATCATGAATGGGTGTTACAATGTACACTATTACTCATATTACTTATAAATTTTGTATAGTGAATGCATTTTCAAGGGAGACAATTGAGATTGTGACGACTTATCTGTATACTTGTATATAGGTTTTCTAGGGTTAAACCAGCAACGTTCTCTTACTCAAAACACTGACAGGTAAAATTCTAGCAGGAGGTCATTTCTCCATATAGCTATTTTATTGATCATATACCTCTCCTCCTTAAAATGGTGTATTTTGTTGGTATGGGTAGCCTTTCTTTCTTAGATCTGATCCTGTTAAACAAAATATTTGGAATATTTTGTATGTTTAAGAAGAGGTCTAAAACATCTGTGCTAAAAATAACCATGTGCTATATGAACTACTTTCATGGTTCTTTACATTCTTTTTGAAAACAATGGTACCTTGTTTTGGTGCATGAGAGAACATTAATGCACAGTTTGCATACCAATATTTATATATTATATATGCACAACATCCCTGTTAAAAAAGACTAAAATTTGATCCATAACATGTCTATAAAATTATAAAATTATCAGACCTGTGGTATAAAACTTTGGTAGCAACATCACTTGCTTTCACCGTAACATAACAAATATCATATTAACCATCTGCTTTTTTCTTCCTCTTTTCATTTTTCCTTACCTGGAATCAAAGAGTTTAAATTTTTTTTATATCAATACGTAAACTATATAACAACTGTTCGATAATAATACTAAATAAATTACTTCAAGCCACACTATAACACCTTTCCTCTTTTTAAAGTGTTCATATATTATTTGGAATATTTTGCAACTGTAATTCTCTTTTACATCTTCTCTGGTATGCTCATCTTTTCAGATCAAAGTTTGTTCCATCACCTATGAAATTGTTATTACTGTAAATCACTTTTTATTTGCAAGAACTTTATTTTCGCAAAATTATGCAAGTCTGTCTGCTCACAAAAAATATTTGTACACATGTATTATTAATGTTTATATACAACAGAAGCCACAGCTCGCAAAAATTTTGTCTCTCTAATAAATACCAACTAGTTAAGTTGCGAAAATAAGTTGTCGCGAAACTGTAGTGATTTACAGTAAATCAAAAATTCCTGGGGGTCAATTTTCATGGATTGTGTAAATTTTACAGGTCCGTGGGGATGCATTTTCATGTATTTGCATACTTTCAAAAGGAATTTGTAACCACTTTTTTTCATTCATGGAGGATGCAAATATTTGAATGAGATCCTATAAAACTGAGCCATGAAGAAGTATATAATGATCCCACAGTATACTTCAAACATTGCAAATAAACCGCATTGTAATATTAGTGTGAAATCTTTCAGAACTACGGTGCTGAAGGTGTATATAAATTTTATTCTTGGTTAATTCCTACATAATTGTTATAAAAGTAGTCCGGTGAGTAGTGAGCAGTTTGTGTGGTAATCTTCACTTACATTTTTATATTTTCTTCAATATTTTAGATTATTATTTTATTTTTACTTGAGCACTGTATTAGAAGTATGTAATAGCTCACACATAACATTTTGAATACAAATAACTGTCTATTTACCATTTCCAGTAAAATAAGTTTATCTCTGTTTTGTTGTAGCACACTAAACCACAGAGTGGTGATGGTTGAAAATTAATTTTCTTGACCATTTTAAAGACTGAAAAAATTGTTTCTTTTTCATTTATTCAGAGATTATTCAATTGATTTGAGAGAAAATGTCATTCCTTTATGTGAATGTAACATACAATACTTTACTTTTGTAGATTTGAGGAACGTAGCATTCGCAGATCTTACCAAAGAGACTTTAGCATCAATAGCAGCAATGCTTTCTCAGAATCGTCCTCATCAATCCGTCTCCAACTGAAGGAAAGTCGACGATACTGATACTCTGTTAATTAATAGACTTAATTAACTGTTTAATTCCACTCAGAATGTAGCAATGTATTACATATTCAATGCAATCATCACCTGATATATGATGAATTTCATAGTATAAGAAATTGCTCTGCATGTCATGTCACATTGATTCTCATTTTGAAACGGCATTTTTTAAAATTATGGGCATAAAAATGATAGGCATTCTGACAATTTTTTGTCATCAACAAAGCTACTTTGAATGAAATACATGTACCATATGATCATGAGGTTATTTTTGTAAAACCACAATTTGTTGTAAACTGTTAATTTTTTATCTACATGATAGAATGACACTGGACTGTGATATATTTAAGTAATAATTTATATTTGTTATGGCTACCCATTTGTGTAAGGCCACAGACATTGTTATTTTACACTATGTATAGTTTTATTTATTGTATTTGAGGACGAGCAAAACATGTACCATTTTTAAGTTGTGCCAATTTCTTGAATATGTCAACACTCTCTCAACAACACTTGTGATCAAACTTGAAATCAACTTAATTAAATGTTCATTTACGAATAATCAAACAAAACAACTTTATATCTATTTTATGTTCCATGTATCATATGTTTCTGTGATTTTTTTCCCTCCAAGAGTACATAACCATATTTATTGATGTGCTCCAAACCAGAAATGTGAAGATTATTATTATTTTTTTAATGCTCAACCACTTTGATGCACAAAGCGAAGGTTTTACCTTTTAAATTATGATTTTGTTGACATTTCATCAAACCATGGTCCAAGTGTTTTTTTTTCATGGAGTTTACATTTATTATTATTAATTATCCTTTTGGATCTATACGTCCATCTGTCTGTGTGTAACTCTTTCCTTACGAAATGATATTTGAGCATTTGCACTGAAATTTTACACAAATCCATATTTTAATATTCTTAATTCTAAAGAAAATCTCTTTTGATGTAGAATTTCAAAGGGCAAGGTCAGAAAAACATATACATTGCAAAAATATGGTTTAAAGCTTATAGTTTACGTTTCTCTTGAGGGTTTTCAATTAAAAATTCACATCATAACTTCTGTTCTCTTTTGTTAGAATATAGGGCCACAATTTTCCTATGTTAGTGTATATGATATCAATAATTGAATACCTACATCATTTATCATAAGTTTATGTAATCTCAGAATGCTAATTTTCTGATGACTTTTGACAGATTTGAAGGTAACCTAGTATACAACTATACAATTGACAAGACCTAATTTACTAGTATTTAGTAATGCATCACGCTTTGGAGGGAAAATGATGCATAATTGTACTCCGGTTGTCGATTTAGAATTAAAGTGAGATAATAAATAAAGACATACAACTTAAAATATTTCAGCAACATAGTAAATTTTGAATTTGTATTTAATATATTCACAATCATTTTGGGCATTGTTAAAAAATGCAGTCACAACCCCATTTATGCAAACAAACAACCAATTCAAAATCCATTAAACCTATAATAATTTTGATATTCATGTTTTTTATCGTAACACTGCTGTTTTTAAAATGTTTGAAATTTACGGGAAAAAAAAAGGAAATTGTACAAAGACTATAGTCCATACAGCTACAGCCTTGTCAGAGACCTGTATTTATTTTTAGATTGTTGATAACTGTCTCTAGGAGGCATTGTTTGTTGAATGAATGTTTCACCAATAAAAATAGTTTATTTACATCATGTGTTTAGATTGTTTTATGGGTAATTACACCCTTTGTATCAGAGAGGCATGGTCCAGTTCTTACATGCTGCATTTGAATTGATATGGATACAAAAAGACATGGGTCAGCTCCTTCTGAAGGGCAGATGAAGAAATCGATATTATATCATACAAGTAAAAGCCAAATTTTGTTAAATCATACTCAGTGGGAGTAAGCAAAAACTTCCAAGATATCAAGGACTTGAGATACTGAGGTTAAAATTCTTTAAATAATAAGCTATTACAACTCATATTTGAGATATCAGTGTTCAAGAGACCAAGGTTTAACTGTACATGCTCTGTGTAACTTCTGCACTGCTATCAATTTTTGGAATATCACCTGTTGTTGAGCAAGTTGAATGTTGCTAGGTTCTTATCATGCAACAGCACTATAGTTATGATGCTAACTATAAGATGTTCAGGGTCATCAGTGTTAGTTCATGAGGTAGTACAGATTTCCAATTAATAATTTTAGGGGTAAATACTTCAAATCTTTATATCAGACTCCGTTAAATCTAAGAAGTAAAGTTCTCCAATTACAGTACTTTGCAGTCTTCAAGGATTCTCTATATGCACCAAAGACAGAAAATATATGGTGGTTTAGAACAACCTGAACCCTATGATTTTAAAGGTGCATAGACATAGATCTAATACTAAAGGATAGTAGCAATTTTGTTATGTATTAATGAAAAATATTAAATCTATAATCCAGAAAATTCAGAGTACAAATGTGCGAAAGCAAACCCATTCACTAAAAATGTCAGTCCGTGCTCAATGTCGTGTACAAAGTTTAACAAATTGAATACACCCCTGAAACGTACACAGTTTTTGTAATCAGGACACGAGCTCTGTAGGTTTTAACTTTAGTTTCACCGGGTGTATTCATATAAAATACATGGTTACTGTCTTGAAATATAAGCGATATTTGGGCGAGGGTAAGAAAACGTGATAGAGGGCGAGGCTTGCCAAGCCCTCTTACGTTTTCGACCCGAGCCCAAATATCGCTTATATTTCAAGACAGTTATCATGTATTTTGTTTATCCTGCAACATATTCTTTACATTTGAACATCCAAAAACAAGTATTTCCGACAGATTTAGGCACGTCTCTGCAGTTGAAACTATGACGCCATGGCGTAAACATTGCAGTATACGTGACGTCACAATGCTTTTAGAACGTCGGAATACATGCACGAGGCTTTATTAGGGCAGTGACTGGATAAAGCTTTGGTTTATTAGGTTACCTTTATTATGTCAATGCAAGGGGTAGTTGCAGGATAAAATTGTTAACTCTGCACACACCACTGAGTACGGACTGACAAAACTGGTGTGTTGGTGTCTATGCACCAGTAAGCAAATTCAGGATATAAGCTTATTAATTCAAGTAAATTTACTTTGTAAACAAGATTACAAACAGAAAGTCGTTGGCAAAATTTCTTTTGTGAGATAAGAAATCTCATTCACATCCAAGTAGCTCTTTGGTTGATCATGACAAATACAAGATAACAACAAAGTTAGAATGTTCTCACTGATAATTTATTCCATCTTTATGGAGCTTCCAGTCAATAATGACTATAGAAGATCTTGTACAATACAGAAACATACAGCCAACATACTGATACTAAACAGACATATGACTAAAGGGCAACTATCAATGTAGTTCACGGGGGATAAGTCACCAAGGAGACAGTCGACCTTTGACCTCTACTGTAAAAAATATAAACAACCTCGAAAAAGATTTTTTTTTTCAGATGAGATTTTTTTTACTGTCCACATATATATCATAATGCATGGATTTGTATGAGAATGAGGTCTCCTTAGTCAATTATCTCCCTTTATTAAAAAAAAAAAGGTTTTCTGATGATATTGTAACAACAGGAACATTGATAATTGCTACTACACATCAAGACAGATCAACCGATGTGTATGGGCTGTACAGGAAATAAAAAATATATATATATAATGTTAAGACCATTTACTTCCATACAGAAAAATGGGATATGAAGTATTTACACAATGTTCGACAACAACGTTTGTATATTTATATGAGGGAATATATTGCCATGTCATTTTACTGTTTTTTTGATTGCAACCTTATACATCATTCATTTTCACACCATACAATTCATCGCTTGAACATCAACAATGTTGGGGAAAATAAAAAGAGAAAAAAAACCTTCATACACTACAGCCATATTATTTAATAAATGAAATGAGATAGTTATACAGAAACATAAAAAATGCATATTTCTTGCAAAATAAAAAATGTATTAGGCAATATATCTATAAGTTACTAAAACCAAGAAAAAATTCAGGAAAAAAATATTCACAGATCATAATTGAGAGGCTTGAAATCCCGATATATCTGAAAACAAAACAACAGGCTCTGCTTTTAATCGTTAGTTTCTGTCCGGAATCCACCCGCGTACTATCTTTAACCATTACATAGCATCAAGAATAGAACTTAAGAGGGGGTTTACTTAGGATATGATTCACAACCCAGATTTTTAAACTGTATGAAATGGCAAGATTGTGGACAAAAACTGAAATCTTATTCCCCAACAATGATCCAATGTTAAGTCACCTGAGTTTGTGGTATCTTTCAAAATCAAAACGCATCATCAACAATGGTTTTGGACTTAAAATAACTGAAAATTCGACAAAAAGAAAGTCTGTTATTTTGCTGAAAATCTGTCGTTTTCCCCTCAAAATAACACCCAATACAAAATATAATATATATACTGCTGGATAAAAAAAATTACCCAGGACAATGGGAAATCTATATATTGCGTAAAACTGTTTGCAATAATCCATCATTTCAGATCCTTATAAATCTAATACACCAACATAAATAAAGAACAAAACAGTTTGAACATAATTCACATTTGCCAAATGTTAACAAGTTAAAAAAGAAAAAAATCTCAGTTCACGCTATAATCAAAGTTCTTATGGTCATTCACAAGTGCACATATATAACTTAAGAATGTCTTAAGAAAACAGAGAAATCAACAAAATCACTTAAAATGGATGCAGAATTTTTAAATGCATTGAATGTCCTGAACACAAGTCAAAATTTCTCAATAATGTACTCAGTTTGGAATATGAACATGTTAAATATATGGCTTAACACAACTTTATAATTGTATATATCGTCATGGAAATTAATCTTCCCCTTCCATACAGAGAGAAAAAAATGTGAAAAAATGCGCTTTAAAAAATCACTCAAAGATTGCCAATTATTTTTTTTTTAATAAAAATGCCTTCTCAGAATAATTTGTAATAACCTATAGTGATGTCTTCTATCCCCTTAAGACAAAAGAAAAATAAACTGACCATATTTTTTGAAAGAAATCTGGTGTTATGAATGAAACATACAAATTAAACAGCTAATTAATTTTCACAACCTACGAGTAAAGTCCCTCCCCCTAAAAAATAACCTGCTCTTTGGTATGAAGGCAAGACTTACAAACTAGTGAAATAAACATGCAGTCATTCCAAACTATGTGTTCACTGTGAGAAAAATAAATCAAATGTTGAGACAATAGTGGCTATATTTTATCAATTACCAAAGTTTTGAGATGCAAATTCCTATTTTTTTGTCAAGTATTCGTCATTTGCAAAAATCTTGTCATCTACCTATCTCCATAGAGAAAACACAAAGTAAATGAGATTGCTAATTGCTACACGATTAACTGCTAAATTCTCTAAATTACTTTTTGTGGAATAAAAATTCTCAATCCTCATTCTTTCATCCCTCTTGTTCCATGACACACTCTCAAACAGTGTCAATGAAATTGCAAAAAACAGAAAAAAAAGAAGTTCAAAAATATACCTCCTTTGAAATGATTGTAGACCTCTTGCTACGGTTTATGCTAAAAGTGTCACTCACTCTGTCGATCCAGATCACGAATCTATGTATGTCATCTATAATCCTTAAACTGTGGATTAAATGCATTACAAAAACAGTAATCATTATAAACTCAAAGGTGAATAAACAAAATCAATCTTTTTTTCATACTAAACATACAATTTTTGAGACATATGTGAAAAAATATGGGAAATGAACAATGACAAATAATAAATAGAAAAAAAAAACATGATAATTGTATACATATATATCATATACAGTTTAAAAATTCCAACAAAAAATACCCCATGACCTCTGGGTCAGAGTTTTATGGAAATGCACCTGTTAACTGTTTTATTTTCTGAGTTCTTTAATCTCTTAACCCAGGCTGCAGCTATGTAGTGATATCAATACTAATGTGCATATATAGAGACATAAAGTGGGTGGGTGCTAGGAGTTGTACAGAAATAATCTGACAAGCCAGAAAAACAAAGCCACACGGAGAGGGGGAAGGGGACAGAAGATTTGATATTTTTTCAATGTTTTGTCGACTTTTATATAAACGTGTAGCGCTTTTTTCCTGTCTGTGTAAGAGAAAAAAAAAACAGGAGGGTTAAAACACATAAAACACGACATGATGACCAAAAAAGAACAGAAAAAAGTTGATGCATTTTTGGCTAGAATTTCTTTTTCAGTTTTTCACATATTCTTTTTTCTTGAAAACCATTTCCTTTCAAAACCTTTTTTTGTCAAATATATATTCAATTCACTGTTCAAACATGCAGATTAACCCAAAAAATAAATTAAATGTAAATGTAAGAGGCAGAAAAAAAAATGAGTAATTCTGTTAAATGTTAATACTAAAGCGATAGACAAATTAGCTTCTACTTTTAAAGCTAACAATATAAAATTAAGAGGCGGCATTTGTGGCTCAAAGACTATTTCTTGCTCAAACAATCCTGATGTGTCTTTTGGTCTAGTGTAAAAATGTCATTTCAGTCAAAGACATGTGATCAGCACATATAAATAAAAAACTGGGCTGGACCAACCAAAGGAGAGGGGCAACAAAGGGGGGATTCATGATAGAATGGATTCAGGAAATGGGTGGTGATGATCTTATTTTAATGGGTTATGTCACAACCAACTGTTGGTTTTCTTGTCATGTGTGAGAATAAAAATACTGATTTGCACCAAATCTCATGTAGCTTGTGTAGATGTGTTAAAAGCACCTTCAAAATATGTGTAAATGAAGTTTCCGTTAGAAATTAATTATGTTGAACATGGCAGTTAACAAAAAATGCAAAGAAAACGATTTGGAAAGCCACAACGGACAAAAACAACATTCTAAATGATTCAAGTTTCAAACCCTATTTGACCTACTTCAACATTTTTATAAGAAATTCATAAGGGAACGGAGAATAACTCAAATTGACTTAAGGTGGGAGGGGTTTTTAATGATTTTGTATCCCCAGTCCTTTGGTTTTCCAAAAATTCCCAGTTTAACATAAAAACAAAGCACCATTTTTTAATAATTATGACCACTTTCCATCGTAAATAAAACATTCTCGCGATGGTCATTATTATAGACAGCAAAGTCAATATAACTTATAAATAACAAAAAAATTTACAATAAAGACGAGATTTGTTTCTGAACAAAAAAAAAAATGAATGGGATGATGTATTATTGTGACATAAAATAGTCAGGCTGATCGGAGTCTTTTTCAAACCGCTTAGCTTCCTCTGCCATGCTTTCTTTTATCTTGAGGATTGCCGCGGATTCGATTTGGTCCTGCAAAATCACACAATATCAACCGTCAGTTGGTGACTGGAAATATCCATTCAAAAATCCTCCAAAACTTCCCCCCGATTTTTAATCTTTTTGTTTAAAAATAATTTTTAATTGAAAAACTCCAGGAAAGGAAGAAAGATAGAAAAAATTGTCATGCAATTGAAAATTTCCAAAGGTGACTATCCCCCTCCTAATTCCATAATGTGTGACCAAAAAAGTTTTGATAGAAATACCTTACAGGATTGAAAATTCTAGCTAGTGGACTTATTTCCAAGATAAACAGGTATTTTAATAAGTGTTACTCTCTACGACCTAGCAATGAAGTAATCTATATATGTTTGTTAAGACTTGATATTTGATATCTATGTTACTGGTCCCTTCAAGTGTTTAGTAACAAACTTCACACACCATGGAATATTTGGTAAATGAACTGTTCCTTAATCGCTATTTTGTGTCATTTTGAAAAAAACATGCAAAAGAATGTTGCTTAGAAACTACCCTAAACTATGGAAAAAGGTTGCAGCCTATGGCTAATAAACCTACCCTTATTTCATAGACTTTTCAAAACTTTTTCGAGGGTTATATGATGGCAAAGAGACCAAGAATATTTTTGTTTTTGCAGCCATTTTCTTAACATTTTAAATGAGATGGCATAGCAGCATACTTATTTTTCTACAATACACTTTTGTTTAGATGGGAGAGTACTTTGAAAAAATTGCATTTCATTCACCCATGACAGCCATGCTGTGATCAGAGGAGTAATATGTGAAAAAAAAACATTCAAGAGATCTGGGCATCCAACTGTTGTTGATATGGTAAAGTGAATACGTAAGATAGAGATGTATGCAATCAAGACTCGAAGGCAATCAATCAACACACACCCAAATTGGATCCTCAAAAATTTTTCAATTTTTTTTTCTTCTAAATTTCCCGAAATTTTGGTGTAAGTAAAGAGGAGAATATCCACAAATGTTTTTTTTTTTTTGCATCCATCAAGATTGTTTGACAGTAAATTTGATATTTTTCTGTGTAGCAAAACATGTCACAAAGATTTACAAAGCAAAAAAAAAAAATATGCAGTGATTACAAAAAAATAAGAGGATTAAAAATCAAAATTATTCAAAGCAAGTCATCACAAAATAAAAGAAAGATTAAAGCGTTAAAGGCATTCAGAAATTGGCATGCAAAGTGTCCCATCGACCCAGAGCAGACAGGATAGAGATGGTGTCAGTAAGCGTTATAGCGTTATAGAGTGAGATATTTGTTACTAGTGTCTCTACGTCATTGACAATAGGTTACATGAGAATTTGTTGCACTATTTTTGTTAAGTTTGGGGGCCTTAACACGCACATACAAAAAATAAACCTTTCATCCCTTTGCACTGAAGCACTTTCAAAACAATTTTTTTTTCCAATATGAAGGAAAATGTATGCATGATTTCAGGGGGGTGAAAGGTTTTTATGCAAATTGACATCTGTATATTTTTTTTTTGTGTCTCAAAAATTTTTTGTGCAATAAAGATTCCCCATGATATTTTTGCATGTGAAAAATGAACAATGTCATGTTGTCTTTCCTACATTCTCTGAAGCACAGTTTGCCTTGTGTAGTTTTTTCCCCCTTTACAAAACATTGAAACTACGACTCATCCAAATACTTTGGGCAACAGTCAAAGTCCATTGAGCATCTTTCAGAGGTTGTAGAAATCCTTTCACAAATTCATCTGACTTACATTATCTTGGTAACCTAAGCCGTCGCCCACGTAGCCAGCCATGCTAACTGGCGGCGTCCCTGGGCCGTTTGCGGGGGAATTCTTCATGCCATCTATGTCACCTTGAAATAAGAGACATTTAATGAATACAACATTTACACCTGAATTTCCTCTGCAGCTTAACTTCCCAGAATTAATGGTGAAAACAAGCTTTTAATATCAAATATCTGGATTTAAATATATTCAAAAATCAAAACAAGGTTTTTCATCATGTTCATATGTACTGACTACAAATAAGTCTGCTTTCAAAAGAGCCTTTTCTTTTTTCAATAAATGTATCTGTGCACACAACTGTGATACATATGAATTTTATTAGGTATCCATTTATATCTTCTACATGATAAACAAATGGCTAGCAAACTCCTGATTAACTTGGATAAAGTATTTTAAAAGCCTCACCAGCATTTTCTCTACAAAACATTCATACAATTCATGGGGAATTCATTTTACTCAAACTTATAACACTACTCACTTAAATCATTACTCCTTATATTTCACTATGCCTTCTTCATAACATCAACTATCAACAAATTCAAATGTTTGTACTTGAGCAGTCCTATACTCACCACCATTCATGACTTGCCCGATGTCTGGCCCCATGCCCATAGCTCCATCAGGCCCACCTGGCATCCCTGGGAACTGCTGAAACATCACACCAGATCAATTAAAACATAAAGATTCACAAAAGATTGGCTTCTTTATACCTCTTCTTACTCCATTAAAGGTCTTATGATCCACACTTTAACATTTTATTGGCAAGAGGAGCAGCTTGATATGTGAGAATACATTTGTAATTCCAATCTAAATGCTATCTGCTCATAACATAGGCTTTTTTTTCAAGAAGATCTTCCACATATTACAAAACATACATGTACATATAATGCTAACAATACTGTTGTACATTGTAGTACAAAGTAGTACAAAGTAAATTTCTACTAACAGCATTTTTCCCCCTTGTGTCTATTCCCTTGGTCATTCAATAAGTGTAGCATTATTTAGCTTGGTTGATGAAAAAAGTGACTTGTAATAAAACTGAAGTACAGTGTACTGGCATATGTGACTCCTCTGACGCTTATCTAAGTTAAAATGAAAGCTAACTTCTAACATTTATAGGTCACTGTTCCTCATAGAGAAACAAGTAGCAGGTACCCCTGGCACGCCCAGTAATCCTCCCCCCAACATGCCCAGTAATCCTGGCCCCAGACTTACCCCTGGCATTCCCGGTAATCCTGCACCCCCTTCCCCTGGTTTAAGGTGCCCCCCCTTGACTTACCCCTGGCATGCCCGGTAATCCTGGCCCCCCTGGTTTCATCATTCCATACATTCCATCTCCTGAATTAGTTGAATCTGTAAGAAAGCACACATATATTGTACTTATATTCACTTTTTGAAAAATGGCTTAAACCATTTTCATTGTTAGAAAATATGCTGAACAAAACTTTTAAGAGAAGCTTATGTATGACATTGGCTTCTTGTGGCAATTATACCATCTTTAAAAATAAATCTTTGACATGCTTAGAATTTCAAGAAAGAATTTATTAAGATAAATAATTTTTATATTCCTTTTCATTTGAAATATAAGTACATCAGTACTGAAAGATATAGATTGTGAGTTGAAATACTGTGATTAGGAAGATACTGTGAAATCCCTATAAATCTTTGTGAATTAAGTGTAAACATTTCAAGTACTGGAAAGTTACTAGTACTCAAAACCTAGAACTTGTGTATGTAAGGGATATAAAATAATTTTTATCCCCAATTTGCCATATTCCAGTGAGCTGGTGTAAAAGTAGGAACCAAGTTGATTAAATAACCAAATTCTGGATCACATTCTATTACATCTATCTCTTTGTGACATGCAATCACATGCAATCTTGCATGCAACCATGCAAACTTTGGCTGGAGATTTAATTAGGTAGTTGACATTATATTCATACATTTATATACACATTTCCAGATATATTTTTTTAAACACTTTGTGAAATCGGCAAGAAATTAGGTTAACTGTAAAAGAAAAATTGGTTAAAAGCAATAAAAAGGAATGCAACATGTTGGTTAAGAAACTGGGTTAATCTGGAAGTCATTCCTCTGCAAAGTAAACCATGCAAACCTCAGCAACAAGTGTCAGAGTGCAAAGCGGGAGGCATTCTCTTCAGAAAAAAAGTACGGGAAAAAAATAATTCACATTGCATTATATAAAATAATGCATATAGAAGATAAAAACTAAAAATATATATCTTTTCTTTAAAATTTTTTTTTTTCAATTTACTTGCTAAAAACATTTCACAATTTGAAAAAAAAAAAATTCACAAAAGCTACTGAGAAGCATTTGGTAGAAGTCTAAAACATCCAATAGCCTGGGACAACCATTATAAACCACAGCACTAGAAACCGATCATGGCCTTGGGGGTCCTTCTTACCTAAACAAAGCATCTTTTGTGGTTCAACATCATCTGAGAGCGGAAACAAGAAAGTAGAAACACAATCAGAGAAATGTAGCAAGCAATGCAGGCGCTCTTTGTCAAGTTAGTTTGCTTTTAAGATTTTCTAATTGTTTTATTTTTATTTATTGGCATTGCATTCTAATGATAGAAAGATGATTTTCATAAACTTTTTTCAAGGCCTATTGGCAATTTTATTTGAAGTCCATCTAATTCCATGCACAAAAGTACAAGCAGGCAATGTAAATCATGATACTTTTCTTACGATTTACAATAAAAAAATGTGTATTTCATTCCAAAATCAAAGTTTTTCTTCTAGTCGCAATGAATATTTTGTGCATAATGAAAGATGAGATATGACTATGAATGCTGAGAAAATCATAATTGTCTTTTTCAGCGATATCATAACGAGAATATGGGCATCAATTACATGTACCTTTTCTGATGCCTAATCGACTTGCACAGGATTTTTCAGAAAATATCATTTTTAAAGGCAATAGTAGAGAAATTGTTATATTGATGGAGTAGGTCATTAAAAGAAAAGGGACTAACAGAGTCAAGGGTTACTGGGCATTCACGACATTTAAAGTAAATATGCACTCTTTTGTTATTTTGCTATTATAATGTAGTGCCAAATGCCCATTGAGTATAAATCTAAGTGGCAGATATACAGGCACTAAGATTCTACAGTTGCTGCAAGATCAAGCATGTACTACATGCTTTCAGAGGGATTTCTGCAATTTTTTAAAAACTCATCATGAAAATACTAAAAAAAAAATTATGAAATGAACTTAAAAAATCAGGGTATAAAACAAAACTAAACAGGGTGATTTGATATGATTTTGAATGAATGAAAATGAAGGGGGAAAAAATCCTATAAGCTACCCAAAAAAATGACACATTTTAGAAGAAAAAAAAACCAAAACACAACAAATTCAATCTGAAAGCAATGTAGTACCCGGCATGTTGTCGTTGGAGATGTAGTCACCTGGCCTTGACCCAATTCGTTGATGGCTGGCAGGAGAAAATGGCCCTTGAGATCCTACAGAGAATTTATAAACAGTCAACACCCTATAGCTCCTGCCATTGTTAAATGTCTGATCCAAAATAACATTCCCTTTTCTCTCTCCCTCACAAACAAAAAACAAACTTCTTATACAAAAACGTTACATATAGGTAAACCACCTAGCTTTCTCATTCCACTCTCATCTGCATATTATTTTTAAAAGTAAGAAGATTGCATATTCCCCCTCATTATTTATCACAGTATACATACATCTGTTCAGTTCATGCATATATATAACACATGCTTTTTCTTTTCTATTCTAGACTAACTATTGTAGGAGTTATTTCCCTTTCATCCACTGAAAACGTGTGGAGACTTGGGTCCTCCACATTCCAACTTTTTTGTATGTAGTTTGTGCAGAGATAATTTGTCTGGATCACTTCAGGAAAAATTAAATCGAATCTCTCAAAAACTCTCAAATACAGTGGAGCCTCATTTATCTGGACACTTAGGTTCCAGTCAATTTTCCGGATATGTGAAGCGTCAGGATATCTGAATTACCAGTTAAACAGGACAAAGTAAAGTTTAAAAATTCCGTTCTGATGAAAAATCGTCCAGATACTGAAGCATCCAGATATCTGGCATCCAGATATCTGAAGGTCCACTGTGCTGATAACTAGTGAGTACTTTGAGGATTTTAACTCACTGATATCATCCAACAATATTAGTAGCATCTTTGACCTCTGTTTTCAGGTACAGAGGCCAGATTGTACCTATGGTTTGCTACCTAGATGTATATCTATGCTTAATGCTCATCTACTCTCAGTGTACAAAATTCAGAAAATCATCCGCTAACTAAAAACTTTCTCAAATCTTAAAGAGGTTTTCCTTTCAGGGCTTTTCACCATGTTACTTTTCATCAGTTCAAACAATCAGAGTTACTTATACATGCTATTACATCTTGTAAGCGAGAAACTCTTGACCCTCCTCAGAAATTTCCCTTTTTTAGTGTAATTTTACCATACATTAGCCTATTTTTAAGGTGGTCTTACCTTGTGGACTTGGCATGATAGGTGTTCCAGGGGGCCCCCCTCCTCCAGGTCCCTGTCAACAGGGTAAAACATTTGTTAATCAATCAACAGGGCAAAGCATTCGTTAATCAAATAATAAACTCTTAGTTAATACATTTGCAAGTGATAAATGTTCAATTCTAGAGCAATCAACATGATTATAAAACTATTGAACTGTTACTCCAAGAAATATTCATTAAAGTTTGTCTCAATTCAAGTTTCAATTACTTTTGTCTAAATCACCACAATTTCAAAATTATACATTTGACATTTACTTGCAGAAACATTTATTACAAAGCCCTATATACATTAATTTAACTTTAACAGCTTCATACATTTACCAATACCATTACTTATTTTATTTTTTATACTTACATTATAACTGCCTGGTGATGCTGATGAGTAATTTATCTAGTGAAAAAAAAGTTAAGATATCCATAGAATATTAAGTTTTTCTTTAAAAGCATGAAGACATACCGGTAAATAATGTAACAGTATGAAATTTTATAGAGTTTATACCTCTTAAGTTTATACAATCACTCAAAAAAAAAAAAATTTTTGCTAGAACTATCCATTTTGGCGTATGAATCACCTTGATGAATGAGTGATAAATTTTACAGCTCTGAAATGGCTATGTTGCCAGAGATTAGCTCGCTATGCGATCCAACTCAAAAACCAGTATGTTTAATATCTTTTTATTTTTCTTTTAATTTTGGAATTATATAAATCTTTCTACATCCTGAATTAATTAATTTGGACAATGTTCCCCTTTCTCTCTCCCCCCCCCCTCCCCTCAATACTTACTGATGATGTGGTTGGTGCCCAAGGTCGACTTCCTTGTCCCCCTGGCCTGTAAAGAAAATCATAATATTACCACATTGTCTGAATAAGTGTGACTTTTTTTTTTGCATTCTGGAAGTTTTTTCAATAATGAAACATTTTGCCCCTAAAAATGAATCATGTTAAGATTACTTGCCCCTAAAGACCTTTTCCGCTGAGACATTTCATTCCATACAAGAGGGTGAGCTAAAAGTTTTTTTTCATCAATTCTATTCATTCAAATCACCTCACAGAACTTCAATTATTGAAAGCCATGCATTATGTAATTATATAATTTGAGTATTCAACAATCACATTTGATGCCTGATTTACCAGTAGATTTTGAATGTGCTCAAAATAATTTAGCAATTTTATAACGGAGAATTATTGTGAGTAGGGAAATTGACCAGAGCTAACTAGTTTACAGAGCTGAAAATTTCTATGACATAAAAAATTCAAAATAAAAGGGAAATTAATTAACTGACAGGTTATTATTTGTAAATTTAGAAAATGAGATTTCAGGAACAAAACATGAAAAGTCTCAGCACGGTCTTCAGAAGTAAAATGTCTTGTATTCATTACCTCCCTTTCTCTGTAATGTATTTTTCTGTGTGACTTACATTGACATGGGAGGCATTCCTCCAGGGCCCATGTTATTTGGTGGTGGACCTCTCATACCACCATAACTTAATGAATCATACTGAAAGGAAAGTCAAAATTTTTTAAATCATACAAAAAAACTTTGTATAAATTTTTCCAAGTTTCTTTGATTCCATCTTTTTTTTTTTCATGTTTTGACTTTATCTGCTTGAGAAATTGGATCTTTCACTTGTATTCTTTCTGTAAGTATCCTTCTCTAAAGGATGTTTGATTAATAATTCTGTTTCTAATCTGCTCCTAATGTGTTGAGCTTACACTTCTGACCGCTATATTTGACCTACTTACTGGATTCATGGGTCCTGGCATTCTACCGTGTGCCATTCTAGGTCCCATTGGACCCATGCTCGGATGACCTGAAAAAAGTAAAAAAAAAAAATTAAATAATTAAAAATTCACTTCTTTGACCTTGAGCTCATTAAAAATATGTCTTGTGTATTTTTTTTGTCCCCAAATTAATTCCTTTTCAATCATTAAGCTCATGTAATTTAATTATGTACACAGTTTTATAAAAATAACAACCACCATAAAATCCAATTAGCGTAAAATGATCTGCGTTTACACTATGTTATCAATTGTTTGGTACTAGGCATGTATATAGATGAAGCAAACTGAAGGATATACTATCAAATGTGGAAAAGTTTTGTCATCCGCAGTAGCTAATTAGTATTAAAAGGGATGATGAATAGGATAGCCCTGGAGAAATTGAGCTAGAACAAAAACTTCCCATTGATAGTTCTCTTTGCTAATGGCGTGAGAAGAGGGGGGGATGCATTATGGTAACGTTTCATTACCCCCAGCAACGACATTGCCACTTAGTTACCAAGGTTTAATAAGCTCTCATGTTTCTTCTATTTCAAGTATCATGAAAGGAGATATAAAAAAAGATTAAAAACAACAAACGATTCTTGGTAAATACATAATAGATCATTCAGTCGTAAAAATGTTGTGTGATTCTCTTCTCATGTCGATAAATTCAACCTTTGTAGAGTCTCTTTCTCAGATGACTAGAATTTTAATGAGGCTGCCTATTCTCTCATTTTTTATGATTATGGAGTGTTTGGTAAGTGGGGTTTATGATAAGCAATACAAGCACTATACCACGTTCTTCACAGAGATTGTATCTGATACATCGGAATCATTTTTTTTGTCAATGCTGGAGAACAGAATCCTCCTGGCATTTGTCAGTAAAGAAACAAACCGCCTGTACCGGGGAAACAAACAAACATGGGAGGTAAGCAATGGTTTACACAGGGATAAAGTAACCCCAGAGCAAAGCAAGAAATACAGTCATTCTGGAAACTGAGTAATTTTCTGAAGTGTGTGATTTATCAAGCAGCCATCAGTAGGCACGGTGGGAGATTGGGGGGCAGGTGTCCATCGGGGGATGGATATACTTCTGTAATCATCAATTCCACCAACTTGTCATCAACTCACATAGGTGTTCAAGCTTTCAAGAATGCTAAAACAAACCTACCAAGATAACACAAAAAGGGATATTGGTTTTTATGCATGCATTTTTCTATAAAACCATCTTCTATTTTTCCGCCTGTGAAAAATGGTGATCAATCTTTGGATTTATATAGTGTACCATGTTTTCATTGGAATTCCGATGTCAATAAATTAAAGGTGGAAATAATATTCCAGGCCAGTGACGAGTATTTCTCTCTAATGGAAAATGGTTTTTCGGGGAGGTGAGTATCCAATTTTTATGATATAAATATTGAATTCAAATGAGAATAAAAACCAGAGCCTAATGGATATTACCTTGAAAAAAAAAATTGTCGGCACCTCCATTTGAAAAAATCAAAATGAAAGAAAAAAATTTAATGAAGAATTGCTTTAGAAATTTTTTGTCTGTCAAGTATAAATTGTCAGAAGCAAACAAGGGATTTCCATTGAAAGCCCAATTGACAATCAATTTATATTATAATTTTTAGGAGACCGGTATTGACAGAAGTAATTTCAGCAATCATCAAAGTGGAGGAATGGACTTGGCTTTATTATTTGTTGCCTCGGTTCAAACGCATACAAGACTCTTTACATCTGCTCTCCTGCTTACAATATCTAAACACTGTCATTATATACAGCTTGCTATTTCCCTCATACTATTCAAAAAATAAAAATGTGATTAGACTGCGAACATAAAAAAAAGTAAAAAGGCTTAAACAGTGAGATAAATCACATTTTCATAAAAAAAAGAACGCTGTTTGCTCAATAACCATCTTGATATAAAAGACCTTATACACTTCATAAGAAGGCATGGGCAATTTTGTTTCTGACAAGAAGGAAAAAAAAATCCCTTTTTTTACGCAAAGTGTAACAAGCATGCAAAGTTGTTAGAGTAATGGGCACCTTTAACGTTTTCTGTTATTATCCTAGCAGGAAATTAATCAGCTAGGATCAGCATGCCATCTCCACAAAGTCATAATGAAATTGGAGGAAGGCTGGAATTGTTGTGTTGGACAAAAAAAAAATAATTCTCTGTACGGTGTTGGGTACCAGTTCACAACAACAGCTTGTCTCCCCGATTATATTGACTCTCACTATGTTACAATTCTGTGTTTACATTTTCCTTGCCTTTTATATTTGTTAACGTGCTTCTAATTGACAATATTGTGTGATTAAATGCAGTTACTGGTCTCTTTTTTCAGTGGGAAAATATACAAGTATGGAGATATTAAACGACACTGTGTGTTTGAGGTAAGTGGCATAGACCTCTCGTCAGGTAAAAATTCTCCATGTAAATGACACTGTCATAAATTCTCTCCAAACCCCTAATATCAAATTCTTAATTCTCTCTAAATTTTTCTTTTAATTCTCCAAAGACAGACTGATGTACCTATAAAACCTAAACGTGCTTTTTTTATTGACAAAAGCAAGTTCCATTAATTAACAGTTGATGAAGAGAGGTCTATTTACAGTAAATGAGGGCTCTCTGTGCCATATCATATATCTTTTGTCATTAAAGCCGAATGTCTTTTGACAGCCAAGCCTTTAAGTGTAGCTTGTCTTTGTACATAATGCCACCATCAGAGGGCAATTTCTTCCTTGCTTAGATACTACACTTTAATTAGTTGTGCTGGATAATTTGGAAACCAAGATTTTAAGGGGGAGGCTTTTTGCTTTGTTTACATCTGAAAAGACATGAGATTTTTTTCAAGTACATGCAGATATAATGTTTTTTCAACTCTGAAATGTGTAATCTGTAATTGAAGGCGAGCAAGACAAGTTTTGTCTTCCATGGAAAAAGGCTCTCCTTAAAGTGGCAAAATTGATTAGATGCCTTTTTTTTCATGTTAAATTTTGACACAGAGCTCTAGCCCTGGTTATACAGTGGCAGACAGGGTATTTACATTTAGATAAACTTGTGTAATTGCTTGTTTGTGTTTCCAGAGCCTTGTTATGTGATGGATATACCCTGTTAAAAACTCCATTCCCACCGACCAAAAAAAAAATTTGGCTTAAGATCTTGTGAAGTCCTTGTCTTTTACTTAGATGCAATGGTCAAAGTAAACTTGTGAGAACCGACAAAAACCTTGTGTGTTTTCCATTTACATTTAGATTTGGTCAACAAACTAGCCTTTGAACAGAGAATTCCAGTGTAATCAAATGTTTTATCTCTGGATATGAAGTGAGTTGGAATGTGCCATAAGGGATTAAATATGAAATACCTTGCAAAATATCCCTATTACCTTATCGAATCAGATATAATTGAATACTGCGAATGACACGCTCCAGCTTATCTTTTCATTTCTTTCTGGGAAAAATAAAAATACATCAATTTGATGAGGAATATTTTTTTTTTTTTGCCTACAGATTGGAATTATCTCCCCTGGCAGTCAGCTTTGGCTGGTCCCTATCTTGACTAGTTCCTAGTGGATGAGAAAGCAGGTGAAGAAATGCAATTTATTTGTCAGGGATTATACAGGACTTCAAAATCTCCAATTGGTTGGCTAATGGATATAACCTGTGATGGTTTAGATGGTCCTAATTGCTTCTAATGGGCTTGTGGTGTTGCTAAAGCTTACAGCATGTGGGAATCACACAACTAAGAGACATGAACACACAACACCAGAGTCGATTCAAAGATGGATTAAAAATGAACATCAGGTAAGCATTTTTTATAACTTAATTTTATTTTAAGAAAAATCTTTTCCAGATGTAATGTCTATCAAATGGCATGACCTTAAAAACTTATTCAGTCATCAAAAAACTAAAGAAAGGATGTGGGAGGATTATTCGTTTGTATGGAACCCCCAGCACTGAGGGGGGAATGGATTCCTTCTGTATCCCCCCTTTTTTAAAGTCAAACACCTGCTTTTCTCTTCTGTTTGGTAGTAACTTTTAGAACCAGAAGGTTATGAAGTGGCATGCTTCTATAAACGACAGAACATATGCCATTTGACATGTACCATTTCAGAATTAATTGTATCATCTGTTTTCTGGTAATGCACTTTGCATCACACTTTATGATTGTAACAGAGAAGATAATATACCCAACAGTTTGCCAAGAACATTTTCTCCTTTGGTTTTGTCATGCCAGATATATTAATGCTTTGGTATTACTGTGCTTCTGGTCTCTCAGTAAAATGTTAATATTCGCCTGTCTGGTAAATAGGACTCTTGTCTTTAGAAATAAATTGCCTGGGTCTTCAAATGCACATAAAAATGTGCTTTAAGAACATAATCAATCATTTATTATTGCAAATATTTCTAATCAAGAATTCCAATAACCTACAGATAAACCTGGTACTTCAAAAACTCTTTTCATCAAAGTTGCTCAGGGATTCTCTTTTTTTTTCCTACATGAAATAATAAACCAAAAGGAAAATGTTCATTTCACAGTTCCTGAACAAAAATCTGCCAGTGTTTTAGATGCCATGAATCACTTTGCCTCCATTTGCCTGTACTTAAAATAAAGAAAATTACATTACCACAGACATTTACCCTAATGTCTCACAATTTGAGCCATTTTCATACAGAGGCAAGCTCCTGGGAGTATACTTGTTTCTTAGCCTACCCCCCAAATGTGAAAACCACATTACCAGTTATCAGAAGTGAACTTTAGATCAAATGTATTGTATCCACTTTATAACCAGAGTAATCTTTGATGTATATAGTCTAGTGCTTTGTTGTCTTTGCTTATACCCTTAGAGTAAGGTTTTACAGGTTGTAGAATTAATGGACCAGATACATGTATAGAACTTAGAGCTTTCTGATCATCTTTGGTTTGAGGGGAAAAAAAAAACTCTTTCCTTCTTTTAAAGACCCTTTGAGAACTTACATATCTATAAGATGTCTTTTCTGATGTCAAGGAAAACATGCTACATAGGTCAAGAATGTGAGAGAAGGTAAAAACTTTTCTCTTAGTTTCTTACAATACTAGTTTTAGTAACAGCATTGCAGATCATGTGCAGATCTAAATGGTGGTTATTGTGTCTGAACCCCTCTGGAATTTTCAGTTATTAGGTTTGTATGGGAAGTAATGAAAAATAACTTTGGAACCTCCCCTCCCCCCCCCCAAATGTGACTCCAATTTAAAATGTAAGGAGAGTCATGTATCATGCTGAGGCAACAGACTTGTGAAATCCATTTGCAACATCCCCTCCCCCTTAGGGTTTTTTTTTTCTGAGATTAAAATTTGTTTGAGATTGGATGTTCAAATCTTATTCCATTTTGAAAAGAACATTGATTCAATACAATGCATAGAATACAATAAGTCAGTGATAAGATGGGGAAAAGTTAATAGTTATCTCCCTTTCCAAGTTTTTCACTTGCAAAGACAGGGAAGCTAGATACTGCCCAACAAGCCATATAAATCTACACCCTAGCAAGACAACTGAATAGGTAAAGCCTACTCATTTCCAAAGCCAATTATATGACTGACTATAAATCAAATATTTCAAATAATACCCCTCTATTGATTGTACCTTCTAGACGTTTGTGACTGTCATCAAACTGACAATAAGAAATTCACCAGCATTATAATCATCAAAGCTTGTTGTTTTTGTCTACCTAATCTTCCGGCAGATTGCCTCACCATAACACTTTCAATCCTAGATGACAATGCCACAGAGACAATTTCCGTTCATACTTTCAGGAATTTTCCAAGTAATAACTTTCAAGATTAATTACTAAATCAAACTTGCATTTTTTTGTGTCATAGTTAACAATTGTTTTACTGCCCATGGAAACCCTTTCAGGTCCCAATTATCTCGATCAAACAATAAAAATGATCAATTTCTCTTTGCAGCTTCCTATTCATTTGTGCCAAGTTTGAATGAAATCCACTGATCTGTTTCAACATGCTTTTAACCTACATTGTCATGTCTCAGTAGATAACCTTTTTTTCACATCTTTGATGATGGGTGGGGATACTGTATCTTTAGTTAGGCTAATGGCACAGCAAACTGTTTGTCACTAATTAAATTCCTGCGATTAATAGCAGCTAGGGGAGTAGAAACTCTGTCCAATTTGTTATGCAACAATGTAGTAGCATGTTAGCTGTACACTTTCTAATTCAAAGGTAAAACAACCCCCAAACATTGAAATCCTGGTGGAAATCACATGGAACACTTCTTCATTAACCGTTCCCTTAGAATATCAGTAAAACACTTTTCAAGCAACCATGATCAATAGAACTTCAATTACGCTGCTGACAGAACCATTTCAAGCTTGAATTGTCCTGGTGCCATGTCAAATAGGTGCAAGACATTACAGAGAAACCAATTTTTTGTTTGCAATTTTGAAAAAGGAAGAAATAAATAGGAAAAGAAACCAGAGATCAATGTTACTAGTGTCTGTGGAGCTTCTTTTAGGGTTAGGACAGATAAATGCATTTGAATAGGATTTGGTAAAAATATTGGTTACGAGATAATTTAATGCCATGTCACTTAGAGGTACATCTGGAGAAACTCTTCAGTTAACTGTGTGATCAAATACAGGAGGAAAGCAACATTTCTCTCTAAAACTATACACAACTTACCAGCAAATTCTGCTGCATTAAAGAAAGAGTAAAAAAAAATCGTTAATACAAGTTCTATCAAATAATTTATATTTTCGTAGACATTAAACATCAAGTGCACATGTAAACTGTACTTGTCCCAAAAAGCAACAGCCCTGCATTCAAATAAAACAGTCATTAGGGAAGAATGATTGCTAAAATGTTAAATCTACTGGAAATATTTCTACTTATAATATCTGGTGCACTTAAATAAAGACATCTGTCACATTTTAAAAGATCTGTGATGAAATTTTAATGAAGAGAACTTTGTATTTTAGGTGGGTGTCGTCATCAATTATTTAACCCTTAAAGCAAAATGAACTTTGTTTTCTAGACATTGAAGTCTAGGTGTCTGCATATTGTGAAAATTTTTATTTGTGTAGGATCCCTGACGCTTTTTGGGACAAGTACGATAAGCTGAGCTTTACTGACCTGGCCTGGGTTCCATACTGTTAGGCATTATTGGACCTGACCCACTGCCTGGTGGCTGTAAACACAAAGAATGGGCTTTTACTACATGTACTTTGTACAACCTAAATTACAGTGAAAACTGTCTAATCCAACATTCATTGAGAGACAAAACTTGTGGTGCTATAGACAGGGTGTCTGATTGTATAGGTCAAGTACTATAAGGTTGGGAATTCACAGTGAAATGGGTTGCACAGGTATTGGATTAAACAGTTTTCACTGTACTTTATTTGAAAACATTTGAAATGCATGATTTTAGTTAGACTAAAATAGCAACACATGCAGCTACCCCCTCCCCCTTAGCAGAGTTTTCACACTGATCCCATCTTTCATTCTACCATGTAAAAAAATACATCTGTTCAAATAAAAAGTGGTTGAGGGTTGCCTCATCCAGAAAGTATGGCAAAAATAAAATGACATATCCTACATTTTTGCTCGGCAACCCTCCCACTGTTCTTGTGCTATTGAACCTTACAACTTATCAGTGATGGATTATTTCATGGCTTTATGTGATACCATAACTCTGCCGAAAATCTTGCATGCTTGCCTGTGAAGTGTTCGCTACGAACATGGAATTTAAAAATTATTTATCTCCAAGTTTTTCTAATTTAGAGATTTGCACAAAAATTTTGAATAACATCCTTCTCTGAAATATACACTGATAAAATAAACACTCAGATTTTTTTGATGATAGAAAGATGTTAAAAGAATTTTTTGTTGATGTGAAAGAAAAGTATGCAAGAGGGGTATACTGTGTATATTAGATAGTCTCTCTGTGAGAATGTGATATGAAACTTACATTGAAATCAACTTGATTGGGCGGCATTCTAACAGGCCCGGGGCCCCTTGGCCCACCTGGGTATCGGGGAGACATGAAAGGCTGTAAAGAGATAAAAATAGCATTGTACAGAACTGAAGGAATTCAAATATATTCATAATTCATAATGAATTGACTTGAATATGACTTTAAGTATTGGTCAAATATGATACATAAATTGAAAATTAAAATGATAATTAGTTGTCACTAAAATGAGAATTTCAACTGTGATGTAAATGCCCTGCTGAAAATAAAACAAGAAAACCCACAATACTTTTTTGGATTATCATTGACAAAGTGCCTAATGTTGAAGGTATATGTCTTTTTATTAAGCAATTAACATAATTGTTTAACATCGCTTAAGATGAAATTATGTTTTCTTCAAAGTTTTTTATTATTTTTTTTCTAGCCCCCAAAAATTCTCAAACAGGTTTCATTTTCCTACATTGCTCAGAATTCATAAAATGTGAACGTCATTGCTAAAAATCCAGTTCTACATGAAAGACCGCATGACAATTATGTTGCATGTATTGAATAATTATTTTCCTGCTCGAGAAAATTTATGATAACGACTACCGTATATGAGTTTTAATTAATGTAAATAACGATTCATTTACATTTTAATACGACAAAACAATAAACCTGCTCTGTCTCGTGGCAGGTTTTTAGAAGTTGATAAAACGTGGGGGAACAAATTTATCAAATCACCTCTATCATACACAAGGAAGATTATAAGACAATCTTTGGCCCATCAATCAAAACTCTTCCTCTGTAAAGCCTACCTAGCCACTCTTTGAGAGTGTTATATTATCACTGGATTCAAAGGAGGACTTTTTGGTGCATTTCAGATTAAAATCTTAGTTTATATGTGACTTGGATTGTGGGAGAGAGAGAGGAAATTTACCATCTGCACCTCTAGGATAGTTAAGAGAAAACTGCTAAATCCATTATGCGGCTCTGGTAAGCTTATATTCTATACTTTGTCTAACTTCTGTTTGGCAGCTTTTGTCCTCTTTTCATGTTTTGTTTGCAAAATAATATTACTTGTTACACAAAAAATACATCTGAATGCACAGCTTAGGTAACAGATATCAAGGATATAACATGAAATGCACCTGTTTCCTTTGCATGGACAAGCAAACAATATTTTTCAAAGGACAAGCAAAGGATTTTTTTCAATCAAAGCCTAAATGAGACAGAATTTTTAATTAACAGGCTGTTTTATTAACAGGGAAAAAAATTCTAACAGGATCTTTTACAAACTTGAGTAATAGTCACTACATTTGCATATGTGTTAAATTATTTGCAGTTGAACTTCTTGATGAAATGCTAAAACCTCTAAAAATCCTCAGTTTTAATCTTAATTTCATAAAAGCACTTCCCCTGATTTTTCCCTTTGGACAAGTTATGTTTAATTTCAGTGGAGAATTTCTGCATTTCGTTTCCATTCGGTCCTATTAAGTCATGGTGCGATGGATTTTGCAGTTGAAAGCCTTAGAAAAGACTTCAAGTTCTTATCCTCTGAAAATTATGACTAAATAATGTTCTTTGAAAGTTCTCCAGTTTCCCATTTCCATTAAAACCACACAGAAAAGATACTAGAAATAGATAGAAAGGAGTTCTTTTCATTGTGTGAAGACAGGCAGAAGATAACATTCATCAAATCTCAGCCGAAGCAATCAATTCTGAAATTAGATTTTTAAAATACAGACACATTACTGGGAAATCAAATCTTTGACTAAATTCAAATCCAATATTTTGTTGTCACAAAATTTTTATCCAGTAATTCTTGCTTCAATAAGATAAACCCTATTTCAACAAAACTTCAATTTAAGCATACATGAGGAAGAGAATTAAAGGATAAAAACGAAAATTTCCCATAATTACGACAGTAAAAAAAAACTTAATATTGTTTGACAATGTAATTTAATAATCAAAGCGTTCATTCTATCTGCCCTATAATGACATATGTTTGTATGGTTCTGAATTGATAACATCTTTTAATAAAACTGACATTCAAGCCTCACTATTTAATCACGAAAAACTCCTTTAATATTCTGAATTACGCATTTATGAAAAGCTTAGAAATTTATGGATGTTCAGTAATGAAAATTTGATATGAATCTCACAGCAGAGTTAGTCTTAGTCTCAATGGCATATGTATCTTGTGTCCTTAGACTATGCAATTACTGCTATTTATATGAAGGCTAGTCACACAGATCACGGTTGTGACAATCGTGGGGATATCTTCCCATAAACACCACGCTTCAGTTTCTACCAAGACCATTTCTCTGTGTATTACAGACATTATACCCCAAATTCACATAGTACATGAGAATTCTAATGTGCCTTTGTCCTTGGCAGGTCAAGAGTGTTTCCTAGGCAACAGCAATTCTGAAGAGAAATATGGATGGTGCTTGGAAACCAGGGATTACAATATTTCTGTTTTCACTCAGGTAAGCAATTTATCCCAAAATTTATTTACACAATGTTAATTACAGAAGTAAAACCTAAAAGGGCTTTACTCTGATAAAAAGGAGAAATTGTTTTTGCTGTTTGAACTGCTAGGATAAATCAGTAAATTCCAGATTGTAGAACAGTTAGTGGAAATGGGGAGAATGTGGCATAAATATATCATTTTCCATCCTTTTATTTGCTAATGCCTTCATGTCATAGGCATCAAGATAAGAGAAGACAACTTTTTAGCGACTTTCAAACACACTTCATAGTGCCAAAGAGAGATAAACATTATAAAACCCCTACCAAACAGAGTGCGTCTTCAGGCAATGGTTATTGCAGCTGCTTCATTGAGACATAAATTTAATGGCAACCAAATCTTGAAAGCTAATAACTCCCAGCACAGCAGCTTATTCTCTGTGTATTCATCTGGGCAAATTGATATTCTTGATGAGTTTGCTTCAAGATAGCAATAAGGATGCAAATCTCTTCAAAAACCATTTGATTATAACTTGGTACTTTGATAGTGGCATAATAAAAGAAAAAATGGAGAAGCACCAAAGCACAGACAAAATAATCACAAGTAACATGCAAAGCCCAACTCTTGAGTGTGGGAATAACTTCAGGGAAAATCCCTTTGGGAATGGTCAATAATATGTATAATGCTGTATATTGGTTTCAGCATACATATATATGTTTTTAGCTCTACAGATGTTGATAAAGAGCATATTTTTGCCAGAAAAGGCAGAACTTTCAAAGGATTATACACTGACATTGATACATTTGTCTCTGTGCTTTTTCCCCTGCTTCTTTTGATTTCTAACTCATTTTGCAGCCTGTGCTATAACATATAGGTTTGAAATGACTATTATTGAGTGTGTAAAGTTCCACATCCTGTATAAGTCCACTCATTTTACAGGCTCAGCCCAGAGAAACCCCAGCACGCCAAAGGATTAATTATGTTCTGCTTTACTGACAAGGCTGACATGAATATTTCAGCAATTATCCACCAAACTGATCAGAGAAGACAAAAGCCATAGAAGAGACATCCAAGCCAAACGGACCCATTCCATGCTGACAAAACATCCCATCTTTTTGTGTTTTGGGGAAGGGGCCTGAATAAGATTCACAACTGGCAATACTAGGTCTAGTGAGTGGCTCATTAAGTTTATTGGCGTGAAGAAGGCTTGATTTCAATTCATCAAGATCCCTGAGCAGGCTTTCATCAAATTTACCATGAAATTTAATGAAAAAATGCATTCCTTTGAGAGAGCAATGCGATACTCTACATTTTGGATTATGTGAACAAGAAATCATCTATAATCATACACCCTTGTCAAAGGCGAAACCACTAGATGTTATCTACACAAGCAGTGAGAAGAAACACCATTTCAGAAGTGTACGATTTCGGGAAAATGTGTGATATATTTTGGAATTAAGCAAAGAGTGATTATGCAATGGAAATAAAGTTTAAACATGAGGAGGATTTTAAACCATGAGAGTACAAAAAAGACTTAATCGTTCTCAACAGCATTCAATTACTGGAGCTAAAAGAGGTAAGATTTCCAATTTATTTTCTTCTATTTTCTGTAGTTTTTCATTAACAACCAATTCTATTCTGGGGCCTGCTGCAGTAGACTAATAAATTACCCGGGGATTTCATTATTATATATTGCAAATGAAATGTACCAAAACGGAACAGCATGATATAGGTAAAACTGGATGAATACTATAAATCAAGTCATTCATTTAATGAAAGGGATCTTCACTATTAGTAATCATTTGGAGCCTCCCTGACAGTTATCTTTTAATACCTAATATTTCACTACAACACCCCTAGATGTAGCAGATAGTGTGATTTACTGGTAAAAAAGCTGTTCTGTTAGAAGACATCTTGAGGCTGTATCATGATCCTCCTAACTCTTACTAGGGATTGTTATTGTATTTGCTGGTTCCCGAGGAAAATGTTTCCCTCCCTCTTTCCTTTCGATTTCCATTTATCAACGTTCCTGATCTCCTATCAGTGACTTGACAGAATTTCTCCTCCACAGGTCCTCTTCCACTCAATATTTTATTCCTCATATCCACTTTTCCCTTTTAATCCACTTTCCAAGCTTTTTATATGTTCATTCTCTTTTCAAGGGACTGCCTCCAAAAATTGAGGCAATAAGATATATTACATCTGCAAATTGATTTGTTTTCTGAAGAGACTTTTAAAAGATCATTATCCAGGAGTAAAATGAAATCAAAATCAGAAAGGCCAAACAATTTTTTTTCCTCAGGAATTACAGGTCCAAAATCTGTATGAAGATATCATAGTGGACATGGTGTTCAATCTCCAGTACTTAGAAAGGTGTGTTGCCTTATATTTAGATGGTCATGACAAGAGGCACACGGTGGGAGTGACTGGTCCACAGGGGATGCTCATTCCTCCATGACACCTGATCCCACCCCTGATGTGTTTGCTCTGCTCCTATTTTGTATTATTTTATGTATTTTTTTTTTATCTTGAATACTGTTCATTATCTCCATAAGTTTCATGGTAAACAGTACCAGTTTCATTATCCATTTCACTAAATCAGTATTGTAATGAGAGTATATGATTGTTCTAAAACCTGTATCTAGCACCATCAATCTTACTAAGATGGTACTCAAAATTATATTCTTAAATTTCAAACCAAAATAGGTTCCGTTGTTGTTAAATTACACAGATCCCCAAAAGACTTTGCAGTCTTGCTAAAGCAATTACCAGTTATTGAAAGTGAATTTCTTTCTGTTAGATGGAAATTGTTTTGAATGAAAGCCCCCCATCTTCTTTCTAATAAACATTTTCCCCCAGTGATTTCTCTGCTATCAAAAAACAATTTTAACTAAATTTTTATCAAATTATCCAACATATAATAACAACAGTTCTGTTTCTGTCACCATTATAAATGCATTAGTCTAAATGTATGCCTCACTTTTAACCAATCAATGACAGCCATGATTTATGTGAATATTCATGAGGTTTTAATTGTAGTTATAGTATTTCATTTCCCTTGAAATTGTCAGTGTCACCAAGTAATGGGATAACTTTGAAGGTCCATGACATTTTATATTCCATACATAAATTATACAGAGATAATAATTCTTTTTATCATCTTTTCTTCTCTTATAATACATTGTTAGATTTTCTAGCCACTTATAAACACTTTGAAAAAAAGGGCCATTAACTCATAATAGCCTGAAATTCAAACTTTTGGTAGTTTCAAATATCTTTTCCTCTTTCTTTTCTTTAACATGATAATGGCAATAGAACATATGGTAAACTGTCATACAAGTGCAAGGGAAAATCTTTTTTAAAAATGTACTGGGCCTGAACCAAATGATTAAAAAGTTTTCTTTGCATTCCTCTGACTAAAGAACATGTTTGACTAAGATAAGAAACAACATTGAATTTAAATAAACTTTTTAAAGCAAGTCCATCAAATTAGTATTTTTTGACAGCTATTTTATTTTGGCACATATTAAGACCAAAATTCCTCTACCCCACCCCTTTTTTAATTTTGATATAGAATTTCAAATAATCTTTTAGGGGATCAACGACTACTGCTAATTCATAATGACCATTGATATGTAGTATTTTTCAGAGTCAAGGCAAAAGCCAAATTTTCCATATTTCTTTCATCTCCATAAACCTGGTTTAGCATATCAAACAATTTATCATTGACAGAAGTTTTGACAGAACTGGGTTTACTGTTATTTATTTCATTGAATTATGTTGATATATATATTTTGATCTTCTCCATTATGCAGCTTCTCTTTATGAGAATAAACTATTGTCATTTCAACTATTTACTTATCTTGTTTTGAGCAGCTAGCTAACTAAACAATTCAGTTATCTTTTCTTTACACTACTTAGTTGCATTAACTTATCTTACTAAACCATCATATTTCCAAGTGGAAATTTTCATTGCCATTTCTAGTGGAAACTATTCCCAAAATCTGTCTTAACACTTCCTGAATTTACTTTTAAATTAAGCAACCTCCATACTTCTGATTACCAATTCTTAAAATAACTTTTATCTCCTTCCCCCAATGGAAGGCATCTTTGCATTGAATCCGATGATTTATTCATAACAGTTCGTTTACTTCATATGTGTTTTCCGTGTTTCAGATGACTTCACAGACTTGTGATCACAAATCAAAAGGAATTCAGGCCACTTTCCTGATACGAGGTAAGTCAATACCTCACTTCATTAATTTGATGTTTATTATCAAATAACAGGTTTTTATATTTTATGGGATTAATTTCCCAGTGTATTTTTATGGGAGAGAGAAAAAAATGCTTGGCTTCTTTTTTTTTCCAACTGAATACTATAGAATTTCAGATATTGATAAAACCTTGAGCAATATTAACAATCCCTTCTTTGAGCAATGATTACTGAGATTATGTGTAATGATCGATTTTAAAATTTCATTTTCTTTCCTATTCATCTCTCTGCAACTAGAACTTCCTAATTATACATTCCTGGGAACCCTTGAAAATGCTATAGCACATCGGGTTTCCCAATCTTAATCTCTCACCAACCCAGAAGTTCTGACTTATTTCTCTTGTTCAAAGCAATAATTTAAAGCGGCCTTCAATTTAGTTATGCTAATGGACTTTCAAGACTAATTTCCTGCAATTTATCCATCCTCCTTTTCATAGCTTTGTAGTCCTACAGCTCTACTCTCAGGATTCTTTTTTTCCAAGGAGTTTTACAAATTTCTGCTTTCAATTTGTCATAGCCAAAATGCATTGGAAAATACACTCTTGTGAAAATATTTACTCAAAACTTCCCCCCACATTATTTTCAATTAATTGGTTTCAGTAAGGCCTGAGCAAACAAACTCCAATCCAATTACACTTTATTTTGAGTGTCTTTGAAGCCTAAACACCCTCTGATAATTGGTATACATTTATTTTCTCTGTGTCCCTCTTTCTTCTAATCAACACTGGGTTTCAGGATCATGTCTATAACACAAATGAAGCCTCCTATTTCCCTTTGGCACCCAACTTAAAAGGATGTTGATAAACTAAATTTGATCGCTGCAGCCAAGTCAACTTTTCTTCTGCAATGTTCAATTACCTTTCTTCCCCCAGATATTCAATTACTTTCCAAATCAATTTACCATCTTCCCCACTGTGCACCAAATGAAGTTGTTATTTATGGTAATTTTAGTTATCCCTCTTCCAACTGACAAGAATTTAAGAGTTGTCTGCTCTTTATCAGATTTTTCAAAAGAGGACATCAGGAGTTGTCTTTCATTGTTAATTTTCTTCACACTTTTTAGAAATAAACAAAACAAACATTTGATGTAATACTCCTTTATTTCAAAGTTTCCTGAAAATGAACATGTCCTGTGATTTGTTAAAATAAGCCGTAGAGAGTTACTTCCCATTTGTTGTGTTAGTTTGGAATGAGTAAATTAAGACAACATTTATTATTGCTTTAGCAGAAGCTTATAAGCAAAGGAATATAGTAACACAGGGTTAATACTACAAGTAAGTCTGGACTTTTTCTAAGTGGTTAAATCTCCTGATTAATATGACATATACAATTAATAGATGGAATGTTTTGATGAAGAAATTTTAAAAACTAATAATTTTTTAAAAACAAAATTAATACAACACAACATTAAATGTATATTTTCAATTGCATGTGAATTTTAAATTAAAGCAGCTATTTAAAAAAAACAAAGTTTTTTTAAATTGAAAATTTTATTTAGTTTTATATTCTTTTCTAGCTGAACTTAAAATTTTGAAACTGGGGACATTATCTAGAAAAGAAAATAGGGGGACACACACAAAAAAAAAAAAAATTAAAAAATCACCCAGATATATGAATGCACTGGTAGATAGATCTAGAAAGTAAAATCTGGTGATTGTAAATAAAAGAGGAAAAAAGCTACAGGACTATAAATAGATATACACATAGAGAGCAGCACAACGACTGGTGCATCAGTGAATGTTACTCACTTGATTCTGTCCCATCATGGGGTGGGTGGGAGGTGGCTGGGCATGGGGGGACTGTTGTGAAGCTCCAGGCTAGATATAATATACAGACTCCATCAGTTACATTTACACAGCCTGTCTTTCAGGGTGCGAAAGTGCAGTTTTCAGGTGCAAGAGGTGCGATTTATACATATGCCTTCAGGTTCACTTATTTTATCTTGCATGTTAGTACTTTTGAACTTACATGCATTTGGTGTTGGTTTTTTTCAACAGAGAGTAACAATATTTTTCTTATATACAAAAAGAGAGGTATAGTAATGCATAACTTCATTCAGTGTTTGAGCATAAACCAAGTGTCTGATGGAAGGGAAGTAACTCTTACAGCCTTTCAATAGATGAAAAGAGGCCATGAGAGTTATCCTTCTTGTGACACAAGCAATGGATGAAAAGTGAGATGACCATGACCGAAATGACAATGGATTTTTTTATGTACTTACAGGAAAAAACCCTGGTGGCATTGGCCCCCCAGGAATTCCATCCTGAGGATTCATTTGACCTAATGGACTAGGTGCTGCTGCATTCTGGAAAGAAACAAAGAAGAAATAAATGATCAGAACAGGCAAATAATTTCTCAATGAATTTTGACAATAATTGCAAATTTATCTAATTCCACATGCCTCATGTTCCACATTTGGATAAGACAGAACCGAAATGTCCTTGTTCTTTTTTTCAAAGTATATATGCAATGTATTTTTTTTTTGAAGGATATATGCAATGTATATAAAGACCTAGGTAAAGAAACTGTGAATAAGGGCAGACTTCCATAGTTTTTGACAAATTATGAAATTAAAAGTACTTTTCATATATGTGTGTTCGAATATTCTTATTTGAAAATATTGTGTAGTTAGCTATCCATGTCTTTTAATGGAACCAAACAAGTTGAGTTTAGTTACAAACAAAACTTGACAAAAGAAAATTGAAAAGATAGTTTTTAAAGACTTTTCCTACATAATCCATATAATATTGAGACCTCGTTCTTGCCTCCAAAAGCTATGGTGTAATCTCTACTTGAAGATTCTTTACCAGTGATCTGACCAATAACCTGGCCCTACCCTACACCCATGGATCATGAATAAAATTAACCTGAGTCAAAGGCATTGTTTGCCTATTTGAAATATGACTTAATTTGGCATTTTTGTTCCCTGGAATTTTCTTTTACTTTTATACTGCCAGACTTTTCTGCTCAGTTGAGTCAAATCCTAAACTCTGGGGCCATGATTTTAACAACTTCATTCCACACTTTAAGTTAACAGCTGCATGTCAAATAGATTTGGTTATTATAAATTACAGGAGAAAGTTCTCCAACATTGCATCCAAGAAGAATAACTCAGAAGGAAAAAAGTTGTAATGCTTTAGAGGACATTGATAAGATTTTCAAAGATTGTTCTTATATTAAATAAGAGATGTTAGTAAGATTGTTCTTATATTAAATAAGAGATGTTAGTAAAACACTTATGCCACCCTCTCCCAAATAATTGGAATTCTTCTAAGTCCAAGGGACATAACTCTGCCCAAAATGGCTCGATCATATCCAAAACAAATCTTGACCTAGATAGTTTTCTGATAAATCTGTATACCAAATTTCATTTCAATACGTGCAACCTATGCAAAGAAAATGAATGGAAACTGATGGTGGTCTGAACACAGACTGACTAGCAAAGCAATTTGCCATCCCTTCTTTGGAGGGGAGCATAAAAATCTAATACAAACTTCTGTATCATGTGAGCAAAACCATCTAGTTATAACCAAAATGTTAAAGTGAAGTCTTTCTGATGTAAAATTTGATAAATACGATTCTTTGAAATTGAAAATATAATTTTTCATTAAACAGCACAATGTGTTGACAAGAGACTTCATTGGTAAGAAAACTAGAGCACATTAATATACATTGTAGTTTATAGACAGGAAAATGAAAATATTAACCTATAAAAATTTCACTCAGGACAATATTCTCTGTCAATAAACCAATCAATAGTTTGCATTTACAAAAGGAAGGGGGAGGAGGTTTTGTGAAAACAACAGCCAGTATTATTGATTGGGAGTGACCGAGTCTCGGAAAGCATCGGGCACTTGCAGAATGTCAACATGTTTGTGCAGAATCTCTTCTCAGCATCTCCATGGCAAAAATATAGTTGTTTACCTCAGATAGACAATCAATAAGAAAGTTCAAGCTGTTCAGTGACAGTCGCTTCCATGCAAATGTAAAACAATACATCTATAAGACCGAGATGTAACCTTTTTCCAGAAAAGTCAAGGTTTTAGAGAGAGGGGAAAAAAAATTGGTAAAATGCTTAAAGAAATCTGGTTAAATGGATGGAGTGTGTGTCTCTAAAAATGCTACATTGTATCCTGAGATCTGTCATTAAAAATCAATAGATCTTGCTAAACAAACAGAGCGGGGTGGAATTTATACACACACGTCACACACAGGGAGTACAGAGGCTTGTCCCAAGTTCCACCAACTTGTGTTTATCTATGCAAAGCTCAGTCAATTATTCCATCCCAACACTGGGTAATCACTATACCTGAGCAAATTCTTCACCTTCAATCACTGAAAACCAAATGTCTAATGATTTTTTTTTTAGAAAAAAAAAGTTTTCTGGAGTTATCTCACTTTCCATGATCATCATGAGGATGCACAAATCACTATACTGACAGGGATGATTTTGCCAAATCGATGCCACAGATCACAAGTGACAAAAATAGACAGTTTATTTCTTTTCTGCCCTTTCCTCTCAAATAATTTTTGACCTATCTGACTGCCATTGCAAAAGAACAGTTTTAGGCCAAGGTACAGATTTACTGCAGAGATACATAACTTAGGGAGAGGACAGCTTTATATATTCAGTTCTCTGTTTGGCAATGTTTACTTACAGAAAATATACTTGTACTGTACCTATTGTCAGTGGAAGGATTTGACCTACATTTTCCGTAGACAGTGATCATTACCTTAACTTTAAAATCCCTCCCTGTTGTTCAATGAATGTTTACCCACTACATTGTATAGCATCAAGAAAGGGTACATCATCCAAGGGGCCTAACAAGTGACATTATTAAAAATGTCACCCTCATTAATTTCTTTGAAATCCTCTTCATTCTTTGAGACATATGACTACAATTTAAGCATAAAAATTGAATTTTTTTCAAACTATGCATGATACATGGCTAATGGCTACCAGATGAGAATTTCATAGTCCCAAATATGCATTTGACATAATATAGTTCCATATATTCAAGTGATTTACTCAAAGAAATGGGTTCAAGGTTCAGGAAGTTAACATCAACAGGGATCCACTAATTGATGCAAAATCAAGGAAGAAAGCATTCAAAGCAACAATTCTCCAACTGACTTAAAAAGAACAGACACACATGAAAAACTCCAAATCTAAGTACAATAAATTTAATAAGATCCAGCTTTGTTTCAAATACCTATAAGGATCCAGAAACCAATATTTTTCAAAGTTACAAGTCTTTACAAGACAAGTTACAGTCTTTTAAATTATCTGAAGTGACCAACTATTCTTCCAGATATTTATAGCCAAATATTATTAACTAAGCATCTAAACAAATACTGACCTTGACCTTGCAAATAAGGGGAACATCGAAAACATCAATATTTTTCTCAAATGAAATGTAATCTTATTTCAAACTTTTCCCTACTTTCTTAGAGGGATAGATCGGAAGTTTATACCTAGAACTCGAAACAATGCAACACTTCAAGGAATATTACACATCTCCTGTTCCAAATCTATACAAATTTTTTTTTTCAGAAAGTAAAGCGTCATGAACATCAAAGAATTTCAAAAACCAATAGATATGTCAACAAGGATTATAAAATCAAGAATGACCTTAATACATAATTGAAATACAATGCCATTTTCAAACATGAGGAAACAATAAGATAATGTGAGCAAAAATAAATCTATTGGAATAATTCCAACTGGGTCCTGTCTTATAAAGTAGATAGGTAATGACATTTCAGAAATATACCAACAACTTGACCTCCTTGTACTGAATATATATACATGTTCTTTCAAAATACTGTGAAATCACATGCATATATTTTTTTCAGATTGGTTGTCCATGGATTAGAGATTGCCATATTCTACTTCATCCCTCATATACCCTATTTTAGTTTGTAACTTCATCTAATACATGTATTGCCCCTGACAGTCATGTGTTATCCACAGGAAGAAGGGGGGGGGGGGGTAGGGTTAAAGAGGGCAGGAGTTGCCTTTCTTGGGAATGCTGCTGTGATTTTTGAACCCTGAATAAAATTTTTCACACAGTAAATTTTAAGTTTGTCTAATAATAACTGCCCACAGGCCACAACTGTTCTGATGTGTACTACATAAATAAACCCACCCAAACAACTTGTACCCTATATCCAAATACAAGGCAAAGGTCACAACCTTGAACTCTGATCCAACTCCTAAGCCTCTGACAAACAATTGTTTTTCTGTATTTTGAAGCAACATAAAAAAAGAAGCACACTAAATTGCTTTCTGTAAAACTTTGGTTTTCTTTACTACCTTGTAAATATGACTTGGGAACCTACATCAACTGACCTCAATATACACAGCATACGACAAGAAATGATAAAGTTAGATGGATTACAAGAGGCGGTTGGCAAAGATGAAGATTAGCACACATTTTCAATGACCCCAGTAAACAAAAAATAAAGGACAAATGACATAATATTTAGAGATAGAGGAAGTACCATACATGAATACTGGTAAGGATTTTATCAATGAAGTCTACTAGCAGAAACATGTTTTTTTTAAACAAATTCAGTCACAACAATATTATCTTATGGCTATGAAACACTGTTAGAATTTTATTTCTATAGATCTTATATCTCTAACATAAATCTGCAAAGAGTTCAAGGGTCAGATTTGCAAGAAACTCAAGGGTATACCTGAGAAAGGAATGCCCTTCATATGTTAACCTTACTATTGTAATGCATACAGACTGCACATTGATTGCCAAATTACTTTGAATCGTGAACTTATTTGTAGGGTCAACATCACTATGACCCTGACCTTTGATTTTGCAAACATGATATAAAACTTGACCTTACACCATGACTTCTAGCTACCTTTGACCTAAGAACATATATTAACCAAGACATCGAGTGCAAAGTTACTCTAAGCTTTGAATTTTAATTGAGCTGTCAACATACCTATGACCCAAACCTTTGATTTTGGGAAGCATAACCCAAATTTGACCTTGCAGCATGGCCTCAACATTTGACCTGAGGACATTTAAACTGTATATAAAGCATCAAATTACTCTAAGTCTTGGATTTATTTGAGGTGTCAATATAACAGACCTGATCTTTGACCTTTGCAGCAAGATTCCCAACTTAACCTTCCAGCATGGCCTCAACCTTTGACCTATGAATATCTATATAAACTATACATCAAGCTCCCAGATACTTTGAATCTTGAACTTATTTGAGGTGTCAATGCAACTTTACCAGAAACTACAGATCTGAAAATGTTCTTTTTGAGTCATTGTTTACAAGGTTCTAATACTACGATCAGAGGAAAACCTTACTGACTTATTTGACACAGGCAAAGTGGAAATGTTAACCTGCATACTTTTGTCAGGCAAAGAACTTATGACAGTACAATCCAGAGCTGGGACATATAGCAAGAGACTTTAGTTTTTGAATATGGTTTTCTAATGAAAAATGAAGTCCAGTGTGTAATAAACTCAGAATTGCACTGAACTTTGATGATTCTAGTTTTAAAACTTTGTATTGCAGATACCGTATCATATGATACAATTTACAATATATTTATATCACCCCAGCTCTGCTGTACAGTCATCTATAAATTCTGCACTTGTACACGTGAAAAAAAAAAGAAATCTTGAAGACTACTTACATGTGCTATACCATTTACTCCATACCCTGAATTTACAAACCCCTGAAAAAATAAAGCATTTCAATTAGTAAATAATCATTTGGATAATAAAGAAACAAAACTTGAGAAAATATAAACATACATATATTTATTTTGCAAGTTTTATATAATATTCAACAGAAATTGGCTTGCTCTTATCTTAAATAAGAGTGCAATCTCATTAAAATAAAGAAAGTGCAAATGTTTGAAATAATTGACATTGCTGAAAATTTAAAATGAATTAATGAATCATTATGGCATTGAGTCATTCATATAACATTATACAGATCAAGGCAGTAAATCCATGCTACATCAACATTGTTTCATTAATAATATTATAGATAATTTAAAAGCCTGTTTCTTATTGTAAATATTTTTTTTTAATATATGTGTTTCTTTTTTTGGGGGGTAACATACCAAGATATTGTTTACTTGTATTAAGTTCTACGTGATAAAGAATGAGAATTCTGCTTTTTCATCATGTTCATCTTTTTATTTTTCTCAAAACACAGTTACAGTTCATGACCCTGCCTCATCTCTATACACAACCACGCACTAGTAAGCATGTTATAACGTGATTCTACACATGCATAGGCAACCCTCCAGCGACTATACTTCTGGTAGGGAGATTCAACCTTCACATTCAAAAAGTTAAGAGGAGAGAAAAAAAATTATTCTTTCCAATTCGAAAGTTCGCAGTAAAGGCCTACAAGGGAAGGGTTCTAAATATAAGACAATTCTTGCAAAGAAAACCAGGTATACGGTGTTGTGGATATAATTCATTGAGTTTAACATGGAGACTGTAAACCCTCTGCAAAACCGTCTGCTTTCAGCAGGGCATCACATCGAGACACCTACGCATGAGCTGAACAAAATCAATATTTCTCCCTTTAAATATGAATAATTGTTAACTGTTGAATGTATTTATATCCTACAAAGAATTTTTTAAATTTGTTTCAGAAAAAAAAAAATCTATCTCAACTGAAAGACAGACAAGGGAAGTTTAACCCTACTATGAATCATAGTATGTGTTAGAATATAAGCCAGTGTCAAAGTACCATAGGCTGGCAATAAAATGTTATTGAATATTCTTTCCACGTTATATCTTGGTCTTAAACACCATTTTGCATTTTATTCAAAAATTGAAGGAAAATATATCATGCAGAAGTTTAGATATGAAGTGAAAATTCAAACTGACTAAATGTCAACAACATTTTAACATTTAAGACATCTACAGGAATTCTGTTTATCAAAGATTGAAAAGTGGAGTGTTGTATAAAATAATTTATTATTGTGAGACAAAACATAGTAAGTACAGAACTTTTGAAAAATTTTCAGCTCTCTGGTTTGGCTTAATCTACACCTTTTACTTTTTTTTTGGTTCCATTACAATGACCAGGTTTGGAAGTGTACTTGTACAAATGAATAAGGTATAATTTCCCTCCGCTTGAGCTATTTTTAACCTTTTTTTCTAGAAGGAACCCCTAGTTGCTGCTCCTTCGCAGCACTGAATGCCTTCTACACATACACACTTTCAGCGGGTTTACAGCCGTCTATTGATTTTTAGCCTGGATTGAACCAATAAAAAGAATAAAATAAAAACAAAACTTTTTTACCACTTGTTATAAATCAAGGATATACTCGTCCCTCTACAACTTTGGGTATAATAGTCTCTGCTACCACTTTTTTCCTCAATCAAGAATACATCACCAACACCACAACCTGTAAATACTGCTACAAAGACAATATTGACAGCTTCAACATAATTTTTTTTTCAAAATTTGTTGAAAAATTATCATAGAGTTGACCAAGTATTTAGAAACCTAGCTGTAACCCCATACTTTGAAAGTTGCTGAGTTTCTGAAGCATCCCAAGTAAAAGTTTCAAAATTACATCACTTTTACGACCTGTCAATTACTTAACTAATTTTGTGTTGTCAATATGTATTTATTTTTTTTTTTGAATTTGAGATAAAAATAATCCACTCAAAGTTGGAAGTCTGAGAAAAACTTTGAAAATCAAAAATGGTAAAAAAAATTATACACATTTTTTCTCTTAGGAGGTTAAAACCTAGACAAGCATAATACAGTACAAGTACAGCAAGGTTAAGTTAGAATTCTCAGTCTACCATCCTGATAATGAGGATTAAAATAAATTGCCAAGTTGACATATAATTTGAATTTCTATGAAAAATTCTCTTCTTGCTTGATTTATTCTGATATAGTCTATGTTTTCTCTGATTTCTCCTCACCCTTTTCCTTATTTACTAATAACATCTTTGTTTAAGGTGTAAAATGTCAAATCTACTTACAAAATAATAGGGTGATGTTTTGTTGGTACTGACCCAGGATTTAGAACTTTGTTCTTCACTGGAATTCCTTGTGATTTTTTGAATCGATACTCAAATGGATAACAAATTACCCCCCCCCCCCCCCCCCCCCCCCCTTCCTCCTCCTGGCCCCTCCCTTAACCTGATACAAAATTTACTGATTCTGACTATGCTATGTTTTAGTGCTATTTCTCTGAAGGTCACTAATTATGTTCCCTTTACCCTTCTTCATCATATAGGACAACCCTGCAAAAAACACAGAAAGAAGCCATCTGCTTTTATAAAGAGCTACCACTGACATTGGCATTGTGTCCTTGAACTTCTAATATTTTTCAATTTTAAACCAGTAAAAAATATATATTAAAGTCCTCATAAATGTATCTTATATGTTCTTCAGATGATCAGGCAATGGTTCATCATGGACTTTGTAATCCAACTGTGGGACTTTCAGATGAGACCATATAAACAGAGGTCCGTGTGGCCTTGGATGCTGGCACGAAAAAGATCACTCACTGCTTAATGGCCTTGAGTGCCAAGCATAGGTCAAAATTTGCAGCTCTTAACTGGCAAGTGGTGGCATCTCCACATATGAGGGAAAATTTCTGGAGAGGGACATTAAACAACAAACAAAAAAACAAAACAGAGAATGTCAAGGTCAACACATCACTGACATCTGTTTTTCAGGTTTTCATCATGAGTTACTGGTTGCTGATTTTAAGAATCTAATCTTCCCTGATCCATCTCATCACCTGTTGATCAGCTTACTGACAAGATGCTCAAAGATTTAAACCCTTGTTTTACTAGACATATACCAGATATTATAAAGTAATAACACAGACTAATCTTTGAATGTCTTGGAAGATCAATTTTTATAATCAATCAAGCCATATGCACTAAACTTTCCTTTTTAGACAACATTCAATATTTTGTCCAATTATGGCACAGGATACATTTGCCCCTTGATATCATGGCATAGGAAATATTTGCCCCACAAAATCATATCCTATATCTCTTTAATAAAGAGTCTGAACAAACCTAGCTTATGGTTCAATTGTCTGTGGTACCTCCTTAACCTTTGATTTAATATCAGCATCTGTGGTTTGAGAAATGGAGAATGCTTAGTTCCCTAGAAGAGATTTCCAATTCTGATTTTTGTGAATTAGACTTTTATTATGATTACATACACTCTTTGTACATTTTTCATGACCTCTGTTGTACAAAATATATATAAGGAATATACAACAGAAGACTGAGAAACATCTATTTAAGTCTTGTATAATCCGATTCCTGCTGACTTGTCTTTTCTCCCTACAGTTACATAATTTGCCATCAGATGAACAACTGATCCAGAGGTACACCATCTGCTATTGATTTACTTAATCTTTATATCAAATAACTCAGGTTAAGTAGCAATTTGTCTCTTTGAAATCTCTCATAATATATAGGTAGCTGTCTGTTTTGGACCAATATGGGTTAATTTTAATTTGACTATTACTAAGATGTCAAAAGGCAATTCAAGTAACATCTATCACCCTTCCTTCCCCATCACTACCAAAACAGGAAGCTTTTAAGCAAAAATAAGCAAAGATACCCTTCAAAACATATTGCTAACCTGAAGACTTTGTTCCGTACATCACTAACTCACCCACACACAAAGACACAACTGCATTACTATATCCCCTCCAATTCCATTGCTTTGCTGCTCAAGGTTTTTAAAGACTCTTACTATCTATTCCTATGTAAAACCCTTATTTTAACCCCACTGTGGTTCCATCTAACCCCTTGTAATCATTTTTGAACAAACTTGAACCTTACACTACTTGATGCTGGTTCAAGATAAATATGACATCTTGGTTCCAAGGTTCTTGAAAAGAAAATTTTATTAAAGATTTTCCCTAAAGCTTTTTAGTTATCAAATTGATCCCCTATTGTTTCCCATCCCTATCCCCAAGGGTCATGATTCAAATTTACCTAAAATACTTCTGTATTACCAGTAATATGACTTATTCTGACTCTGCTGGTCTTGAGAAGATTTTTAAAAAGGTATTTCCTATATATTCACATATATAACTTTGATCCCCATTATCCCTGGGGGTCATGATTTAAAGAAACAAATTTACACTACTTCTTCATACTAACTGTCTCCCCTTAAAAGGGTGGCCCTTCATGTGAGGAAACTTGTATCTTCACCTAAAGTTGCTTCAGGGCAAGTTTGGTTTAAATTTGCTCCTGAAGATGAAACTGTGAACAGTTTACTACAACAAAGACAATTAAAGAGATGGAACAAATTTTGATCAAAAAATTGGTTTGGGGTCTGGAGACTGGTATGGAGAGTAAGAGAGAAATAAGAGCAAGTATTAGTCATCCAGACCAATGACCTTGAAAACTTCATAGCCTTGACTTCTTTAGATGCCTGTAAAATTGATAAGCTAAATGTTACATGTCTTTTCTGACACAAAAAACAAACCTAATATTAATCTTTACCTTGACCTCAGAGACCAACTTAAGCCCCTACTGTTAATACAAGACCATCGACTGAAAATCCTTATATTACTGACCTTAACCCTGAAACCATAGACCCTAATATAAGGTAAGTTTCAGATTTTAACATTTTTTTCTGCTTTTTTTTTTTAGGATGTTGCAACTTTATAACACAATCAATGAAAAACTTTTTCCCCTTAAAAGTCAAGCTTTTTATATATATTTTGTCCATGGTTGATTGTGCTGTTTTTATGATTTTATCCCACTATCATAACTAAAATATGTATCATCATTTTCATATGCATATATATGAACAGTATACTGCAGCAGTTTCATTGGCTGCTACATGCATTACTTAAGTCTGTTGCATCTGAAAATCAGCTTTTTTTTCTGGGACACCTGATGGTTAACACATGATATGACATTAATGTATTTTTCATAAATATGGTATTTTCCATCTCTTGTTTCCTAGAAATTAACATTTGACTGGCTATAATTTTAATTTTCATTTTCATGTTCTTTCAAAATGGCTATTTCAGACAAAAGATGCTAAAGTAGGGAGCGCATGATGTACATCAGGTCTGCAATGGGACCTTAAAAGAATTGGCTGCAAAAGCTCAAGATTTCAAGTCTGGCACTTCTTTAGCTGTTCAAATCTCACTGCAATGTGCAGTTCTCACTCAGAAGTAGGCAGTTCATCAACCTAACTATCATTCCTTGGGTACAGTCTTACAAAAGGATAGCGGTTATAATTTCAAGTACAGAAGATTTCAGATCATTTATCACTCATTTGATTGGTCGGTATAGTTATCTGAATATTCATGAAATTAAGAAAATTTGCATCGTATAAGGAGGAAGCAGAAATAGCAACGGGTTTCCAACCTTGACAAGTTCACCCAAAAATATTGTCTGTGGAAATGAATTTTTTTTCTGTAAACTGTACAAAGTAACTTTTTTTCTCTCTTTGTTGCATATCTAAGCAAGTTGGCCAAAAATATCCAAAAATTAAATTAGATCTCACTGTGCCTGGTTCAGATTCTGCATGTATCTTTAAACCATCCATTGTTCTTCTAAAATGTTCTAAAACATCATCTACTTTTAAGGCCTTCATGTCAAAGCCAATAGCAAAAGTCCTGGTATTACATATGCATGAACTGTGTACATATTCTGTGTCTATCTAGAACAAATATGCCCACAGTACATGTAATGTTGATGTGCATGTAACATTCAAATGGATTTTACTGCCTTGAGATTTTCCTCTCAATGAATCAATACTTATGAATATACAAGTCTGCTGTCATATGCAAATGCTTGAAAACTGATTGGCTCAATTCTGTCTAATATACTTGCATAATCATGAAATGCCTTAGCTTCACTAGAATGATCACAGTTCTCTCTCCTCTCGGGAGCTGCACAATATAAATCCCAAAATACACTGAAAAAGAAAAGTATATCACAATATAATTCCCAAAATACACTGAAAAAGAAAGTAGAAAAGTTCAATAAAAGTCTAAAATCATGAAATGTTATGTGAAAAAAATATTTGAACATAAACTTTCAGACCCATCCTAATAAACGCCAAGGGTGGATAGAAAATAAGATAAAGTGGGTTGATATAAAACTTGTCATTTTAAAGTAATACTAATGAAATCTTCATTAGCAAGATTTTCATGAATTTTGATGACTGGTTTATAGGTATATTCTTTAAACATACAAATGTATGTGCTATAAACGTTTCACATGCAATTCGTCTTGGGTATAATAATGTGAAAATAAAGTTTTCATGAACATAACACTGATTTACAATGTGTGCAAGTTTTCTGAAAGCAAGTTCAAAGCTTATTTTAAGATGACACAAGTGCATGTACAAAGTATTTTCAGAACTCAATAGGATTCTTTTTTTCCCCAAAATTGAATATGGCAGGAGTATAAGCACTTATTAGGATGAATATGGTATAGATTAAAATTCATTTAACATAATTTTATCTACTTGCAAAATTTTTATTAAAGATATTTAAATGTTCTTCAAAATTCCAAAATATGAAAATTTTCTATAAAATTTGATTTTTCTCAATTCTTTTTTCAAGTTGAATCTAACTTGAATTTTTTTTTCAAGTTGAATTTAACTTGAAATTTTCTTGATGTTCATAAGACTTACCACCACCAAGAATGTAAAAACCCCGGTGGTTCCCCTAATGTTATGTTCTTTTCCCATCGTATCTACAAAGACAAAGAATTCAAATATATTTATTGAAATATCATTTAACTACAAAACAGAGAATTCAAATCGTATTTATTGAAATATCATTTAACTACACGACAGAGAAATCAAATCGTATTTACTGAAATATCATTTAACTAAACGACAGAGGATTCAAATCGTATTTATCGAAATATCATTTAATTACAAGACAAAGAATTCAAATCATATTTATTGAAATATTATCTAACAGTTTCCTTATTCCATACATATGAAAATATTATATCATATCTGGAATATGATTTTGGAAAGTGGAACCATACATATATAGAGAACTAAATTGATCTACAGCCTCAGCATTTGAAACATGTACACTTATTTTGAAGTTCAAATGCTTTGCTCTTCACATAAAACCCCCTTCAACAACTAATTTTATATGATATGCATGTACATGTATTTTGAAATGTATAATGCCCCGGATGTAACTCTAGAAAAGACTGGTAAATTGGTAGATAACAAATATCTACAACAACTTCCTGCTTTGGGAGTCCCTGTTACAATTTGTGCTGATGAAGATTAAGACATTAAACTTTGGAAAGTAGGATTGACACCTAAATATGTAAAGGGAAAACTCTCCATTATATTTTACGTTTTATCTTATCATTCTTTGATTAAAACAAGCTGCAATCTCTGAATATGAGAACTAACACTAAAACACATTTTATAACAGTATTTTATTGGTCCTTAGGGTAACTTTATATAGACCTATATCAGGAGTTAGGTAAAAGTATTTATTAGGTACAATTGCAAATTAACATATAAACATGTACATATACATATTAATTAGATACATGCACCTCATATGATGCCCCCTAAATATTACACTGACTTCCATTTGCTTTTTTGACCAATATATGACCATTATATGTACCTATACAAGGTAGATTTGCGTTCTGCACTTTGTACAGGACCTGTCTCAACGCTGGACTGTGACAGAGTCATCACCTGTACACTCGGTGGATTCTGGGCTGATCTGATTTGCGTCCTGTACTTTCTACAGGACCTGTTTCACCGCTGGACTGTGACAGAGTCATCACCTGTACACTCGGTGGGTTCTGGGCTGATCAATAGGATACATAACCAGAACTCTCTGTGTGTACAGATCTTAGTCAACACCAGATCAATACATACCATCACAAAAGTTACAAGATTCAGCCACCAATACTAAGATTCCAGGCACATGGTGTCGCGTATTAAAAATTCATTTTAAAAAGCCCTTTATATTTGTACAACGAAAAAAAAGTATTATCCTGATTTTTCAACAGGTATATATATTGATTTTGTCTTAGGTATTCTTTCTTCTGTAACTTTTAAAAAAAAATAAAATTGTCTGATGTCAGAACCACTGCAAAGGTGCTTCCTACCTAAAGATTTTCCAAAGAATTCTAACAAAATCTGAGTCTAGACAGCAGCACATCTCCGTGTTTTGAAAGGAATCATTCTATCTTTGTTTCTTTCATATAAAACCATTGAGTCACCTTAACACAAGGATAAAGTCTTTAAATGTATTTTCACTGGTCCCAAAATGTACCATGACCAAAATCTACCTTCTGCATGAGAGTAAGGAATACAGAGTGAAATTTTGACAGAAACAACAAAAGTAAGCATAAAATCTGCATACAAGATGAGTTACAAATGATACTTAACAACCGTCCAATAATTTAGCTTTTTCACCACTTTATAAAAATTTCTTAACAGGAAATGTACCAGATCAGAAAATCATATCAACAAAAGAAAATCAACATCCTGTCTTAGGAGTGAAATCAAGGAGTGACAGACAGAGGAACACGACTCTGAAGAAACAAGGGCACATCAACAAGTTGTCACAGGGGGGAGGCCTAAACAGGCACCTGTTGTATAATAGCTAGTACATAGTGTACCATCTTTTCCATTTTATGGACACACAGCTTGCTTTCTCTAAACTGTCCCATATTCACAATGGCAGTTGCATCAACATGCAACAAGATGGGAGTATGTGTTCAGGAAATGTTTTTTAAATTTAATTCTAGAACAGACTGGAATGTGTCTGAGGTGCCTTCCAATGTGGGAAGTCGGGGTGTTTTGAGATTTATGAGTCCAGATGTTTCCTGGTGTACCTGCCTCTGAAGTTGTAACTTTTATTGATTAGTATTCACATGAAGAAATGACCTATTGGCATTCTTTCTCTTTAGTTCTCTAGTTCCAATCAATAACCAATGCTAGTCCCGACACCAAAGCAAATGAGTGTGTGTGTGTATGTGTGTGTATGTGTGTGTCTGTGTGCACATTTGTTGTAAATGCCTTTTTTCAAGCAGACAGCACATGTATCCATGTGTCCCCACGTCTGTTACACACATATAATGTAGGTATGTCCTAGGGCTCGTTCAGACAGCGATGCTGGCCAGTGAACCATAACACTCTTTGCATGGGTGAAAGTGATGTGTTTGTACAGTGTCATCAAACATGAAGCATTTCAAAGCACAACAGATCTATCTGCTTGATTACCTTTAAAGAATTTTTTTCTTTTATTAAAAATCAAATCTTACATTCAAAATGTCAAAGATTAACTCATGTTATGACCTAATTTCTGTAGCCCAAAAAGATTTGGGATGTAAAAATATATCTCTAGCCTAATTCACAAATTATGTTCAATGCTGGATAATAGATTTCAATTCGAACGGGTGATCGAGAGACAAACAATTCAAGGAGCAAACTTCACGCTGATCTAGGAAGTGCAGGTTTTGTTTCCAGCTCTAACAAAAGTACTTGGAAAAATATATCACTGGTTGATTTTTCTCCGTACGTTATATATTGTCTCATCCTGTACGGCTGCAATACACATTTCTACTTCCTCTTACGTTAACCGTACACATTATCTATCTACGTATAATAACTCCCAGTAACATTCAAAGACAACCTGACAACCAAACCCACACATTTTTTTTTAAAGTACTGTACTTTTTCAGCAACTCTTCATTAGTATTGTTAAGCAAAATAATCAGTGTACAGCATCAATATAAGGAAGCTAAACAAGGAGATACATCAAGTCACAAATCAGGATTTTCCATATTTTTATCAGTTTTTGCCAGCTCACATTCCCAAATTCCTTCCACTGGACAATTATTTCGTATGTACTTGATCATGTTGATAAATTGCAATACGCAATTGTTTTCCAACAATTTTTCAAGGAGTAAAAAAGTGCTTAGAATCATGTTCAAATACTACTGCTCTTTGAGCACTCTAAATATCTCAACTAATCCTGGAATCTTGTTATCCCCCCCAAAAAAGACATTTTCTTGACATGGTTATATCTATATCTTAAAATGTCACGATCTCAAATACCGTGAACATGCCAATTTTAGTAAGACAAAAACTGTGTTTTCCTCAATTTCTTTTACCTCAATATCTCAAACTTTCTGATATCTTGAACTTTTCCTCTGTCTAGATAATGAGGTTTGACTGTAATGTGATCCAATTTCAATAATCTTTGAGACAATCAAGATTCTATAAAATCATTAAAATTGAAAAAAAAGAGGCAAATTCTTTTAAGTATAAACCTTGGACCTACTATTTAAAATTCCAATCTAAAAGTACATACTCTTTTTTTTTTTTATAAGCTCTTGGATTTCACCTATTTAAATTTTGGGGATATGTTAAGTCAATCTTCCACATATAGTAATTTTACAAATGGCTATTATATCAGTCACTGTGGCTATCTGATAAAATTGCAATATAAAAATATTCTTCAGTAGGAAAAATCTTGTGGACAAACGATATATTTATGAAAGAAAATTAAAAATTTTGCTCATAAATTTTATTTCACTATGACATTAAGGTAATTTTTGTTCAAAATAGATCACATTGCTGAAGGATTCCCCTAAACCACATCAAAGAGAGTACTAAAGAGCATGATCACCCAGTGGGAGGCTTGACTGCCATGTCAAATGTTTCATGATTCAGTCATTCCATCTACAGAGCCTAGCTTTGGTCATATGAAAATGGTTTTTACAAACTTTTTGAGGATTAACTAACTCTCTCCTTCTCTCCCCTCCCCTCCCAATTTTTTATATTGGATATCATACCCCTTCCTCCCTTTTTTTAAATTGGAAATCATGTGATAAAGGAAATGGAGACATCTTTTTCCACTAGCAATCTGTGACACATTTAACTATAAATTCCAGCTTCCTGGAAAACAGTGTCTGGTACTGATACATATGAATAGACTAGAGTAATATTTCAAAGACATAAACAGAAATCTGGTCAATAAACTCAATGACAAAACAGTATCATTTATGTGAAGGGGGTCGATTTTTCAAAAGGGGAGGAGGGGATGATGGGAAAAGGTTAAAGATAATGAAAGGCTTGTTCACTGTCCAGTGGATTTTCTGAACTATAACAGTTACTTATTGCTTTGAGAACTTCTTTGTAAAGATTCAAAATCAAGACCAAATCATACCTGCCAGCTCATTGAAAATCAAAGAACCAAAAGTTCTGAAAGTCCAGTTTTCATAGTAACTATTCATATTTGTTAACAAAAATCTTTGCTTTGTTTTCATCGTTTTATTCAAGGTTTCTACAGTCTCAGTAGCAATTGATCAAAATAAATCAACGCTGGTTTTCATCAGTAATTGCAAGTATGCTAATCAGTCCATTTTCCAACTGGGTTTGAGCTTCAATCTACATGTTCTATACATTAAATTCATATGAGAAAATGTAGCTACAATCTTCTGGAGATAAAACAATTTCAATGATTTTTGGATTTTCAGTGAGCACTAGGCAGTGACATACTTTGATTTATGTTTGTACCAAATTGTCAATGCACATTTCCGGTCAGATCAAGTGCTAATAAGGAAATGTTGGGTAAATTTCACAGGGTTTAATCAGTGCAAAGAGTGCTCCAGAAATGGATTTTACATACTGCATAGTGCTTTTAGACCTTAACTATGGTTTAGAAAATTGGTTCAAGGTCACTGCACACCCTCTATGCATATAAAGGTTAAGTTTTATTCCAAGTGGGCCAAAGCAAGAGCAAATATGCTCTGGATTAGGATTCTTACATGCAAAGAGTTTTATGACCTTCACCTTTTGTCTACAAATTGGTTCAAGGCCACAGAGTCAGAGAGTCATGGAGTAAGGATTTGAGCCTTACATTGTGGTTCAAAGCCCACTGTGAAACGTTGGGACTCGTCCTTGGGAAATGACAGAATTAACAGGTCTCGTGTTCCAGTAGGTGCTGGCACAAAAAAGATCCATCACTGCTCAATGGCCCTAAGTGCCAAGCATATGTCAAAATTTGCAGCTCTCTACTGGCAAGTGGTGGCATCTCCATATGAGTAGAAAAATTCTCCAGAGGTACATTAAACAATAACAAACAAATCAATATCACTTTTGACCCAAGAGAATGACTCAAGGTCACTGCATAACCTCTACCCATCCGCAATGTTAGGGTGAAGTGCGAGTCATACTGGGCCAGGAGGAGAGAAAAAGAAGGCCATAAGCCACCATGCTCACCCGAGTCACTATGTGTTATTCTTCATCTGCAGATGTACCCCACACATTTTACATCTTTCATCATATATAGTGGCCCCATTCCAGCCCCTGAGTTCATGATTTAAACAAACCTAAATATATACCACTTCAGAGTTTTCCATGGCTTGTCATGGCTTTGCTGTTCTTGAGAGGGATTGAAATATTTTTCCAATATCTCTGATAATTCTGATTCCAGATGCTGCCCATCATGGCCCCACCCCACCCATGATTTGACCAAACTTGAAACTTCACTACCTCGGTACCTGAACATGCTGAAGATGCCTCCATATAAATATGACTTATCTTGGATTTCCTGTTCTTTGACAAGAATTTTTTAAACGATTTTTTCTAATTATTCCACATGTGGAACTTTATTTGTCCATAATGGCCCCTGCTAACCCAAGGGTCATGATTTGAACCAACTTGAATCTCTATTAAGTTGTAGAATGAAATTATTTTTCTTTTCTGGTCCAGTGAATCCCCTCTAACTTAAAATTTAATGTTGAAAGTTTGGTTGCAATTGGCCGATTTGTCCTGAAGAAGAATTTGAAATTGTACAAAATTTGACAAGAAAGATGAAGATGACAGTCACAAAAGAGGGATTTTTTTCTATCAGGAAAGCTCATTTCAGCCTTTTCCTCAGGTTAGCTGATTCAATCAAAACCAATATGATTAGTTTACAATTTTGAAGTTAGATCAAATAATTTTTCTCTATACATCTCAGCTCAATGCAGTCAAAATTCTCTCATACCTGTGCATTTCAAAACTACAGACACCGTCTCTAAAAATTGTTTTAAAAAAAAAAATCTGAATGTATAGTCATTTTTTCCATATGAATGTTAAAGTTAAAACTCACATCTTCACCTTTTTAATAACAAATGGTTTGCACTCGTTTTTATTTTCCGCTAGTCAAGAATCAAATAACCTCAAATTCTAACCTTTAACCTAAGTAACTAAATCATGTCATTGCCAAAATACTATACATAATAGGCCTATAGCTTCTTCCCTATTAGATGAAATCTTAAAAAATATTCTGCCATGAAAGACTATCATAAAAAATATATACCATCTGCAACAAGTTTTATCAAACCAAATACATAAAAGGTAAGTTGGATTCATGGAAGGTAAACACCTCCTCCCACCCCCACCCTACCAACCTGTGACTCTAAAAAAAAAGTCTTAGGATAACAGAAACAGAGGGGGAACTGAATAATATGCGACCAAGTTATCTTTTTCAGGAGGCAGAAAGGTGTCTGATCAATTTATTAATTCAAATTACTGTCTGTATCAATACAAAAAGAAATGTGCCATTTCTAAAGTTTTTCAATTACCATATTAATGGTTCTGTCAAAAATACTTTCACTCTCTGTATCGATACATCATAGTTGTTCTGAATGATTCAGTGACTCAGTCAGCAAAAAAAAAAACCTGTCTAGGAAAATTGTGTTGATTACGTCATTATAGACCGAAAGCAGAAAGCAGCACTGAAAGTCAGCTCAAAGTCTGAAATACCATTGAATATGACATAAAAACTAATAAACACAGAGTTAGATAATCAAACAAGTTCAGTTCTTTAGAAAACAAAAAAATTCCTATTTAAAGAATAACCAAAATGAAGATGACCTTGAGAGGACAGTTCAAAAAAGGCAAAGTAGATGACCTTGGAGAAAATGCATGTAAAAAGGACAGGAGAAAGTAAGTGGGCTAAAAGGTGGTGGGTGAATGTCAGTGAATAATTTCAGGTCATAGTTGGAGGGAGGGGTGCCAAAAAAGAAGTTATTACAAGTTCTTTCTTTCAAATTTCACAACACAGAGAGTAATCTCTACATGTCCCCAACATTACTAGAACATAACTAGACTCCAAATCTTACAGGATGGGTGACATAAAATGAAAGTCTTTATCACATAGAAAACATCTGTAATTTTTACAGGCATTATAGCAGATTAGCATAGCCTTATTTAGTCCTTTATATGTTTCTGTACATGTAACAAAAAAAATAAATGAATGTGAAGTCATATTTTACTACTTAGGCCAATAAAATATACTCTTGTCTCCTGTCACCTGACCTACCCTACATTTTACCCTCCGACCCTAAAAGTTTTTATTACATTTTCATTTTGGGGCGAAATACTGTGCCCAATATTCATAGAACTAATACATCACAAGTGTACAGGATACATTTACTTTATGAATCTTTATTAACAAACTTGCTTTGTAAACTGTAAACATACTGTTTTATTTTTATTATATGCTATATGTCCTGCATTCATTGAATTTTGAAAATAAAATTTTTTCTCAATGAATTTTTTTACCTACCCGATTTTTTGGGGTCAGGGGACAGGAAACAAGAGTATTATTTCTTTTGGCCTTACAGTGTGATCAAGTGTATATATGAAGCTGACATTTTCTAGGAACTAGCTTTGAGCGAGCTAAAGGTCAGTGGAAGAAGTTCTTATTCAACGAAAGGAGCATGGTATATGCAATGTTATATAAATTTAGATATACTGTTTAAAAGACAAAACCAGTAAAAAACTTTGTGGGCAGTGGTTATACAATACAAATTTGCATATAGAAACCTTTGCTTAATGTTCAATTACTGCCAACATGTTCAAGCAAGTACTTCAGTATATAAATGCTCACATTAAATTCACACAATTCCTTGAGTGAAAACACGCATCATCCTCCTTTCAAACTAGCCCAGTGTAAGCCTAGCTTCAAATTTGGGTAAAAATTTTCAGTGGCATTGCCGCATTTATTACATAAGACCACTCTATGTGCATTTCAATCATACTTTGACTGCCATATGAAACAAAATGTAAAGCCTTAAATGATACCAGATGATAGGTTTATAGCAATCATTGCTCTGGCAAAATTTCTACTGGATTTGACCATGGCCAAAGGAACCTTGGAGAACACTGATATATCTACACTCATTTCATTCTGTGAAAAATCCAACCAATACCTAACTCATATCCAAAAATATACTAGTAAATACATCTTCAAGGCAAGTTCATGAATTTTATTCTTATTTACTGAGGCTGTGACAACTGTTTAACGCATCTTTCCTCTCTCTCTGCAAAATCATTATATATTCAGGTTTTAAGTAAATAACAATTTACTAATAGAGAATCTACAGGTTTTGCATAATTTCTAATCAAAACAAACAGTGTTGGTTTTATTCATGAGCTAACAAGTTCAATATGGGCATACACAATCTTATTACACTATTGATTTCATGGAGAGAGATGGCTTATATCACGAGTTTTTAAAAATGTTTCAAGAATCCTACAGGTCTGTCATCTGTTTCTAAATCTTCCTATTTTACACTTATCTATAGTACTTACCTCTGATAGGAAAGTCTGTGCACTTTTCTGTGCTCCGACGTGTAATAAATATTCATATACATAGAGGGCTAACCTGTAAAATATAAAACACAACTTAAAACTGTCCTGTCATTTCATAATTTGGCATATAATGTGATTTATTTAGTATCAATGTGTAGTTATTGTCCTATATACACAGAATAAACAGCTGATGAACAAGTTCATTTTAGGCCAAGGGATTTGAAAAGAGAAAGTAGCCAATGTTTACAATGTATCAGCAATTCTGTGTATCATACAGTAAATTCAACAATCAATTTATTAAAAAGTATTGTTGAATAAAATTTGGGGTACTAAAACCCCCCAAAAAACATAACAACAATGAACTACTGAGCTTTGTTTTGAAGTCCACATGGTCTACAATGCTACCACATGAGTATGTTTAATAACGGGAACAGCCATTTTGAATGGGGCATCACTTGTGCACAGGTGGAAAATACTCGCTTCGGGACCTGTATGCGCATTGTAAAAGCTGCAAACCCTAGAATTACTCTCTCAGATTGCATTCCTATGGTCAGAAATGCTGAAAAAATAAAAATGACTTACTTTTCGCGAGCTTGGGCATCCGAGGGTACCGTAGATCCTTTCCCCTTCGAGTACATGCTGGGAGCTGAACTGTCACGCACCTGTCAACATATCAAGGACGACACTGACCCCGTCACTATAGCAACCACAAGTAGAACTGAAGAAAGGCGTTCTACGATTAGTTCGTTAATTATAGCTGAATCTGTGATCTAGAAACCAACAGACTGGGAAATGTGTGTGTTACAGCGACAAAGACCGGCTGGCAAGAGGCCAAATTTATCAAGTTATATAGATATTTTCTCCTGCGAAGATGTAAACAAAAGAAATTATCTTTTCTTTTTTAAAAAATATGGATATATTCCATGTAAAACAAACGAATGCAAGTAGAACTGGATATAACAAGGCGTATAACTATATTGTTAATTATGCTTAACTTACACACTAAAAATTCTTCTTTTTTTCCTTCCAAAAAGTATAAAAGACAAATACTGAAAACACAAATTTTCTTGTGTTATGCTATGTTTAAAATGATTAGAAAGATCCAATTCAGAGTATTTTATTATGTGAAAAAGAGGTAAATAACAAAGCATCAGAAAAAAATTAAGAATTCCTTCTTTTTTAAAATTCTGAAAATGTTGCACATGTACATATTTCTTGTAAACGCACTTTAGTCAAAAGAAAATTTACATAATTTAAAATATGTAGAATTCTGAAAAATGCCAATCACTCATGGTTTTAACTTTCTACTGATATTTTTTCATCTGCAAACAAGACCTCAAAATTCACTTTCGTGTCAACTTTGAAATATTTTCAAATGGTAGAGATATATCCTGACCTACTTTCCAGGCAGTTTTGCCCAATAAATATGGGGATCTAGAAACTATCAATCTACACTTGAGGCACATCTAGGAAAATTATTCTGTTTTATTGCGCTTTATTCAAAGAATTTTTAATTTTGATCAAATTAAATATTTTCAATTTTAAAACATGGTCCGTAATTTTATAAACATATTTTAAATGATTAAACCATGAAAATATACATTTAGAAAACGATGTTTACATCAATAATAAACGATTACACATGTTTGACCCCGCAGACCCGACATGTGTATTGGTGTTTTCTTTTACCTCCCTCGTATGCTAACCTACCATCATGGCGGCAGGTTCAATTTCGGAAGACGAATTTTGGGACAGCGTTATTTACTTTTTAAAACTATCAGATAAATTAGATAGAAAATGGACCGTGAGAGAAGCAAAAGTATGTTTTATAAACTTAAACGATGTTTGAACTTACTGTGTAACGCCATCAAATCCAAACAATGTCTGGGCACATCCCTTTATCCGACACAAAGGTTTTTCGCTTTCCTCGGGCTTTTCTAAAGCCAGGTGTAAGCTCCGAACAGACAGAAGGGGGCGTAACCAAAAGATGTATATTGTGCAAGATTATGATAGAATATTTCAGAGATAAAAAGAAAAAGTAATATTTTAAACAGTGTTGAACTGTGACCGAAAAAATTGTGAATTGAAAATAAAATGCATTTTTTTAATGTAGGATGGAGGAAAGTATGTCATGAAAAAGGAAGAAGAGCTAAGGTGTAAAGATAAAGATTTGACTCTAGGAGCAGATTTCTATAGAGATCAAGAGGTTATGGGTAATTTTATGAAGTTACGTTTTTACCAATCAGACAGGGAAACTGTGCTCACTTTTATTTGCTTCAATCAACATTAAGTTTACATTAAGTTCGTACTTCATTTCAAAGAAACTATTGATAACATCTTTAAATAAAATAATCAGAAGAAGCTACAAATAGATCCTTTTATTTAATTATTTACAAAGAAAACAATGATATTATTTTCAGAAGAAATATAGATTTTTCATTTTGTATGTTTTATATTGTTTAACACAGTTTTAAAAACCTTTAATATTATTTTTGTCACATCATTAATGTAGTAAAATGAAATAAGCCTTTTAGTTTCTAGCTTTCGTTACATACTTACAATGAACTTATTACATGTATACAGGTGTCTCATTATATCGCGGTACTTAAATCTTTTGCATAAAATGTGTAATTCACATTTTTAAATTTAACTTTCATCAAATGATATTCATAAACCAACCTATGGCCTAACTTTTTATCATCAAATTATTTCCCAAGCTTGCATCGTTTAATTTGTAGTCTATTTTTAAAACAGGAAGTCTTATTTACCTCCTAAATCGGAGAGTCTCATTATATCGCGGTATGGGAAAACATGGATACCTGAGGTTGACATGGACTTCAATTCTTATTTTTTATTTTACCATGTAATTCTACATAAGGAAATAAACAATTATGCGAACAAGACTTTCAAACATGAATTTTATATAGATTTCACTGGATTATAAACTCGGTGGGCTAAAATGATAATGAATTTCTGTAAAATTACGTTTTATTTGAATATTTTTTTTCCGACGAATGTTCCATACTTTTTAATCATCACAAAAATTTACATTCAGATGACAGTCTGATATTTTTTTCAACAAAAAGCATATGAGCCATGTATCTGATTTTTTGGAATATACCGCGATACAATGAAACCCGCGATATAATGAGAATCCAGTATACATGTTTTTTTTTTTTTAAAGGGATGTCTCACATTAGATCGGATTAAAAACTTTTCATAATAATTTTACACATACACATAAATATTCAATATTTTATATTTTATTTTTCACAACATGTGTTATTAAATAAAGTAAAGACTGAATAGTATAAAAAGTTTTATCAATTCTGGATAGTTTAGACCATGCCATTAGACATTTCTGGTTGTGCTTATACGGGTCTCTGACTCTCAAAAAATACTATAAATTTTAAGCCAAATAAAAATTGGTTCGGGTTACCTTACCTTCCCTATTTTTCACCCCTGACCCTAAACTTTTTTTGGTAATTTCCATTTTTTTACTGGAACTTCCTCTCTTTCTGTCATTGGTTCCTGGTATTAGTTTTTGTTTCAGCCAGTCTAAAGACAAAAAATGACCCCTACAGAATAATGACTGGCTGGTTGATTTTCATAACTACATGTAGGCACCCACCAATCTTGACTAGTATATTATCATGCCCCATCTAAATGCTACCTGCAAAGCAGTGATAGGTATTACGAAGAAAAATTCAAAATATCATATTGAAAAAAAAAAAATCCCCACTTACCTATCCTAATTTTTTTGATGGTGTAACCGGAACCTCACCTATTTTTTTTATTCGGCCTTACATCAGATCAAATCATCAAGAAGTAGGAAGTGAGCTCTGTATTATGTACAACTTTTGAATTTCAAAAACTTTAGTCCAGTGACATGTTACTTTAAGGTTACACTTCCTTTGTTTATCAGCAATACTATTCCAATAAGTCCAAATCATTAGATATAAACATCATACGATCTAGTAATATATGTCATATTTTCAGTTTCATCCAAATCTTTTTTTAAAAATTGAAAAATAATAAATCATAGTTAAGGACAGATGATACAAACAAACTTTTGTCAAAGAATTTAAAAATAACAACTTTGGTCATACTTAAGGAGGCTGGAGGGTCAACAAATTAATCCCAAATTAACCACCAGATTTAAATTATTTTTTTACATACGGTATCTTTAGCTGTCAACTTTCATTTGACAAAGAAAAAATTCACATATTTTAGTTTTAAAATTTGATCATTTTGTATATCTTTATATGGAGCTCTCCTTTTAAAGGAGATTGAAATAGTCTAAAAATGGCTGCCACCCCCTAGCCTCGTTAAAGTGAAAAATATTTGTATAGATTAATTAATAAGGATGGTTTCAGAAGGGTAGACTTTTGAACATCACAGAAGGTTTACAATTTCTTTATGTTCTAGGAATTTATTATTTGCATCATTTGCATATTAACACTTTACAACTTACAAAATTGTTATGCAAAATAAACTGAATCCTCACGTCATCGAAATATTACGTTACCATTTCCCCGCAAGCACTTTCTAGCGGGGTACAAGTTTCTCTAAAGTTTGGCGTAAATAATATCATGACGTAATATTTTAATTAGAAAAATTTTTTTCTTATTTTATGAGATTAAGCAAGTATGAAATAGTCGGAATTTGGCAATAAATTGAAGATTTAATGAACTTTTTAAAGTGCGTGAAAATGCGTGATTGCGGGGAAACGGTAAATGCGTGATTTTGCGTCAGAAATAGGAAATGGTATATGCGTTAAAATGCGTGACTGCGGGGAAGGGGGTTAATTAGGTAAAAAAAATATATACCAATCCAGGCATTCATTTTTTGTTTGTATCATCTGTCCTTAAATTGCTAAATAGAAATATTTTAATAGATTGTGCAATGATGCAGATCAAAAAGTATAATATATTATATATTTGAACAAAAATTTTTTAAAAATTGAAAGGGTAAAAATATAAATTAATGTCCTCAGAAATTATTTTTTAAACCTGTAACAATGCCCATTTTATGCATATTAAGAGAGACAACTCTATTTCTTATTTTTAAATCTTCCAGGTGGAGGAGGAAGACAGCTCTACACTACAGACTGACGGGGAATTGGAGCAACGTGTCCTTACATATGAATACCACATTGTGTACAGCCAAAGCTACAATGTCCCTGTCTTGTACTTCAATGCCCATTTTCAAAGTACTTTTCATATTTTTTTCTTAAAAAAGATAAAACTGCAATATACAGTCAGACTAGAGCAAATTCAATGTTAAGTTATCCAGAAACTTCCTTAAAGACATAAACAGCTAGGTCTACATGTATTAGATAAATGTTAAACAATAGTATACGGTTATTGGGTTTTGATGCAGTCTCTAATCTACATGTTATCATATATATACCTGCTCAGATAATGTGAGGCTGAAGGCAAGTCTGTTCAAATCTACGTCAGGAGAGCTACAGATACTTCTCAAAGTGATGCCCCCCTCCCCCCCAAAACCCAATGACCACTAGTTTATGATGCAATGTAGAATCTTCCATGAGGCCTGGCCTTGGGGCCATAAAATTTAAACAAGCTCAATTTTGATCTCAGTCTCACTTTTTCACTATAAATTCCTTAGGAAAAAGTGAGACTCATCTAAGTACCATGGCCCCCAGGCCTGATCTTGCTCTATGATGTTTTTGTAGGCCTTGCTTTACTCTGCTCCAAAATTTGTTTTGTTTAAATGAACTTTCTGCTTGAATACTGTGTGTATTTCCTTATCTCATACTCAAAATATTAACAGCTATTTATATAACCAAGAAACAACTTTTTAAAAAATTATCAATTGTTAATGAGAAGATAACTCTTTCGGTCAATTTCTTTAGATGGAAAGCTTTTGAGTTTGGAGGAAATATGGGAGATGGTGCCAGCTGTGTATAAAGAAAGGTTATCACAGGATAGATGGACATTCATCTCACAACAGGTAGGAGGAAAAGTTGACTGAAATTTAGGAAAACAACTATCTGATCTTTTGTTTTTATGGCAGGCAGATTTGAAAAATTGTAATTTGTCAGAGTTATTCCCCCCTGTTGAGTGACCAAAACTTGGAAATTTTAGGTCTTTTCAATTTCAATGTTTTCTTTTAATTCTGCATTTCCTCTTCAGTTTTATAGTAATACGGAGACAAGATTTTGTTAGATATTGATGAAAAATTTGAAAGTAGATGATTTATTAAAGCATGCAGAAAAGCTCATGGCTTTATAAATGTTTCTAAAATGAATATTGATTGTCATCTTCGCTAGCCAAGGGTTTCTGATACGCTACTCTCCTCATACACCCTTGGCCTACGGTGTTCATAAAAATCAGGATTTTTTTCCAGAGTTCTGATTGGATTTCAGTACACCCAGGTCGACCAATCAGCGATTGTTTTTTGTAAATGACGATATTTGCGTTCGGGATACATCTTCCCTGTTTAATCTCGGAAATGAAAAACGCAAGTAAACAACGATCCGTAAGATAACATTCAATTCTATGAATAGCCATGGTGTCATCCAATATCTTCGGGTGTTGCTAAAACGCGGAACAGAAAACGGAACGGAAAGCGGAACAGAACGGAAAATAAATATCAAGGAAAAAACCTTGATTTGATATGAATCAGAAATAAAAAGCAATATTCATGATATTAAAGTCATATTTAATGAAAAATTAACGTAAAATATGATATATTTGTGAATTATGCTTCTCTCATAACATGTACATGCGATGGTCAATAAAATACATACTGTGATTTAGATGTACTAACTACTGTAAATCACTTTTTATTTTCGCGTAATTACGCGATACAATGCGTTCGCGAAAATTAAATTCTCGCGTATAAAAGTATTCCTTACGATTATATAGAGGAACAACAACTATTCGTGAAAATTATGTCTCGCTTATAAAGAGTCAATGACAATCTCTCGAAAATTTAGTGATCTACAGTATTATCCATCTGTCAAATGTTTCGTTGAAATCATTTTTTAGAGAATGCTTATTTATAAATAAAAAATCTTGTATTGAAAAAGACGGAAGTAAAAAAGACTAGTACTAGTATTATGTATACATACGCGTGTATCGGTAAAGACAAAAAAGAACTAGTTTTGACATACTGGTATACAGATTATGCCGCATACATTGGCGAATCCGGGAATCTTGAAATGGGGAGGGGGCAGTTTGGGGTCAGAGTAGGTTCCCTCAGTCACACACATATATTGGTCACAAAAAGGACGGGGGTCTTTCTCCCCTTTAAATCCATGAGTGGCATATGATATGTATATTGAGAAATTCAAATATGAATAGCTGCAACATAAGAAAACACGTTTTACTGGGTCATTCATCCCCACTCCCCAAAAAAGAAAACACACTTTAATAACTTAATTAAACGTATGGACGATATATCAATTTTACTACAGTAAAGATTTGCCACTCCATCTATCCAAGATTTTATTTGATATATAGGAAGCGACTCAACTTGTATAAAATTTTTAAAACCAGTTTTACAATCGAAGTGTTATCCGGGCTTGTGGGAAAGTGGTGCTCTAATAGTAGTCTTATTACAGAAGTTTTTTTTTACATTTTATTATTTTTTTTTTACCAATTATCATGATTTATAAAAATAACAAATATCCCCTAACTGTTTTCCAGACATAACCTTTATACTATTGAAATGATCATTGAAACCTCCAACACTTTCTGTCTGTTTAATTAATAGTAGTCAGTAAGTGTAAGAAAATAACACTGAAAGAAATTCAAGCTATGTCATTACTTTGTCAGCACTTTTCGTAAGAGACTTAAAATGACTAATTAAACTTGTATTGATCATGGAGGGATTGAATATGTATAAAATATATGTTGTTTCAGAGAAATTTATATATTTTAAATGATTTAATCTCAAATAATATTTTCCGTTTTCCGTTCCGTTCCGTTTTCCGTTCCGCGTTTTAGCAACACCCAATATCTTCTAAATATGTGATTAAGAATCTATATTGAAGCTTCAGATTTGTTCTATAAATAATGAATAAACATAACTCAATAATTGCTTCTTAATTATTCTTGAAAAAACGTTGATTTAATTTTTTTTAACACGTGTCTTTATATCTGGCGATGACGCAAACTGTGCGTACCTGATAGATTCGAGATCACGTGACGGAAAACAATCCCGTCTTTTGACTTCACCGTATGCCAAGGGTTTATGAGGAGAGTAGCGTATCAGAAACCCTTGGCTAGCGAAGATGATTAATTGTAGGAACACCCTCTTCTTGGTCGGCCATTTTATTTCTTACATCCTTGTCATACAGCAGATTTAATGAAAAACATCCCTACCTTGTCAGATAAAAGGTGAGCTGAAAGTTACAGGATTAAAGGTAAATTTGAAGTTACAAGAGAAAAGTGAAACTGGAAGTTACAAGATAAAAGGTAAATTTGAAGTTACTAGATAAAAAGTAAACTGGAAGTTACAAGATAAAAGGTATTAAAACTGGGAATTACAAGATAAAAGATAAATTGGATGTTACAACTATAGTTCACGTCAGAAAATGAGTACAAATCTCATTATCTCTAACTCAAAGGGACTGCGGAAAAAGAGAGTGTTATCCCAGGATTTTAGATAGCAATGTCCAAGATACTGAAGTTAAACTGTATATTTTATATCTCTATGATTTACACAACTGTGCTGAGTTCTTGTCTTTTAAGAAATGTATTGTTTTTCAGAATTAACTTTATTAGAATAAACTCTTGAGAATTTTTTATAAAACTACAAAGATTTTTTATTGTAAGGAAAGCATAGCTTTCTTTCTCACAGATTTTTTTCTTTTGTAGACATTATATAATTGCATGGTTGAGTGCAGTTGGGCCAGTGGTTGGATTAGAACTTCCTTTGGAGTATGGACAAAACTTCAACCCTTGAATTGATGTCCCTATTTTTCCCAATCAGCCAGTCAAAAACTAGAGGCACTAGGTGAGCACTGAGCTTACTAAATGATACCCCCGCCTCTCATATCATTAGACATGTAATGGCAAAGTCTATGTTTTGCACTTGGAGACCCAAAATAAGTGTCAGATCAAAAATACAATAAAAGACGCACAATGACATTATGTAAATAAAGAATATGAAAGTATCATTAAATTTTATTCAGTGGTATAGGACGAATTGCGGATAAGAGATTGGTACCCTCCAATTTTATTGAAAGAATGGCATGACAATTTTTTGCTATGGGAAACCCAAAATATGTGTCTCTGATCAAAAAGTGAAATAGAAGGTGCACAATGGCACTATGTAACAAACATTCTGTGAAAGTCTCATATAATTTCATACAGTAGTATAGGAGGAGTTGTGGATAAGAGATGGGTACCCCAAAGCGTAAAAGACGAACGGACGGACATCCCAATAGCTATATACCCTCCTGCTTTTCAAGCTTGGGTATATGAAATGAGAAAATGGATGCAAAGCTAATGCAATGCTATTGTTCATATAAATATAAGAAGTTTCAATATGAATTGTTTCAAATATAAAGAAATCTTTGCTGTGTTTAATCGAAATAAATATGTTAAAACATTAGTGTAGTGTAGAAATAGATAAAAGTTGCTAAAAATAATGATACTATATCAGTTGCAGATCCATTGAAACTAAAGATACCAAATGTATTTCATATTTATAGACATTTTTACTAGAAAAAAAAGTTAATGGTAATCTAACATCAAAACTTTATGATAAATGTGATGACTTCAACTTTTCTATTGTCAACTTCCTTAACTTGTGTAGCAGACTAGCAGTAAACTTCTTCCGTACTTATGAAGGAATATATCAACTACTTGTGTAGCAATATACCCTTATCACCTGCATGTAGGATTATTTGTCTCCAAATAAATTGAATATGCAAACACATGCTCCACAAAAGGCCAATTTCTTAAAAGAGGCAAGCTAATGACAAACAAGTTGATGAAGCAAAAATATAAGCAGTCTTATTTAAAGTCATTATTTTGCAAGTTCTATGGTTGATTTGTTACATTGTCACAAGTTGAATGCTGACTGATGTTTTTCATTCCATTTAATTAGCCATTATTTACAGACTCAACTATCGAGGATTTTTTCATTTGCCTGATCATGAAAATGGGGTTATTGGGGATTCTTAATATTCCATGTCACCTGACCCCCCAGTGATGATTAAGAGGCGTTTGCTCTGCTTTCAAATTGTAATCAGTGGACTATTAAGCTTGAAAACTGCTCTGTATCTCCATATTTTTAATCCCCCCCCCTTTGAAAAGTAAGAGGGTATATAGTGATGGGATGTCTGTCCATCTGTTAGGCTTTGGAAATGGTCAACTTTTGCTGATTGAAAGCCATATGTCAGCAAAAGTGGTCGAAATTACCCCAGTTTACCCTAATATGAATTTTGACTTCCGTTAAACACAGAAAGCAATTTACATTAACAGTTTAAAAAGAATATGCCACAAGTTTTTGATGCCTCCGGGTTTCCCATATTCAAAATTCACAACTTTCTGGGTTTTTTTTACAGCATTCAGAGAATGTTTCCTGGATTTTCTTGGATGTTAATAGGAGTGATGGAGTTCTGGAAATAGTGAGGAAAGAAAGTTAGTACCTGCACAGTAATAATAATTAATTATAAAAATGGAATAAATCATTTAATGATTTGTCCAGTTCAATATTTTATTACATGGCCAGTAAGTGAAACCTTTGAATTTAATTAAAAAGTAGTCCAATCTTAATACATGTATTTCTATTTCAGATTTTTAAAGACATGAAAAATTTCACATCAAAAACCCGAATGATTTGGGAACTGATGTTGACACAGGACTGAATGAAGAAATTTTTTTATAGATATGTTTCAAATGAAATTGACAATTTGATTTCCTTTATCCAATCTTCCATGTATGTGATGCTTAATATACATAAAATGTTATGTTTAAAATTAAACACATTTTTACAAATATTTTACTGTCATTTTTACGTGTAAGCTCTAAACTATGTAGCTGTTCTTGTTTTGTTTTAACTTAATATACAAGAAAAAGGATATTTGATGTGTTATGCCCAATCAACGGGCCCTGGAGACTTTGAAACAAATTAAATAGAAAGTACCTAAAAAATTCACAATGATAAAAAAGATTGTAAAAACTAGAGGTACTGTGAGCAATGAGCTCACTAAATGATACCCCCCGCCTCCCATAATGCCCATGTGTTGCTATATGTTGTTTTACGGTAATGTGTAAAGAGGAATAAATATGCCTAATATTAGACTGATATGTTTGAAGATATGTTAAAGCAAGATGTTCTCTAATAAATACTCAATTTTATCATTCAAACAATTTTTTGTGCATTAAGAATTGGTTTGAACATATTTTACCGTATAAATACTAAACAAATGGCTTGAACACAAGTTCTAATAACGTACGAGGTTCTCACCATAAAATGCTACAACTGTCAATGTTTATACGTACTAGGAAAAAAAACCATTTACATACATTTTTTTGTTTAAAACCTACCTTAAATAGTGTAGTCATAAGTTTTGCATGGACTCTTTCTGTAGTTCTAGTTTACTATATAAATCAGATTATATTATATTTTTACCATCAATTAAATTTTTTATAGTAGTGATATATATACAAGAAATTCCTAATTAGTACAAATATTTCTGCAAAGTAAATTAAACTCAATTCTTCTTCTTTTCATTCTGAGTATAATCTTTTTATCGAAAAGATTTAATTAAGTCATGATCCAAATTCATTCAATAATTTTAGTGCATTATAAAAAAAAAAAATCTCTTTTTGAATGGATGAATTTTTTTTTTCAATTTTCTTTTCATAAAACATGATCCTAAATTTTGAATTTCTTTTTAAAAATTTTATTGATATGAATTAATATACCGGTATGAATTTTGAAATTATGAATAGGTAGTATCGGATTAATTAATAATTATGTTATAAAACAAGTATTTATGATATTTATTTTGATTGTACTTATACAGCACAGGTAATAAGTGCAGGTAATAAGCCTAAAACAGACTATACACAGGTGACCACTCAGGTGTGAAAATCCTAATTTTGGCTAGATGGGAATAAGAAATTCAGAATTTTGGCTAAGTGGGAATAAACCAACTCGTCCTATCAAATGTTCGCCAGAAGCTTAGAACTATATGTGATAGGTAAAATATAATGGCAATGTCCATATTTCGCTATGGCCTGGGAAACCTAAAATACGTGTCGAATAAAAAAGTAAAGTATGAGGTGCACAGTGGCAATATGTACTAAAGATCCTGTGAAAGTTTCATTAAATTTCACTTAGTAGTATAAGAGGAGTTGCGGACAGGAGATAAAGCGTAACAGATGGACGTACAGACGGACGGAAATCCCGATTACTATATACCTCCCACTTTTCAAGCGAGGGGTTTAAAAAAATAATAATATATCTATGTCCTCCCTTACTCTCTGTGCACAAACACTTGTTTCTGTAATATATTTTTATCAATAGAATTTAACTTGCACAATGTATCTTGCATTTTCATGCAAAGAAAATGCACTGTTAAACTGTCAATATCCATTTTCTGCTTGGCTAAATTTATTTACACAACCTATACACATATGACACTGTAGTCTTTGTTACACCCCTGCTTGAATAAGTGATCGGGATGTCCGTCCGTCTGTTTCACTTTGTGGTACCCATCTCCTAGCCGCAAATCCTGTTGTACTATTCAATGAAATGTAATGAGACTTCACAGGAATCTTTGTTACATAGTGCCATTGTGCACCTCCTATTTTACATAGACACAGCCATTCTTTCTATAACATGGAAGGGCGTCGATCTCTTACCCGCAACTGCTCCTATACCACTCTGACACTGAATAATATTTAATGATACTTTCACAGATTCTTTAATTCATAATACTCTTTTATACACCTTCCATTTTACATTATTTGATCTGACACTTATTTCGGGTTTCCGAGAGCAATACATAGATTTTGCCATTATAACCATGTGGGAGAGGGGTATCATTTAGTGACACAGGATGAAATCCCACCATTCAGTCAAATGAACTTTCAGTTGGCTGAAAGGTCACTGAATGATGGCTGAATGTTTGCTGAAAGACAACTGAAGGATAACTTAAAGGTCGAAGGAATGGTCACTGAAAGGTGATTGAAAGGCCATTGAAATGTACCTGCCATTCAGTGACTGAAATGTCACTGAAATGTTGCTGAAAGACATCTTTCAGTTTCGACTGAAATATCTCAGTTCTTCCTGTGTGAGCTCTGTGCTCACACTAGTTCTTTTATACAATCGATGTATACAATCATTCCTCAAGCAATCTGATTCAAATCAGATTGTCCCTCAGGATATCCTCAGTCTCGTTTAAACTCGATGCCATGCTCTAAAACACCATAGAGAGTTGCTTTTTCAATAAATTTACGTAACTTGTCATTGGCCATTTGCATTTAAAAACGATCTAACTGTGTATGTACACAGAAGTACTCTGAAGTTAATATTAAAAGATTCTTGTATTTCTTATGACGATACCTATGTAGTTTTTGGTGAACAGGTCCTCCAACAAACTGTCGAAACAGCGATAGGTACGGTAGCTCGCCTCTTTTTAGAAATTGTTTGTATGTATGGAATCGGGAGGCATGAACTCTATTTACAGATGATAAGAATATAATGCTACATAAATAAGGAGGCTGACGATTGGAAAAATTGATGCCATTATGTTTTTAATAAAGTTTTGTCGTTAGATTACCATTGATGCGTTTTTCTGGGAAAATTTCTAAATATGAAACATATTTTGTGGTATCTTTTATGTCAAGCTTGGAATATATCTGGTAGACATATGAGTGGATGTAACTATTGCTAATTGAACGTCGTATAGATGCATTAAAATATTCTACTTCATATCTATACAATAAAATGTCTGCTAATAGCCTAATAAAGAGCACAATTTGTACCCATAAGAATTCTACTAGAGTTTAAAAAATCTAGCCTATAGATCTCCAAACATTATATACTGAGTTGATATTGTCAATCAGAAATTCTAGCATATTGCAAGATACTAGTATATTCAACTCCATTTTAATTTGCCATAGTTCATGCAATTTCTATGTCATATATTTACTATTATATATGAAATCTATGAAGATAGCGAACTTTATGAAAAAGTCCATGCACAACTCAGTATGTATATCCTGACAAGGCCAGTGTATCGACGATACTTGCGAAATGATGATTTTAAAGAAGACTGCTGAAATTCTTGCTTCATCAACTTGTTTGTCAATAACTTACCTCGTATGTAAAAGACACTCTTCCGTATCGAATTAACTGAGCGAAATATAAACTCCGTATGCAAATGACAAAAGTATATTGTTACATAAGGGAAGTTGACGATTGAAAAGTTAAATTTATCACATTTATCATGAAGCTTTGTTGTTAGATAACCATTAACGTCTTTTTCTAGTAAAAGATCCCAATATGACACAGATGTGTCAGACAGTCAGACTCTGTGGTATCTTTTATTTCAAACTCATATGATGTTTGTGTAAACCATTTCCCACTGATGTGATAGTCAAGATGAAATATTTTAGTTAATATTCAAATATAATTAATCCCAATACCCCAATAACGCGTTGTACAACTATTTTAATACATATGTTTTGAAAAGTTATATACATGTAATGCAAAAAAGTTTAATAGGTCTACTCGTACAATGCGCTCGGAACCACAATACTCGAAAACTACGGTACATATAATCAACATACAAGTATCTGCTAGCCAAGAGTCTGTGCGAAAAGACTTCGGATCGGAAACCCTTGGCTTGATGACAACAATAACAACAACAACAATCAAATTCAGAAATTCGTAATTTATTTTGTGATAAGACTTAGGGGTTTGGCTATTCTATAATACTAGTATGTTTGTAACAAATTATTGCACTATTTGTATAATACAATGTATACGAAATGCATTATTTGGACTATACTTAATATAAGCGAATAATATTAGAAAAAAATATCTATAAATAAAAACGAAATAAGGTGTACAAGGTATAATAGAGCTTGTGTATGAAAAGATACGCATGTATTCTCACTTGAAAAAAATCAGAATTTAAGAATAAAATTCTTATAAGTAGACATGGTTTCATTAATTCATTAATAATCTTTGAAAGAAAATCACTATTTACACAATAAAAAATTAGAATAAACACAACAAAAGTAACAAAATTTTCTAGTAAATGCGAAAAAGAAATGATAGAAAAAGAGTTTAAAAAACTTGAGGCATTGCAAACCACATACATGTACAATGCAACATATATCACCAGAGAGTACAATAATGCCATATAAACTTTTATGTTAATTATAAACCAATACACTGTTCTTCAGTACCCTCAATATACATGTACATATATGTACCCAGTAATAGCATTCTAGTAGTCCGAGAAATTAAAGGCCTATAAATCGTGATGCATAATTGCATAAAAATCATATAATGCACTTTAAAATTAGAAGTTTTTTTTCTCGCAAAGAGGGTTGGAAGATAGGAGTATAGTGCTAAATCAGATGCATCTAAAAATACTATTCCGAGTTATAATAGCTAAAAATTGTAACTCCTTAGGTCTATGGGTGTTCACAATAAAAGAACAACATAAAAATATTAACAAAACTGTTTTTCCTTCTTCCTCAAAATAAAAAAACGAAAGTATGTAATATAATTTCAGCTGGCAAAGAACGCGGCATTGTTACGACACACGCCTTCAACCAATAAAAGCAGAAATCTCCATTCTTGATCTTATTTCGTTACCAAAAGTCCACACCTCACCGATGCATGAAAACTTCGGATTGACGACAATGTCTGCAAATGCAATAATAACAAAGTCGTCACAGCGATAAGCGACGAAGAAATCCTTGGCAGTGCGCCCCACAATGGTATTGGGAGTCGCCCGGAAACAAACGTACCTTTCCTCCCCGAAAAACAAAGCAAAAATGGGCTTATTCAGCACCACATAGTTTTCACTTAAACACCGGACTATTGAAATGATTTCGTCCTGTGGAATGTTGGGATCTTCACTTGCGGCCATACATTTCCCTTTCAGATCGTAAATGGCAGCTCGGCGAACGTGTCCCTTACCGACAAATAAATTCATCATGTCGGACCAATCCATCGGCTTGTTGAGATCTATCTGCACCTGATCCATGCTCAAAAAGTTGATCTGTCTGAGTCAGCGATTCCGATAATCCCCAACAGTATAGAACGGTTTTATTTAAAGTTCACCACTGACACACCTATGTATATTACGAATTTGTATTTACCTGTTTTTCTAGTAGGTCAAGTATGACAGGCCAATGTAATGCTTGACGAATCAACTCTGCCTTGCAGACATATCCCAAATACCTGCTCCCACGCTCTCCCAGACGGCTGTAAAGTGTTCTATGCTCGATCAGCAAACAAACAAAATACACACAGGCTTTTCATTACATGAAACTTCGTGTATTAATTAATACCCAGTAACACAATGATTTGTCGTGATATGTACATGTATGCATCCTGTTCAACAAACCTTTGTGTAATTGCATTAAGTCAATGAAATGAACAGTACAAGTACTATATTATAGTATATCCCTCATACTACGTAATTACATGTACATGTATACAAACTTTGACCGTTCTATAAACAAACGCTAAGCGCATTGTTCAACTTAGAAAGGATTTACTCCGACAAAAAATTAGTTAATTTACCATAACGTTTATTTTCACTGTACAAGTGAAAAAAAATAACACCTGGGCTTTTTACTGTTGCACTGTCCGTCTGTCTATCTGTTTCTATGAGGGGGTACGTTAAAGGGTGCAAAAGCAATAGACCTTGAGGTAATAATAATTTGTGAATACGTATGAGAGTGACAGAAAATAATAATTTACTTGACAACTGCATGTACATCAATTAATTAAAACATCATAAGTGCAACATATGGGATGACTCATACCTGTCAACATGGCCAAAATTTTTCGGGAGAGAAAACGCGCGACGACCTTTTGCAAATACAAAAAGTCATCGCGTGTTTCACTGTTTTATAGAACAAAAATAAACAACAAGATAAAACTTTATTAATATTAATATTAACACCATCATTAATTCATAAAATTTACTGTTTATTCATACATTGTTTAGAAACTTGTACAATGTGAATTAATTTTGAAATTATAAAATTTTATGTTCACTATCTATTCTGCCAGTCCATAAGAGCATCATTTAAATAATATTCATGGCAAATGTTGTAGTTTAACTTGGCAATTAGAAAAATTAATAAAGTTCTGCAGACAGTCTTGAGTTTCAAGCTTTTAATAGATGGATGAATGGATTTTTCTCACTAAGTCTAAGGGACATGAGTTGTATCCTTGATTTAAAGATCTGAAATTGAAATAATTGTCAAAACTTCATGCTTACATTCTTAAAATAATGTGTAATATAGTATGAATGAAATACCCTGTATTTTTTTTTTCTTTTAATCTCATAACATATATCAAAATTTTTAAATATAATACTTTATTTTAGTAATGTTCTAATGTGCTTATTTTAATTTCAATTTAGAAATACATTACCCTGTTTAGCTTTGTAAATTTAAAGAAGTCTTCTAAAGACACTGTCTTGTTGCTCTGTAGTTTCAGGGGCTGTTATATCTTGATGCAGGATTTACTAAGTCATTGAATCTCAAAATCTGTTGGGAAATCTTCAGCTGACTCTGAACATTTATGTTAGCTTCCATGAAATTGTTTCCCTCTCCTTGTTAAATTAATAATAGAGTACTGTAGCCACACCTTTCCTGATCACTGTATTGTTTATGGAGTAATAGTTTTATCTTAGGCACTTGTAAACTTATTTGCAGCAAAGTATCAAGTACTTCCATATCGTTCTTTACCGTCATGTTCTGTAAAAATTTCCACATCTGGCATCTCTGTCTTTGATAATATACACTTTTAATGAGAATAAGGAGCAATTACAACTGCAATTACATCTGCTAGCACAGTTGACACCTTGTTGATTACCTGTTATCAGTGGCAATAAACAGATTAGCTACCGATATAAACACTGCATGGCCTCCATTTTTGTGTTGACTAGTCGGTATTTTACGAACCCAAGTAGGTAAAAAAATCCGGAATTTTTCAAAATCGGTAGAAACGGCAGTTTAAAAAAAAATCGGTAGACAGTCGGTAGGGATGGTTAAAAATCGGTAGACTCCCGATAAATTCGGGAGAGTTGACAGGTATGGGATGTTCCCGATTTTATTGGAACGATAAACAACGGACGTTTCACGTCTTTCGATATATGTTAAGATACCAATCATTTATATTTTTCAAAATAAACAAAAATTGGCGATGGTGAGAAGATAGCGAAAGGTGAGATTGCTATTGCAATCAACGGAAAAAATATTTTTATATAGCTTATTTTCAATGAAAGTATAACTAGATATGCAAAATACCTAAAGTTTCAAATACCGATACATGAATGAGTCATTCAATTTGTGATTGTAGTATCAAAAGAGTAAAGATCTCAGATCTTATCATTGAAAGGTATGAAAACTATTATAAACAAAACATTTTTAATGATGAAAAACATACCAACAAAACAAAACAATGCTATTTTTTGAGTTTTTCACTAAAGAAATAAAAATCCATAACATCAAGGTTAACTTCGAGATGACCAAGCTAACAACTATGATATGTCTCTTTTTAAAAATATTATTAAATTTACAATTAAAATTAAAATTATATTTTTTTTTATACAACTCTTGACTTAATTGACTTCAAATATTTCACGAAAGATGCAATTGTTGTGTTAGTGTTATAAGTGGGTCTTAGCATTTTTTTTTAAAATAAAGAATCCACAGTTTTAAGCCTCCTTTGAGCAAAATTTCAGGTAGCAAATACTAGTACATGTATGTATTGTAGCATGAAGAAATGATTCATCTCTCTCTAGTTTATGTTTGCTATTTTATTGACAATTAGCTTCAATCTTCGAGAGATACTTCTATTTTCTAATATTTACTTAAAGTATATGTTGAATGAATATTATAGAATATTTTGTATAGCTGACATTAAAATTTTCACTTTTTTACGTACAATAAGCATTTTGCTCTTCTAATTCGCCCATTTTCTATAAAATATGAACAACGCCAACTTTTACCAACTAAACCCATGGCTTCCTTGCTGCGGAGAACATTTTTCCAAATCAAATGTCAATTTTTAATATTTTTAACATTCTTAAAAACCCAAATGGATTTAAATTACCATACCTATCCAGGATTCCTAAACTTTATATAAAAAAAATTACTAAAAGAAACCAAGAGGGTTCGAGCAAATGCTCTGCCAATCCTCATTATTTACACTTTAGTCAACTATAAACATCAATGAAGGAGAAACTCTGCAAAGTGTATTTGAGAATGGTGTAAATCAGATGTGGATACTGAAAAACTCCAAGAAACTTTTAGGAGGTTGAAATTCACAAAATTAAAGCAAAATCAATAACATGAAAGAGTAGGACTTTTCAAATTTTCATACAACCATTCTCCGGCACGATAAATTGAAAACTATGCCGTTTGACATCAAAGACAGTAGATTTACCAAACAAAAATAAAGTGATCTCGTCAACTGAATTTTCTTGATATTAGTCATTTGCAAAATTATTTTGTTAAAAAATCTTATTGTACACACAAGTACATGTAATCTGAAGATGATGTTTGAAAGAATACTTTAGTTTCTATATGACAACATTATGTGGCCTAAAAAATTACGACTAAGACCAAAATTTAGTTCTGCTGATACATGTATAACTTTCTAATTTACATTTAAAGGTACTTGGACACAGATTTGAAGTTAATATTTTTTCTATAATATTACGACTTATATATTTTAATAGCATTTCACACAAAAATTAGTTAAAAATCTTATTTCGTTTAAAAGTTATTAAAATTTAAATTTTTTTGGCGCGTTTGATGACATATCTTTGCACTTTCTCAAATTTTAACTTTATTCTTAATCCTTAGGAAAATTGACATTCTTGTTGTTTATTAATGAAAAGTATTAAAACTATAATCCAGAAAATTCAGAGTAGACATGTTCGAAAGCAAAACAAACACACAATATATTGTCAGTCCGTGTAGTTGTTGTGAGCAGACTTTGGCGTTTAAACGCACCCGGTGAATCAAAACACCAAACAATAACAAAGCTTTCGCGCTGTTTACAAAAACTGTGTACATAACACGAGTGTGCTCGATTTGCTAAACTCTGTACACAACGGAATGACAATACTTGTGAAGGAGTTTTGCTTTCTGAGATTTTTACTCTAAATAAAATTATTTTCCGGATTTAAGTTTTAATGTTTCTCATTAATACACAACAAGATTGCCACTTTTCCTAAGGATTAAGAATAAAGTTAAAAATTGTGAAAGTGAAAGGATGTGTCAATCAAACCCGCCAAAAACTTAAAAGTTTTAATAACTTTTAAATGAAATAAGATTTTTAATTGATTTTTGTGTGAAATGCTATTAAAATATATAATTCGTGATATTATACAGAAAAAATTAACTTCAAATCTGTGTCCAAGTACCTTTAATTTAATATTGTTTTTATGATTTTAAAAGGAACATATAGACACTTTCTGTACTATAGAGATTTTAAAGAGACTTACTTATTTCACAAAGTTTTACAATCAACAGAAGTTTTGGTTCTATGTCGTAAGATCTTTTGTAAATCGGGTCTTCCAACAACCTGTAAGAATTCGATCCAATGGGTATCATGCAATTGCTCCCCGTTATTATCAGTCCCTTTTAAAAATATTTATATATGAAGCAAAACTTATTCTTAACCTTACAGATGAGAAGAAGAAAAATTTGCAATGGCATTGAACACGATATATTGATATATCGACGACGTTTACTATAATGAACAATTAAAAATACATGTATCGATACATATCGATTCGATATATTATTGACTTGATATAAAAATAAATGCCAGAGTTTTACATATTTGTTTCACATTTGGATATTTTTTTAAAAGAAATGTTAATGATAATCTAGCAAGAAAAACTTTTCAATAAACGTGATGACTTCAAATTCTCGATCGCTAACACTTCCCTATGTAGCAATATAACGTTATCACCTAAAAAGGGGCTCAAGTCTCCCATTTGATTCAAAAGCATGCTCGATAAAGGAACGATTTCTAAAACGAAGGAAGCTATTGGCAAATAAGTTGAAGAAACAAGATTTGAACATATTTTATTGTAATTTAATTACAAAGGGATAAGGCACAAATTCTGAAAACTTATTACGCCCGAAGAAACAAGAAAATCAACAAGTCTCCATTTCGCTAGTTCTTTGGACGAGACAATAGTCAGCAAATACAGTTTCATTTAGTCGAAAAATGACTGATGTTTTTAAAACCTAATGTTAAGTCATTATGCCTACAAATTCTCGTTTCTCTCGTTACTAGGGGCACACAGCGGGTGTGACCGGTCGAAAGGGATGCTTATTTCTTTATGGCACCTGATTCTACCTCCGTCGTTTAGGAAGTCCGTGTAAACACTGCTCTGGATCTGTGATATTTCAATTCATTTTTGAGATTGATTACTTTTCGATATATCCATTATTTATATTTATCACTTGACCGTATGTAGAACCACATGAAATAAAATTCCGAAACATTTTAATGATTTAAGTACATAAAGGACATCTATATAATCTTTGAGAGAGAAACTTCACTCATACTTTGCTAAAAAATATACATATACACTAGATTTCGATGCTTTCATGAATATCGGCTTATTCGATGAAATGAAACTCAGAGATTTTTATATGTGAATAATCAACAAAACTAGCACGCTTCATGAAATATGCCTACGTGGCAAGTCTGTGTGATTTACACACCAATTATTCACACACAAAAAACTTCAAAACATTCCTTAATTAAATGGCAAGTTCGAGCATGGGGAAAATTGAACTCATGCAAAAGCGACTAGAAAGCCTAAAAAAGACATAATGACAACTTGCGAAAATGAGATGTCACTAAAATTCAATGATCTGCATGTATTATATATAGTAAATGTATTTTTAAATTAAAGTTTATGAAGGTATAAACTGAGTTTATACCAGGTAAACAAATAAACACTTTTCATTTTCCTTAATGAGGCCCCGTAGTGGAAAATTTCCCCGTCGGGCGCCCCATAGATGACCAAAGTTTCGGAGGGAAAATTACTATATCATCTTGGGGACAACAGCTGACACTGTTTTTGGACTATTCATAAAAAATTATAGTAAATTTTTTTATTTCTTATCCCCCAAGATAGAAGGGGATTTTAGTTTGCTTCAGGTAGTATAATGTAGTTGCGTATGTATTAAGTAGCAAATTTATGTTTTAGCAGTTATCTTCATTGCTTGTCAGTTGTTGATCCCAAGGGCCAACATTTAGATTGTTTTGTAATAATATAAACAGATTTACAAATTTTGTTTTCTTTGGTATAAATTAAAGTTTATGAAGGTATAAACTGAGTTTATACCAGGTAAACAAATAAACACTTTTCATTTTCCTTAATGAGGCCCCGTAGTGGAAAATTTCCCCGTCGGGCGCCCCATAGATGACCAAAGTTTCGGAGGGAAAATACCCAGCCTCTTTCTGATAATGACCCTATGGCTGGCAGCATCGTGAATCTGTAATTTTACAAAGCTATCCACCACCTTCCCCGCCACTCTCCAAAAACTGTTTGCCATGGGGTTAACAATTAGATTATGTTTATTCAAATTGGACTATTCATAAAAAATTATAGTAAAATTTTTTATTTCTTATCCCCAAGATTTAAGGGGATGTTAGTTTGCTTATGTTTTATGTAGTTGCATATGTATTAATTAGCAAATTTATGTTTTAGCAGTTCTCTTTAATGGTTGTCAGTTGTTGATCCCAAGTGCCAACATTTAGATTGTTTTTGTAATAAAATATAAACTGATTTACATATTTGTTTTCTTTGGTATAAATTTAAAAAAAACCGATTTTGACGTCAAGTCAAAGTTTAAAAATAACTCTCATCGAGTACTAGTACTTCCAGAGCAATGGGCTCTGTTACAGAAACATGGTATACAGTTAAACCACAAAACATCGTTCTCCCACCTCATTTTTGAAATCTGGCGTGTTTTAGTAAAACATTCAGTTTCTAGCAAAGCAATTCTTTATGGCGTTGACCAAGTGCTTCAAGAGTACAATCGAGTCCAATACAAATAGGAATATAAAAACGACCGAGATAATGGCGACACCAACCGCTCCCAGAGATCGAGCAGACGGGCGGTTGTCCATAACGCTGATCTTCTTCCTCAGCTCAGACGATAACTTTGCCTTGTTGACTTCCAGCTCTTTCTTCATCGTATGTATCACCTGCGCCAGTTCTGCACTTGTATAATTTCTTACTGGATGGACTCTGTCACATGGACACTTGCAATCGGCTGAAATAAACGAATCCTCAAATGCGTTAAACTCTTAAACTCTTCAAATATTGCAACATTTTTAAACAAAAAAAAAAAACACTCTAAGAGAAATTGGTTTTGCCCCATTCTTATATTTACCGGTAATCTTATCCTTACTGATGATTTGAATAAAAACAACGTGATTGACAATATCTGTGTTGTTTTTGGAGGTCTTCCCATCAATCTATTGGAATTTCCATAGGTGCCAAGTGCGTCCCGTTATTATAAGACCTATTTTTGTATTCATATGAAGCAGAATTTGTGCAAAATCTAATGCGTGAAAAGAAGAAAATACTTGCTGTAGCCTTCAACTCTACATTAAAAAAAAAACAAACGACAGAGTTTCAATTAACACTAGTAATTTCCATTCATATGTCGACCCGATATATTCCTGGCGAGCTTGAGATAAAAGATACCACGAAGTCCGACACATTTGCTTCATATGGATATTTGACTGAAAAAACCGTTAATGGTGATCTCACAACCAAGCTTTCTGATAAACGTGATGTCGTTAATATTTCAATCTTGAACTTCCATTACTTATGCAGCAATATACCTTCATCACCAACATATGGAGTTTATATATTTCAGTTGATTCGATAAGCAAAAGCATGCTCTACGTATGAACAATTTCTAAACAGAGCTCTAGGTAAATTATTGACACACAAGTTGATAAAGAGTATGAGCAGTCTCGTTCAACTGACATTTTTCATACTACTGGGTAATTGTTAGTCCATTATTTATAAACTGAATTGGCGACGGATTTTTCCGTTATTTCTCGACCATGATCAAGAGCTCACGGTCGGCAGGGCCGGGATGCTGAATACCTACATGACACCTGATCCCGCCTCTGATGTTTTGGAGGTCCACGTTTGCTCTGCTCCTATTTTGCACCGTTTTATGGATTTTTGATCATAAATACTGTTCGTTATCACCATATGTTTCATGATTCTATATCTCATTTTATCACATATTTTCACCTTTATCCCGTTGATATAGCTCATGTGATATCGTTTTCGTATCAACACTATGTATTCCTACGCCGCGTTACGTAATGTATTTAAACAAATACATGTGCATGATGGAGAAAATGACTTAATTTGTCAAATTTCACTTTATTTGATATTCTTTAACAATTTTTTATTCATGAATTAAAAAAAAAAAATAAATGTAAAATATTTTCCTTCTTTTTTTTTTTGTACGATCTATTTCATACAGCGCAATATTATTTATTACGTTATTTGGTTCGAGGTATTTTGAATTAGAAATAAAGACAAAATACACAGTTATAGTGAACGAAAATATGTGATAAAAAGAATCTCCCATGGTTTGTGGTTTGATACAATGAAGCGCATTGAAGTGGTAAAATTTTCCGTTCGAATGGAACGTTTTGAGCTATATTTAGAGTGTTTATTGTCATCTTTTGACACGCCCATTTCTTTAGAAATTGATAAAACGGTCAAGTTGTTTCTTCAAATACCTGTAGAACAGGTTTTCCATAAATATAATAGCCAATCAAATTGAGGATCTAAATAAACACCGAGTAAACACGTGTTCGACCAAAACATGTGTTGTAGTAACTTCAATAGACATGATAAGTTCAAAAATATGTACATATTCGTTGCAATTTGTGTTTAACAGAAGCGGGGAGTATCTAACTCCCTCTTCTATTTTTTTTAAAGCTCCATTTCAGTGCAACTCATGATGCTTGTCGCGAAGAATGGGATGTCCTAAAACTACGACGAATATTACTTTCTCGTTTCTAAAAATATGGGCGTGTCATTATGTTATAATTGACCTTCAAAACATGACTCAGAACTTTTCATCCAAACGGAGAATTTTACCACTTCAATGCGCTTCATTGTATGATTTTTATCCAACTCGTTGTGTGTTTTCTATCCCCTCGCCATGGCTCGGGGATAGAAAACACAACAACTCGTTGGATAAAAATCATATCAAACCACAAACCATGGGAGATCCTATATCTATAACATGTACCTTTTTCTAAAACGAAAGGGGGGGTCAAAGTATGTGTTCCAATTTCTTGAGACACTTTGGTTTCAAAATTTTACCAGTTTTCTCTATCTTAAGAATTGAATTAAATTTTTAACCTTTTTTGCAATCATTTAGACTAGTTTTCCCCGGTTGTCTAGTTGTGTAGTTTGCTGGACAAACAAAGCACTTAATGTGGCTTCCAGTGAGGTTCTTGTAAGTGCCTATTTTGCACTTTTTACATGATTTTGTTGTTTCGTTGTATTCTTCACCCTTCTTACAAGTTTCTGGAGGAAAAAAGTACTTATTAACTTTTGAATACCAGTTCTTTTGGTATCATTAAGTCAGCAATGAAATCTTTTTAACTTAGACCTTTTTATATTGCATGCAGTTAATTTTCATGTTAAATCATTTTTGTCATATCTTTAATTCATGTACTGGAATATTTTTTTTAAGAAAACATACTAAACTGTTTCTTCAAGAAGGACTGAGTTATTATAATGACAGTTTCTTTGAACTTTGCCGGTGTTAAATGTATATATATTCATAAAGTAAGTACGCAGCAACTCCGAGTTTGAACTGAAATGTATTATACATGTACTAGTATGTAATATTTCCATAGATAACCCCCAAGGACGTACCCACGCATTCAAGGGATCCAAGTGCGCTTGTAGTTTTACCATTCGGACACTTAGTACAGTTCCATCTTAAATTTTCACTTAACGTAACATTTTTACTTGAGGTGTTTTTGAAATATCCAATGTCGCAAAGAACACATGTTCCATTGTCAGCCAAGTAGAGTCCTTCTTCGCAATGCTCTGAAATAACAGCAAAGAGCTTTTAACTCGGGTGACATTCACAAAAACATCTACATTGTATGTACACCAAGGTGATTTAATTTTTACATCCGCATTGCAATACTTATATTCTGATATTGTTTGTTTTGGCTTTCATCATTTGGAAATACTCGTACATGTATTTTCCTGTAGAAAAATGCATTAATGGTATGATCTTTAGTGGTGAATGGTACTATTTGTAACTTCTCTACTGTCAACTTCCCCAAATTATATAGCGATATACTGGTACCTTTATCACCTGTCTATGGGGATTATGTCCCCTAGTTGATTCTTAATGCAATCTTGAGTAGTCTCTACGTACAAAAATATTCTAAAACGATGTAAGCTATGAACAAATATTAAGATGATGAAACAAAAAATATATCAATAGTATTATTTAAAGTATTCATTTCGCAAATCCTTTGGTCTACACAATGACCTTGCCTGCAAATACAATCCATCGTTAGATAAATAACTAATGTCGACAGGGGATAATTACTCATTTATGACACATGATCCCACCTCTGATGTTTTTGGAGGTCAGTGTTTGCTCTTACCGATTCTTAATGTTGAAATAGACATTTGACGTGATTACTGTTTGTTATCTACAAAGAGCTTTATAGGAAATTCTAGAAAAAACTAGTTCTAATTGTAACGGGGACCGTTACAGATGTTCCCCAAACGCTCCCCATTTCCATTTTTGTGCCATATTCCCTGTGAGCTTCATTAAATAAGGCAAACTCTATGCATTTTAGACTTTAACAACGTTTTCCAAGAAGTATACCAAGTATCTTTAAAGTACAGCTTTTCACACGTGCGCATGTGAATGCATGTGCGTAATGACCATGTCAACTTGTCTACACTATCTATATATTTTAATATACTTAATATTATAGCATTCAATTCAAAAGTTTAAAAAATACGCTAATTCAAGTGCATTTTTAAATTTACTCATTTCACGTGCACGCACGTACATGCATGTGCATGATGACCATACCTTCTTGTAGGGATCCATTATGTCTATCTATGTTCTAAATCCCGTCCTGTTTGGTTGACAACCAAAGGAGTTATATCCTTTTAAAGTTTCAGCCAATCAGATTGCAGCACATGTACATGCGCATGCCTTAATTCTTATATATCGTGCTGTAGATCTTCATAGTGTATGAGTATGTTCAAAATTTCAAAAGATTTTGTCAAAAAACAAGAAAGATATTGAGACTTAAGTTTCAGCCAATCAGAGCGAAGCGCACGTGCATGCGCGCGAGATCTTGCTATTTTGACCATGTCAGCATGTCTGTACAACTAATATATCTTCTCATTATAAGTATCAAAGCATTTAATCAAAAAATATAAAAGTTACGGCAATATCTATTATATTGGCCATTTCACGTGTTGCACGTGCACGCTCTTGCAAGCACGTGCGCGCAATATGACCTTGATTCCGCAGATCTACATAACATGTCTAATGACCCTAAAATGTTTTACCTACATCGGATGAACAGTTTACAAGATCACTCCCGGACAAAAAAGTACCCAGGAAGAAGAAGAAAAATAATAATAACTAGTGCTAATTGTAACGGGGACCGTTACAGATGTTCCCCAAACGCTCCCCAACTCCCTTTTGGTGCCATATCCCCTGTAAACCTCATTAAATAAGACAAACTCTATGCATTTGAGACGTTAACAACGTTTACACAGAAGTGTACCAAGTTCATTTAAAATATAGCATTGCACGCCCGCGCTTCTGAATGCATCTGCGTAATGACCATATCATCTTGTCTACACAATCTATATATTTTAATATATACTAAATATTAAAGTATTTAATCCAAAAGTATTAAGAAATACGCTCATTCAAGTGTATATTTGTTATTACTCATTTCACGTGCACGCACGTGCATACATGAGCATGGTGACCACCTTCTTGTAGAAGTCCATTACATCTATCTATGTTCTAAATCCCACCCCGTTTGGTTGAAAACCAAGGGAGTTATAGCTGTTTAAAGTTTCAGCCAATCAGATTGCAGCACACATACACGCACGTGTATGCATGTGCATGGTGACCACACTTTCTTGTAGAAGTCCATTATATCTATCTATGTTCCAAATCCCATCCTGTTTAGTTGAAAACCAAGGGAGTTATAGGCTATTTAAAGTATCAGCCAATCAGATTGCAGCACACATGCATGCACGTGTTTTCATGATAATTGCTATATATCAAGTTGTAGGATATCCTAATGCATGCCTATGTTTAAAATTTCAAAGGATTTCGTCAAAAAACAAGAAAGATATTGAGACTTTAGTTTCAGCCAATCAGAGCAAAGCGCACGTGCATGCGCGTGAAATCTTGCTTTTTTGACCATGTCATCTTGTCTATGCTTCTAATATATATTTATGATATGAGTTTCAAAGCATTTCATCAATAATTTAAATAGTTACGTCTGTATCAATTATGTTGGACATTTCTCATGTTGCACGTGCGAGCTCTTGCAAGCTTATGTGCATGCACATGCTTTCATGAAAATTCTTGTATTACAAGCTGTAGATCTCCCTAATGTATGACTATGTTCAAAATTTCAAATGATTTTATCAAAAAACAAGAAAGATATAGAGACTTTAGTTTCAGCCAATCAGAGCAAAGCGCACGTGCATGCGCGTGCGATCTTGCTATTTTGACCATGTCATCTTGTGCATACAACTAATATTTCTTTACATTATGAGTTTCAAAACATTTTGTCAAAAAATAAAAAAGTTACGGTTTTATCCATTATATATTGGTCATTTCATGTTTTGCACGTGCGCGCTCTTGCAAGCACGTGCGCGCAAAATGACCTTGATTCCGCAAATCTACAACACATGTCTACTGACCCTAAAAACATTTCACCTAAATCGGATGTGTAGTTTACAAGATCATTCGCGGACAAAATTTTCCCGAGAAGAAAAATAATAATAATAATAATAATAATAATAATAAGAAACAGAGTAAAAACAATATGTTCCCCAACTTCGTTTGGGGAACATAATAATAAGAAACAGAGTAAAAACAATATGTTCCCCAACTTCGTTTGGGGAACATAATTAAACAATCTTATATAATCACACGTCCAGAATATTGTATGTTATATAAACAGAGATTGCTTGTTTTACCTATACATGCGTCTTTATTTGTGCCAGAACGGTATGTGGTGTTCTCTCCTTCGCACCGGGTGCAAGTCCACCTCAGTTCATAAGAAAGTGAAAGGTTTTTACTGGATGTGTTTTTGTATTCCCCCACTGGACAAGGCGAGCATGCACTTCCATTCCAAAAACTACCTTCCAAGCAATGTTCTAAAACATATTAAAATATTTTATATTTTCATCTTTCATAAGTATTTTGATGATTAATTTATTTGCAAATCATCTTGGCAAACGTTTTGACAATTTATTTGAATACTGCGTATACTTGTATTTATTTGAATATCGCATTATAAAATATATTTTCTCACAACCGAGTCTTCTTTATATTTTTTTCGTGAAAGAAGAAGATTTGTTCATATTAAGTATATCATCAAACAAGCACGACAGTTCAATCTCTTGCTTAGATTATTCATACATTTCAAACGAGAATACAGAAAGAAATTGTTTTTTGTAAATCTAGATGCTCCCAGTAAAAGATGATACCTATACAGCCCTCTTCGTATACAGTCCCTCTATTTAAGGTGGTCAAATTTCCACCACAGGCCGTGCAGTTCCATCTTTCCTCAATAGAAGCAGTGGTGTTGGCACTTGATATGTTTTTGTAGAAGCCTATTTTACACTCAGCGCAAGTATTATTCTGCAGCTCAAAACCTGCCTCACATATATCTATAATTTAAATTAATACGTGTAATTATTTTTTTCTTCAAAGTATAGTCCATGTTTTTATATTTCATTGATGAACCATATTGTTTTTACCATCTTTTTTATTTGATACAATTTTGTCTTTTGAAAAGATTATATCTAGCTAGGCCTGTTATATTTAACATTCATTTCAGTTACTGAAAAAAAATGTTTTTGTTGTGCTCTAGGCCTGTTCTGTCATGAAGAAAAATAAATGTATATTT